GGCGTCGGTCTCCACCACAAAGGGTCGAGAGGGGTCAGGATGTTGTAAGATTGGTGCCCTCTGGAAACAGGCCTTCAACCCCTGAAACGCCTCCTCTGCCTCCTTGTCCCAGGAAAACGGCGTCTTTGGGCGCAGTAGCCGGGTCAACGGGGTGGTGCGATGAGCATAATCAGCGATGAAGGTCCGGTAGTAATTGGCGAACCCCAGGAAGCGTTGTAGGTCCTTGCGGTTCCGGGGTGCCGCCCATTCTTGAACCGCTGTCACCTTCCCGGGTCCATTTGCACCCCATCCGGAGAGAGCCGGTGACCAAGGAAGTCCACAGTCCGCTGATGGAACTCGCACTTGCTGAGCTTTGCGTACAAACGGTGCTCACGCAAGCGCTGCAGCACGGTCCGGACATGTCCCTCATGGCGAGCCGGGTCACGGGAGTAAATCAGTATGTCATCCAAATACACCACCACGTACTTGTCTAACAAGTCCTGAAACACGTGGTTGATGTAGCGTTGGAACACAGCAGGCGCGTTGCACAACCCGAAAGGCATAACCAAATACTCAAACTGCCCGTACCGGGTCCCAAACGCTGTCTTCCACTCATCCCCGGCTCGGATCCGAATCAAGTTGTAGGCCCCCCGGAGGTCCAGCTTGGTGAACACCTGTGCCCCTTGCACCCGCTCCAGCAGCTCCGAGATAAGGGGCAAGGGGTATCGGTCTGGGACGGTAATTTTGTTCAAGGCTCGGTAATCATGGCAAGGGCGGAGTTCCCCACATTTCTTCTTATCGACGAGCACGGGTGCCGCGGTAGGCGAGGTGGCCGGCCTATTGAACCCACGCTCCAGGTTCTTGCGCAAGAAGTCCTGCAAAGCCTCGCGCTGTGGCTCTGTTAGATAATATAAGCGACTCACTGGTAGAGGCGCTCCGGGTTGGAGGTCTATGCCGCAGTCAAAGGCCGATGCGGCGGCAGCTGGTCTGCCCCCCGTTCCTCGAACACGTCCTGGTAGTCCTGATACACGGCTGGGAGCGTGGGTGCTGCCTCCTCTGAGGGCGCGGCCGCCAGCGTCCCAGATTGAGCATGGGAACATGGGTCTGGGAAGTGCACGGTCCGTTTGACCCAGTGAATCTGAACGTTGTGGGCTTCCAGCCAGTCCATCCCGAGCACCAGGGGAAGCGGGGCATAGAGGCAATGTCCAAAGTTCGCAACTCCCGGTGCTGCTGGAAACACAGGACCAGGGGCTGGGTCTCCTGAGTAACGGCACCTGAACACAGAAGTCGTCCGTCAATCGCTTCCACCTGGACCGGTACTGGCTTGTTCCAGTGGCACCTGATGATGGGCGGCAAAAGCAGCGTCCATATAAGAGCGGGTTGCCCCTGAATCCACCAAAGCATGGGTGGGGATCCAGGGCCCACCTGGAGGGTATAAACGTACCGGAACCATAAGATGTTGCGAGTCCATTGATGCAGGCCCATTCTGCGCGGTTTGGGACCCCGGCAGCTAGGGCCATCAGCTACTGGGGTTGGCGGTTTCCCTGCGGCTGGCGTTTCTCAGGGCAAGACCGAGCGAAGTGTCCACTTCCGCCACAGTAAAGACAGAGATTTCCCTCCCGACGCCGCGCCTTCTCTGCGGGGGAAAGGCGTGGCCGCACTGCCCCGAGCTGCATAGGCTCCTCCGTTAAATCAGTTGTGACCGTGGGGCTGCCGGAAAAAGCTGGTGCCGTGAACTGGAAGTGTCGGCGACCCCAGGCCTGACGACGATCCTCCAACCGGTCGTCTATTTGTAGACTCCGTTGAATGAGAGTGTCTAGCGTGGTGGGGCGTTCCATTGTGGCCAACTGGTCCAGTACCTCGTCCGAAAGCCCTTCGAGATACTGGTCCCGCAGTGCCGAATCATTCCAGGTCAAGTCCTGTGCCAACAGCCGAAACTCCGTGGTATATGCGGCCACCGTGGACTTGCCCTGTTTCAAACGCCGAATCGCCCGGTTGGCTTGACTCCCTTTCTGGGGGTTGCCGAGCGCGGCCTCCCAACGATGGCAAAACCCCGGAAAGTCTGCCAGCAAGGGGAGTCTTGCCTGAGTAGCGGCAACGCCCACTTGGCCGCCTGGTCCATTAACACACTAATCAAAAGTGCACCTTGGTGCGGTCGTCAGGAAAGTTCCGGGCTCGCCCCTGAATATACAGCTTGGCCTGGGCCAGGAACATGGGAAAGCTGGCCGGGGCTCCATCAAATTTCTCAGGCAAAGCCACTGGGTACTTGCCAGGAGCCGGGCGTCGGCCCCAGGAGCCGGTAGGGCTTCCAAGCGTTGTTGAAGTGCCACAACCGCGTCACTGAGCTGCTGCACGGTGTGAGTCAAGGCCTGGTTCTTCTGGGCCAAAGCCACCAGTGCAGCCGCCTGGTCAGCCATGGCCTCTGGCTCTTCCCGAACGCACCCCTACGAAGGGGGAGTGCGGGTTTGGCGGGAGCAAACTGTGCTGGTCCCGGGGGTAAGGTACCGTGGGTGTAGCAGAGTCCACACGAAGAGGGGCAAGGTCCGAGGCAGAGAGCCGGGCAGGGAACAGGAATGCTGGAACAGGAGGCTGTGCAGGGAACAGGAACACCGGATGGTCGGGAACAGGAGGCCGAGCAGGGAACAGGAGTACCGGATAGTCAGGAACAGGAAGCCGAGCAGGGATCAGGAACACAGGAAGGTCCGAAGCCAACAACGACGTTGCTCCCGCAACCTGGGGCCGGGCTGACTGGGCTTTTATCCTCTTCTAAGGCCAGGGGCGGTCCCGGTCCCCAGGAGCCCCGCCTCCTCTGGCCTTAAGGCGAGCACTCCTCCTGGGGGCAACCAGTTCCCTTCGCCTCTCTGCCCTAAGCCTCTGCAGATCAGGAGAGGCCGAAGGGTTACTGGGCCCTGGAGGAGGCTCACCTGTGGCCACTGAGTCATCAAGCCCCTCTGGGGCCCGAAGGGCTTCACCTGGGGCCAGCTCCTGATGCACTGCCACAGGTGCAGGCTCCTCAGCATCAAGGCCTTGCCCCAGTTCAGCCGGCCCTGGAGGCGGGGACTCCTGTGCAGGCCGGGATTCCTCTGTTTCATCCTCCGAATCGGAATCCCAGGCCATCACACCCCGATTCCAAAAAGCAAGATGGAGTTGCAGGCGTTCCTGGGGCTGCCACAACATGTTCCCGCCAAACAAAGCAACGCTAGCCAAGCCTCTACACTGCCTCCTCAGCACGAAGGTACTGTGGTCCTGGGATCATCGGGAAACAGAGGCCTTCAACGCAGTCAAAGCCCTCCTCTCATCAGACAGTGTGCTGGTACAGTACAGTGAAGCCAGGCTGCTGGTCTTCGCCTGCGACATCTCGCCCTTTGGCATCATGGCTGTCCTCAGTCACCGGTTTCCAGATGGTAGGGAAGCACCACTCGCCTTCTTCTCCTGGACGCTGTCTCTGGCTGAATGGAATTACAGCCAGCTCGACAAGGAGGCACTGGCACTTGTGGCTGGAGTAAAGAGGTTCCACGAATACTTCCATGGGAGAACCTTCGACCTCATCACTGACCACAAGCCACTCCTGGGCCTCCTTGCTGGTGAACGACCAACACCACCGGTCCTCTCGCCACTCATGCTGTGATGGACTGTCTTTCTGGCAGCTTACAGCTAGCAGCTCGTCCATCGCCCTGGAAAATCGATGGGCCACGCCAACACTCTCAGTCGTTGCCCTCTTCCAGCACTTGTGGAAGACCCGGCTCCTGCATCGCTCCTCCTACTTGAGGACCTCCCAGCAGCGCCAGTATCGATGTAGCCTCCGCATATGCCCAGGACCGCACCATCAACTGTGTACTCAACTGGGTGTGGAGGGGGTGGCCGGAAGGGTCTTTCGCACCAGAGTTCCAGCCGCTTGCCACCAGACAGCACGAGCGCTCAGCTCATTGTGGCTGCCTACTGTGGGGAGACTGAGTCGTGGTTCCCAAAAGACTCCACCAATGCGTCCTTGAGGCTCTGCACATCGGCCACCAAGGGATCGTCAAAATGAAGGCGTTGGCTCGGTGTTATGTCTGGTGGCCTAACATGGACGATGCCATCACTTTGTGGGTTACCTCCTGTCAAGCATGCCAAGAGGAGAGATCTGCACTGCCAGCAGCTAAGGGCAACACCTGGGAGATGACCAAGACACCCTGGTCGAGGGTGCACATCGATCTTGGTGGCCCCTTTCATGGCTGGACCTTTATGGTAGTGGTGGACGCCTATTCCAAATGGCTGGAGGTGGCCCTGATGCCCTCCACCACTACTGAAGCTGTCCTCCGGGTGCTGCGGAGCCTGCTTGCAACTCAAGGGTGTCCTGATGTCCTTGTCTTGGACAATGGACTTCAGTTCACATCAGGCACCTTTGAAAGGTACCTCCAGGGACTGGGCATCCGCCATGCCCTAACAGCACCATTTCACCCGGCCAGCAATGAGCAGGCTGAGAGAATGGTGCGTTCAGCAAAAGAGGCACTGGTGCGCCTGGAACAGAGGAACTGTCACGAGCAGGTCACTGAATACTTGCATGTGCAGCACATCACTCCTCATGTAGCCACAGGGCGCAGCCCGGCCGAACTGCTAATGGGCCGCGCCGCCGCCTCCGGTCTCTGCTTGACTGGCTGCACCCGGACTCTGGTGTGGCTGAGCCCCCGGGCTGTACTAATGCGCCACAGTCCTTTATTCCAGGGGATCAGGTTTTTGCCCAGAACTTTGTGGGGGACATTCCTTGGGTGCCGGCCACGGTAGTGGGAGTCACAGGGCCCCGTTCATACCAGGTGGCACTTGAGAACGGACACTTGTGGCGCCGGCACATAGACCAGCTAAGGCGCAGGGTTGGGGATTTGGACACTACTGCTGTGCCCCCAACTGTGGCCCCAGCTCTGGAGCGGTTGCTAATGGAAGGCGAGGCTTCACCTACATCTTCCTCACAAACTGCGGGCATGGAGCCGAGCCAAGCCTTTTCGGTGGATCTGCCTGGCTCTCCAGAGACTTGGACCACCGCCATGCCTGACCGTCCGCTGAGTCCGCTCGTGGCGGTTCCTTCGACAGCAGTGGAGCCAGAGAACTTGGGCTCCACGCTACATTTGGTCACAGCCAGAATCGGGCAGTCACCCGGATTCTGGTACTGGCCCTTGGCGGTCCGGCAGGGTTTCCAAGCGCCCAGCTTATTTAACGGACTATGTTCACCGGACAAACTGCACATGTAAAGCTGTATGGTGAATAGGGTCAATTAATGTGCTTATGTGCCTTACTGAAACCAGTAAGGGTATTGCTGTATGTAATGGAACCACTATAATTGTAACTAATGCCTTATCTCGGTGGGGAGGGGTGTTATGTATTGAAGTTCTCTCTCCCCCATTTTTTTAATTAATTTTCACATTAATGACATACAAAAGAAACAAGAAAAAAAGAAAAATGAAAAACATTACAATACACAAAAATAAATAAAAACACATAATAGAAAATTTTAACTTCCAAATCCTGATTTCATTACATTGATGACTGACTTCAAGTCCCCTCTAACTGAATTTCATTTTAACACCTAATTAGCAGTTCTCCAAATTTCTGATAATATTAACTTCTTTCATTTACTAACTTCTTCTCCATTTTTAATATTCCAATCCTTAATATTTATTAACAACCTAATCTTATTCTATCCCTAAGCCTAATTTTTACTTCCAAGAAATTTCTCTTTATCTTATATTACAGTATTTAGCCAAATATTCTTTAAAGTTCTTCCAGTCCTTTTGTGTCTCCTCTTCTTTCTGGTCGCGGATTCTTCCAGTCAGGTCAGCCAGCTCCAAAAAATCCATCATCTTCATCTGCCATTCTTCTATTGTTGGTATCTCTTGTGATTTCCAATTTTTGGCTAATAAATTTCTTGCCGCTGTAGTGGCATACAAAAACAATCTAACATCTTTTTTGGGCAATTCCAATCCTTATGTATTAAAGTTCTCACCCTGGCCACCAGGGGGATTGTGTATATACCAGTAGTTTTCACTCAGGTCCACATAAGTTAATTTCGGTGGGTAACCCTGGGGTGTTGATGTTACAATGTTGACAGCGAACTATAAAAGCAGGCCGACTGAGCTGTTCAGTTCAGTTCAGTTCAGTTCCAGCTTATTATAAAGAACCATTTGGAGAAATCTCTGTCTCGACTGCTATGTCCGCCCACAACTTAATAAAACTCCTTTCCACATGCAACAGCAGTAGTGTGCATTAGCAGAAACCTTTTGCAAAGTTTGGCATTTTTTGACCTTTGCACAAGATCTTTGGGGTGGGGGAGGGGGAGGGAGAGGATAGATTCATCTGGGGAAAAATTCTTATTTCTCTGGATTGTTGATTTTGTCTACCTTTTCATGGCAAGGCGGGCTGTAGGACGGAGGCAGGACTGCTGATGTAACATAACTTCCAAGGGTCCAGAAACTGTGGGATGTGCCTATTTCTCTTAGGTATCACAATTTCTAATGGTGCCACGGAAAATTCCAATTTCAGAAACAAGCTGGACTGTTCTCCTTGCTCTCTGCCTGGAGCAGCCACAGAGATTCCATTCTTAGAGCAGAAAGGAAGGCTGGGGACTTCTGGGTTAGCGCCATTGGCGAATGGCGGAGTTCCTCCGACTGGAGGAACTGGCTCCGTGGAAACTGGGTCTTCCCGCCGCAGCGAAGGTGGGGACCCGCTAGAAATCCCAGGCGGAGGAAGCCTGGGAACGTGGGGTTCGGCAGGGCACCAGGAGCGCCTCCTCACTCACGGGAACCCCATTTCGGGGTTCCGGAGTGAAGTGGAGTGAGCGGCGCGGTGCTGCGAACTGATTGCTACTTTCACGGAGTGAAGCCGCACAGCCATTGCCGGAGAGCGCTGACTTTTTCCTGTGGACAATTGGATTTAAAACAAGTACCCGTGAGTAGAAACGGAAAATTGGATCAAGAAATACCCTAATTTGGCACCGAAGCGGGAAGGTTCAAACAGGAAGTCCGCCTTCCGCGTTTTGTACATAGACTGAAGCAAAAACCTTGTAAGCTAAAGTCTGGAAAGTCGTTTAAAAAGTCTAAATTTCCTTCATTTATAACCACTAAAACCCCCTTGGAAGCAGGAGAAAAGGGGGGGGGGAATCTTTGTTTAAGCTTGCAGGAGAGGGAGTGAAGAAAGATAAGTTTCCACCGTCTCAAACCTGGGAATGGGCGGTCAGAGACAGAAATTGTTGGAGAGGTTCACTGACTGTGAATGGAATATTTTGACAGATAGCTAAAGAAGAGAAATAAACTGATTCCAATGTTGCCTTTTGCATTCTAAAGAAACAAAATATCTGAAAAATGAAAGTAATTTTCCTTTGTTGGACTTGCCTTAAAAAGATGGATACAAATAGAAATTGTCTCCTCTAGAGGGAGCTTGTTAAATTGTTGCTGCAGTCTACTTGAGGACTCTACAGCTGTGAGATTAAGATCGTGGGACCAGTCCTTTTGACCTCGAATAAAAATGAGCTGGGAGGAAGTTTTGGTGCTTGCTTTATGCAAGACAAGTGCTTTGTTGGAACAGATGCATGAGAAGATAGATTTGATGAATGAGAAAACGGATTTGATGACTGTTGTGGTCAATAACTGTGGACAAACAGGGAATATTGATACAGAAACCATTCAGGGACCAGCTCAGGAACCTGTATTGATTGGGCAAGTGCAGAAGATAATGGAGGAGGTTGCGGTTGCATCTCAAATAATACAAATGGAGAGATCCGAGGCCCTGCAGGAGCATAAGCCGCTGTTTTTGAAGATTGAAGTTGGAGTGGGCCAGGGGGAGTTTGGAGCTGAGGAGGTTCTTAACTTCGGAGGGACTTTGAAATATGCTCTTAAATATTTTTGGATTACATTGATGACTGTGGGGAGTGGGACTGTGGGAATGGGCTGGTTTGATGAAGGAGATGGAGATAATCTTGGGCTGGAACCTCCTAGAGACCTACTCCTCAATGAGAAAGGAAAGAAATTAAGAAAGAGACCAACAAAAGACAAGGAAAAGTGCAGGTATAAACAAGAAGAAGAAGATCTGCAGAAGGGACATGGAAGAGACTTAAGAGCCTCGGACATAAGATTACCGGGTTGATGGACTAGATGGAATGGACAGTAAGGACTGACATGACCCGAGACCAGGAAGAAGAGACGCTGGATGTAGATTGGAAGAAAATTTATAAAGAAAAAATTTTATTTAGGGAATTAGCCTAAAATTAACAAATAATAGGGAAAATGTTGGAATGAAACTATATGGCTTTAGTAGAAATGATATAAGGAGTTATGTATAATTGAATATTAAGTTTCAAGCTTTAAGGTATTTTACGGTAAGATAAGGTTAAATAAATTAAGGCAATTTGAATAACAGAATATGGGGAAAGATGGAAAGGATTTGTTGAGTTAATTAATAGGTTAAATTGTTAAGATAAATTATTCAATAAAAATTGAGAAAGATGGAAAGAATTTGCTGAAATAACTAATTAAACTAGAATACAAAAAGGGAGGTGTGAGGAGGTCAATGAAACAAGCAAATGGAAGTTAAAGATATGTAACATGGGATTTGTGTCTTTTTAAAAAATCTTTTTGCTGTATTGTTGTATTGGTTTTTATGCTTTGTTTTTCTTTCTTTCTTCTTTTTTATGTATTGTAGTGTTGTTACCTATTTTTTCTTTTTTTTTGTAACTCTGAAACTTTTAATAAATATTATTAAAAAAAAGAAAAGAAAGGAAGGCTGGGGAGAGAGAAGATGCTTGGAAAGAACAGTTTCATTTCAGGCTGATTACTCTGGGATGTCTACCGTATTTTTTGCCCTATAGTACGCACTTTTTCCCCTCCAAAAATGAAGGGGAAATGTGTGTGCATCCTGTGGGGCGAATGCAGGCTTTCGCTGAAGCCTGGAGAGCGAGAGGCATTGGTGCGCACCGATCCCTCTCACTCTCCAGGCTTCAGGAAGCTATCTGCAAGCCTTGGGAGCTCCGCGGGAGTTCCTGTCTGGTTCCCAAGGCTTGCGGACAGCAGCCTGCAGCCCGAAACCTGGGGAGCGCAGTGGAGCACACCCCGGGCTTTGGGCAGCTCTCCGCAAGCCTTGGGAGCCTGACGTGACTTCCCGCCGGGCTCCCAAGGCTTGCGGATAGCAGCCTGTTCTGGGGCTTCCACTGCCCCAGCCCTGCGCCTGGGGGGGATATATTTTTTTTCTTTATTCCCCCCCAAACTAGGTGCGCCCTAAGGGCCAGTGTGCCCTATAGGGCGAAAAATACGGTATTTTCTCCCTTTCCCACTTGCTCTTGATTATGGTGGAAAGGGAACTTTGCAACCACTTTGTCTTGACATTTGCTAAATGTCCCACTTGGGGGTACTGTCTGCTTACTTATCCATGTTGAAACAGTTTGCATTTTAAAAAAGTTCTTGTGAAAATTCATCAATAATTTAGTCGGCATTCCTCCTAGTACCTAATATGCACATGTTTGTAAAACAATTTGAGGAGAAACTGTTGAGCAGAGAAGCTTTGTCTTCCTTGCTTCAGGCCTTTATTTATTTGTTTTATTGAATTTAAACACTGCTCCATACCCGCAAGTCTCAGTAGTGGGTCTCTGTTGGAATCCAAGGCTGTGGCTATGGAAGAAGCAAGACCCTTTCGGGGTGTCAGTGATGTGAGCCCTTTCATCATAAGCTCAGGTTGTATATATGTGTAAATAATCCATATCTATATAAGACCACAGTCTCTGCCGTGCCTCATTTACAAAATGAAACAAGGGCCTGGGTAGGTGCTTGGACCCCTGGAATCTCACACTGCTTGAAGAATGGGGTGTGCATGAAACAATATTACAGGGTTGCTGAAACAAAGAAGGGGTGCAAAGTGCTCCCAAGGGACCCCTCCTAATTGAGTGGGTGGGCAGTAAAATGACAAGTGCACTTCATTGTAAACAATTCTGATGTTATGCAGGTTGGGTAAAAAAAAATATTAATTTCACTCATGCATTTATGGCATATGTGGCAATGACTGACCAGGAAGGGTTGCTGTAGATTGCTCATAAGAAGCTGCCTTATACTGGGTCTGGACTTTGGTCCATGCAGCTCAGTACTGTATTGTCTACACTGACTGGCAGCAATGGCTTTGGTTTCAAGCAGCAGGTCTCTCCTTCCAGCCCCAGCTGGAGATACCCTTGAAGACTGAACCTGGGGCCATCTGAATCCCAAGCAGATGCTCTGCAACTGAGCTGTGGTCTTTCCCGAAATGCTGACTCAATATAGCAGAGGAAGAGGAAGAGCGCTGCCTTCGCCAGCAGGAGCACAGAAACTCCTCAAAGGGCTGGAGAAGGAATGGTCCCATTGTAACCGCAGCCAGATCAGGATACTCCACTTTGGATTGCTCCATGACCCAGCAAGGACTCAGCTGCAAAGAGAGACCAGAGTCCAGAGCACTCTGCTGAGCTTGTGAAGACCACTGCTTCCACGTTGCAAGGTCTCTTTATTTTTCAAAAGGAGGAATGAAAATCCTGAGTCTGCAGGAATGGGGTCTGAAAACAGCAAACAAAAAAAGGTTTTCTCAGCCAAGTCAGACACTTTGTGGCTTGTTTCCCTGTTCAGTTCAGGGAGTAGCTCAATACACCTTACTCCCAGGTAAGTGGAGGGACGATTACAGGCAGCAGTGATCACCACCATCCTTAGCAAAGCATTTGGGTGTCAGAGTACAGGATATAGTCAACACAACTCCCTTTCAACAAGCTTCAAGAATCTCCTTCCCAATCAAACCCAATAGTTTTTTGAAAACACAATCACCCTCTTAATGCATGTAGTAATTCTGATAAGACCATGATTAGCATATCTATTTCACATGTTGAGCAAGACCGGAGTCTGAGTTTTGTTCACTGGTATTGTCTACCATCATGATGGTGGGTTTATAACGATTACCATTGTTCTTTTCTCCACTGTAATTTGCATGTGATATTCAGAGATCAGGAAGTGAGAAGATGCGAGACAGAGACTGGTCAAAGTGTGGCCAGGAGATGACATAAAATGAAATGGGAAAAAAAAGTTTAGAAAGATTTTTATAAAAAGACCAGAAAGCTTTCTCTTAGGTATTTTAGGACTAGCTGTCCCCACTGATCAAATGATTTTATTCCTTTATGCAATTACAGAAGCCCAGATGTTATATGCCGAGAAATGGAAAGAGAGAACAATACTAACAAAGGAGGAATGGCAGATGAAATTGATGGAATAGGTAGAGTTAGCAAATTTAACTAATATAATAATAGAACAAGAAGAAGGAGATATTAAGGAAGAGTGGAAAATGTTTGTAAAATATTTGAAGAATCATGGTAAATTAACTAAACTGTTAACAGGAGTAAATATAGCAGTTTATATGAAGAAATAATGAGAAGGTGGGGGGATCTGAATTTAAAAAAAATATGCCTTAGTATTGGCAGCAGGGAAGGGAAGTCATTGATTATTGTTTGGTTGTATTGACTAGAATGTAAAAATATGTATTGGAAAATTATTAATAAAATTTATATATATAAAAAAACAAAAACAGAGAGGTCAAACTACCCCCACCCTGACCATCCTTCCTCTGTTTCATCTAGGCTGGCGGAGCAAGTTTTATTTGTATAACCCTTATTTCTGAAACAACTTTATTGGTTCTGTTGCATGTTCATTTAAGAATGTTGAAGGTAGACTCATTGAAAATGAAAGAGGATTGGGGGGGCCGCTAGGGGCGCCTTGGAAGGTGGTGGTGTTGGTAAACCTTGGACAGGTAATTCTACCTACCCTCAACTCCTGGATGAATTGTCCCTCAAAGAGGTTGAGGTGAGGAATAATGAGGAGCGTTTAATTATACAAACTCTTTGGATTGCAGCTCCTGCCAACATAGCAGTTCGAAAGCACACCAGTACAGGTAGATAAATAGGTACCACTGCGGCGGGAAGGTAAATGGCATTTCTGTGTGCTTTGGTTTCCATCATGGTGTCCTGTTGTGCCAGAAGCGGTTTAGTCCTGCTGCCCACATGATCTGGTAAGCTGTCTGTGGACAAACGCCGGCTCCCTCAGCCTGAAGCGAGATGAGAGTCAGTGTGGTGTAGTGATTAAGAGTGGTAGACTCGTAATCTGGTGAACCGGGTTCGCTTCCCCGCTCCTCCACATGTAGCTGCTGGGTGACCTTGGGCCAGTCACACTTCTCTGAAGTCTCTCAGCCCCACTCACCTCACAGCGTGTTTGTTGTGGGGAAGGAAGGGAAAGGAGAATGTTAGCTGCTTTGAGACTCCTTCAGTTAGTGATAAAGTGGGATATCAAATCCAAACTCTTCTTCTTCTGAGTGCCACAACCCTAGTCCCCTTTGACTGGACTTAAATGTCCAGGGGTCCTTTACCTTGTCATAGTGTTACTATGTTTGTGCGCATCTTCTCTGCAGTGCAGGAAAAAAAATCCATATCCCTCTCTTTGGGGTGAATGATAATCAGTTGCAGTGTAGGCTTTACAAGCTCTAAGCGCGCTTAGCTGAATGAATTACAGTCAAAATAAAAGACATGTTATTTGACTTGAGTCCCAGTTGAGGTCAATACCTCTTACATTGATATGGCAAGTAGTTGTTGCCTGGTGTTAATTGCCTCTGTATTCTGTGGGAGAGGAAAGGCTGGGAAAGGTAAGGCAATGTCTCTTGATTTTTTATAACAGACCCTCCAAGTGTCCCTGTTTTCCAGGGACAGTCCTGGATTTGCAGAAGACACCCCAGTTTCTGATTTGATCCTGGAATGCCCCACTTTTCCTTAAGACATCCCTATGTTGGACCATTTCGATCAGATACTCCCTGCTGATGTGGATAGATTCCTCCAAGTTGGTAGGCCCACCACCTGCCTCCTTGATCCGTGCCCATCTTGGCTGATTAGGGAGTGTCCAGATGTCGCGCGGACCCCCCTGGTTGAAATTATCAATTTGTCCCTTGACACGGGGACATTCCCAGCGGAACTGAAGGAAGCAGTGGTGTGTCCACTCTTAAAGAAAACTTCATTAGATCCCTTAGACCTATCCAATTACTGCCCAGTTTCAAATCTTCCATATCTGGGTAAGGTAATTGAGAGAGCGGTTGCTGAACAGCTTGGTAGGTTTCTGGAGGAAACATCGGCTTTAGATCCATTTCAGTCCGGTTTACGTCCTGGTTTTGGGACCGAGACGGCTCTGGTTGCCCTAACAGATGATCTCCGTAGACAACTGGATCGAGGCAGGTCAGGAGTACTGATTCTTTTAGATTTGTCAGCAGCCTTTGACATGGTCAATCATGATCTTCTGGACCACCGCCTCGCCAACGTGGGAATACAGGCATAGCCCGTAAATGGCTGTGCTCTTTTATCTCTGGTCGGGAACAGAGGGTGGCACTAGGGAGGGAGATGTCATCGTGCCACTCCTTGGTGTGTGGAGTGCTGCAGGGCGCAATTCTCTCCCCGATGCTTTTTAACATCTTTATGCGCCCCCTTGCCCAGATTATCCGGAGCTTTGGGCTGGGCTGTCACCAATGACACTCAGCTCTATCTGCTGATGGATGGCCACACCGACTCGGCCCCGAACAAATTGACCAGATGCTTGGAAGCTGTGGCTGGATGGTTTCGTGGGAGCCGATTGAAACTAAATCCTTTGAAGACAGAGGTCCTCTGGCTGGGTCGGGATGGCATGGGGATGAGGGACCAACTCCCTTCTCTTGCGGGGGCCCAATTAGTGCCATTGCCTTCCGTTAAGAGTTTGGGTGTAATCCTTAACGCCTCCCTTTCCATGGAGGCGCAAGTTACAGCAACAGCCAAGGCGACATTTTTCCACCTTCGCCGCATCAAGCAGTTGGTCCCTTACCTTTCCTGCCCCGATCTGGCCACAGTGATCCATGCGACGGTCACCTCCAGGCTTGACTACTGTAATTCGCCCTTGAAGCTGTCCCAGAAACTCCAGCGGGTGCAGAATACTGCAGCGAGGCTCCTCACAGGGTCTCTGCCATGGGAGCATATTCACCCAGTGCTTTTCCAGCTGCACTGGCTCCCGGTGGAGTACAGGGTCAGATTTAAGGTGCTGCTTTTGACCTTTAAAGCCCTTCATGGCCTAGGACCCTCATACCTACGGGACCGCCTCTCCTGGTATGCCCCACGGAGAGCCTCAAGGTCCATAAATAGCAACACCCTAGTGGTCCCAGGTCCTAAGGAAGTTAGATTGGCTTCAACCAGAGCCAGGGCCTTTTCAACTCTGGCTCTGGCCTGGTGGAACGCTCTGTCTCATGAGACCAGGGCCCTGCAGGATCTGATTTCTTTCCGCAGGGCCTGTAAGACAGAGTTGTTCCTCCTGGCCTTTGGCTTGGAGCCAATTTGATTCCCTCCCTCTCTTTCTTTTTTCTTTTCCTTCTCCTCCTGCGATAAGGCTACATTTTAATATTTTAATGTTTCAATATTTTAATGTTGTATTTTAATTTTGTTTTTAAGTTGTAATCATTCAACTTGTTTTTATTATTGCTTGTAAGCCGCTCTGAGCCCAGCCTTGGCTGGGGGGGGGGAGTGCGGGTATAAATAAAAAATTATTATTATTATTATTATTATTATTATTATTATTATTTTCACCAGAGAAATGCTGGAGGGTATGGAGTTATGTGACCCCCATTCCAAGGATTTGTTGTTGTTTAGTCGATTAGTCATGTCCGACTCTTCATGACCCCATGGACCAGAGCATGCCAGGCACTCCTGTCTTCCACTGCCTCCCGCAGTTTGGTCAAACTCATGTTCGTAGCTTCTAGAACACTGTCCAGCCATCTCCTCCTCTGCCGTCCCCTTCTCCTTGTGCCCTCCATCTTTCCCAGCATCAGGGTCTTTTCTAGGGAGTCTTCTCTTCTCATGAGGTGGCCAAAGTATTGGAGTCTCAGCTTCAGGATCTGTCCTTCCAGTGAGCACTCAGGGCTGATTTCCTTAAGAATGGAGAGGTTTGATCTTCTTGCAGTCCATGGGACTCTCAAGAGTCTCCTCCAGCACCAGAATTCAAAAGCATCAATTCTTCAGCGATCACCCTTCTTTATGGTCCAGCTCTCACTTCCATACATCACTACTGGGAAAACCATAGCTTTAACTATAAGGATCTTTGTCGACAAGGCAATGTCTCTACTTTTTGAGATGCTGTCTAGGTTTTTCATCGCTTTTCTCCCAAGAAGCAGGCATATTTTAATTCTGTGACTGCTGTCAACCATCTTCCATGATCATGGAGCCCAAAAGGTCAAATCTGTTACTGCCTCCATTTCTTCATACTACCTAAAGTCAGATCTGCATAGGGAAGGTTTTTATTGATTCATATTTTATTATGTTTTTATATCTGTTGGAAGCCCCCCAGAGTGGCTGGGGCAATCCAGTCAGATTGGTGGGGTATAAATAATAATAATAAAATCATGGAATAGGGCATCCCTATTTTCATCAGAGAAATGTTGGAGAGATTTTTTATAGGTGGGTTTATTGAGTTCCCTCTGATGGCCAGAAAACTGGTTCTGAAATAGCACAGTTCAGAGAGCTCAATGATCTCCCCCCACCCACCCACTTGAAGAGCCATAGGTTACTCCTTAAGTAAGAACTAAAAGCCTTTCATAACAACCTGGAGTTGTACTTAAAGACAACATGTGGATGTTCTGCATTTCTAGGTTTGCCAGTTCTGGTCCCTAGGGAATCACTGTTGCTCAAGCATGTGGACGTGCAACAGGGGACCCTTTCACCCACTTGAAAAGGAGCGCACAGAAGCTGTCTTTAAAGGTGCCAGGGGGCCCATAGGTAAGCGATGGGCAGAACCTGAGGCAAGTGGGCAGAGCAGTGGGTATAAATTTTGCCTTTGTATGGTGGGCTACCTTCTCCACCAGTGGGTCTCAGAGGGCGTGGCAGGAGGAGGATACAAGGGCAATTCAAGAATCCTAGAATCATAGAGTTGGAAGAGACCACAAGGGCCATCGAGTCCAACCCCCTGCCAAGCAGGAAACACCATCAGAGCACTCCTGACATATGGTTGTCAAGCCTCTGCTTAAAGACCTCCAAAGAAGGAGACTCCACCACACTCCTTGGCAGCAAATTCCACTGTCGAACAGCTCTTACTGTATGTAAACATTTCAGTGTTCATCAAAATAATAAGATTTTTTTAATATACAACTAGAAACAGTGTCCATGTATCTCTTCAAGAGCTTTGTCATTCTCCATGACTTATTATTGTGAACAACTCTCACAAATATTTATTTATTTTAATTTAATTTATATACTGCCCTATACCTGGAGGTCTCAGGGCAGTTCACAGAACAAACTCAAAATATAAAACCACAAAATAGATAATCAAATCAAAATAAAAACAACAACCCAATACTCCCTCAAAACCCACATTTTAAAAGGGCATAGGATGTCAAAAATCAGCCAAAGGCCTGCTTAAAAAGGAATGTTTTTGCCTGGTACCTAAAAGTGTCTTCTTCTTCCTGTTCTGTGGTGATCCCTCATAGCCGTGTCAGATTGTCTTCCATAAACATGGTCATAACAGTGAGTCCATAAGTTACTGTGAAAGCCAATTCTGGAACAACAAGTCCTTCCACAGTGGGGACATTGGTTTCGGGGTGGGAGTTGATCATGGTGAAGGTTTGCAAAGCGTGTCTTCCTCTTAGCATGTTTCACCTTTTCGTATTGAGTTCGAGTGTCTTCAAAGCCCATGACACCTTTGGTAAAGGCTGTTCTCCAATTGGATCACTTGCAGACCAGTGTTTTCCAGTTGTGGGTGTTTATACTACGTTTTTAAAGATTTGGCTTGAGAGAGTCTTTCAACATATTTTTTGACCACCAGCATTATGCTTTCCATTTTTAAGTTCAGAATAGAGTAGTTGCTTTGGAAGACAATAATCAGGCATCCGCACAACATGACCAGTCCAAAGAAGTTGATGTTGAAGAATCATTGTTTAAAGGTGTATAATGAAGGCGCCCGGCAAACTTCCCTGGGGACAGCATTCCACAGACAGGGAGCCACTGCAGAGAAGGCCCCGTTCTTGTGTTGCCACCCTCCGGACCTCTTGAGGAGGCACAAAAAGAAGGGCCTCGGAAGATGATCTCAGGGTCTGGGTAGGTTCACATGGAAAGAGGTGGTCCTTGAGGTATTGCAGTCCTGAGCTATTTAAGGCTTTATAGGTCAAAACCAGCACTTTGAATTGGGCCTGGAAACTAATTGGTAGCCAGTGCAGTTGGACCAGGATCAGTGCAATAATGCTCAAACTGTCTTGCCCCGGTGAGCAACCTGGCTGCTGAATTCTGCATCAGGTGAAGTTTCTGACCCTTCTTCAGAGGCAGCCCTACGTATAACACATTGCAGTAATCTAACCTTGAGGTTACCAGAGCATAGACAACAGTAGTTAGTCTATCCCTGTCCAGATAGGGGTGTAGCTGGACCACCAGCTGAAGCTGATGGAAGGCACTCCGGGCCACTGAGGCCACCTGAGCCTCAAGCAACAGCAAAGGATCCAGGAGGACCCCCAAGCTACGAACCTGCTCCTCCAGAGAAGTGTAACCCCATCAAGAGCAGGCGACCTCCCAGCCATCTGGTCCAGGGAACCACCCACTAACAGTGCCTCAGTCTTATCCCAGTATGTTTCTGAGTACAATTTGAAGTGTTGGTGCTGACATTCAAAGCCCTCAACTGCCTCAGCCCAGTATACCTGAAGGAGCGTCTTCACCTCCATCCCGGACACTGAGGTCCATCTCCAAGGGCCTTCTAGCAGTTCCCTCCCTGCGATAAGGGAGGTTACAGGGAACCAGGCAGAGGGCCTTCTCGGTGGTGGCGCCCTCCCTGTGAAACGCCCTCCCATCAGATGTCAAAGAAATAAACAACTATCTGACTTTTAGAAGACATCTGAAGGCAGCCCTGTTTGGGCAAGTTTTTAATGTTTGATGTTTTATCATGTTTTTAATAACCTGTTAGGAGCTGCCCAGAGTGGCTGGGGAAACCCAGCCAGATGGGCAGAGTATTAATAATAATAATAATAATAATTAGCTTCAGTCTGTTGGCTCTCATCCAGACACATTGGTCCAGCACTTCCACTGCCTCACCTGCAGATGTAAAGGAGAAATAGAGCTGAGTGTCATCAGCATATTGCTGACAACGCACTCCGAACCTCCAGATAACCTCATTTCATGTAGTGGTTTCATGTAGATGTTAATAGGAAAGACCAGAAAAAAAGAAAAGCTTATTTGTGTTGGTTGTGGAGTTGAGTTTGCCTGTCTCAAACTGGACCTGATACATTACTTTTACAATAAATAGTCGAGCATCGACGTCTTAACGGCGGCGTCGAGATTCGAACTCGCAGCCCGCTGCTCTCCCTCTAAATTCCCCCTCACGCTTCCCTCCCTTCCAGCGTCGCGCAAGCGCAGCGCCGCCATCTTGGTGACGCAGGAGGGCGTGGCTTCAGGCACGGAGGGGGCGTGGCTCCCGATTCCGGACTCGGGAGGACTTTCGAAAAGCTCCCGCAGCCGCCGAGGGGGAAGGAGGAGGCGGATCAGGTGCGGCGGATCGGGCCCCGGTCGCTCTCCCCCGCCGCTCCCCCTCGGGACCCCGGGCCCTTTATTGACTTGGCGGCAGCAGGTGGAGGCAGCCGCGGGTGAGGCGACGGCGCGGGGGGGCGAGCGGGAGGCCGCTCTCTGTGAGGGACGCGGAGGGTAGGGCCGCGGCGGCGGCGGCGGCGGCGGCTTTGTGTCCCTCTGCACCATTGGCTGGAGCAGGGAGGCAGCGTGGAAAGGACGGCGACGCTGATTGGCTGCGCGCGCTCCGGGGAGCGGGGAGGGAAGGAGGGCGATACAATTGGCTGGGCGGTCGGTCCACCTCCCTCTCTCCGTCCGGAGGGGAGGGGCGAAGGGAGGAGGGCTGGCCCCTACCCCACACACTGGCTCATGGGGGGGGGGGAGTCCACTTCCCCTCAAATCCAAATAATAAAAATAATATAGCGAGGGGCTGAATCTTAGAATGCTCACTCCATTTGCAAAGGCTGAATGGGGGGTTAGGTTTTTTTGGGGGGGAGGAGGAATAGCTTGGATTTGGATCCTTCCCCTTCGATCTTCATCAGAGGCGTACCTAAGATCAAGTGCACTCTTTGCAAGAAGCTGTATCTCCAACCCCCAGCCATAAAAAGAAAATGTTACCCAAGTACTCTTAAGTGCATCCAGAGTGAATTGTAGTCCAAAACATCTGGAGGGCATTAGGTTGGCGAGTGCTGTTTTAAGGTACGGGGGCAGGATCGTCAGATGCAGAAAGGCACTGGAGCTTTGGCAGAAATTTGTAATTATTTTCAAAGGACATCAGGTGTTTAGGATGCCTGTTTTGGAGAGACCAGCTGCCCTTCTGGGTTTTGTTGTTGTTGTTGTTTAGTCATGTCCGCCTCTTCGTGACCCCCTGGACCAGAGCACGTCAGGCACTCCTGTCTTCCTTCCTCCTGCAGTTTGGTCAAACTCAAGTTCGTAGCTTCGAGAACACTGTCCAACCATCTTGTCATCCCCTTCTACTTGTGCCCTCAATCTTTCCCAACATCAGGGTCGTTTCCAGGGAGTCTGAGCACTTCTTCTCTCCATTATTGTCATCTGCCCTTAATCTCAGCGAAATATGAGCTATGCAGGAGGGAGGAGGTGTCACTTTGCATGCGCTAGGTGTGGGTTACTCTCCTTTTTAAAAGTCAAACTGTGGGACCCTGGTTGAAATTAGCTTTCAGTAACCCAGGACCTCCATACACCCTGCTCAGTCTTGTGCTCCACAGAGGAGGCACTCTCCATTGTCTCTCAATACCGATGGATGCCCTCCTATAGTCCCATTGGAGTTAACAGCAGCTTACATCTGAGTATACACGAATAGGATTGCTCTGCATTCATTTCCCAAGCACACCATTGCTCAGGACAGTCTCTCTCCCCTTGGCTAAAATACGTATTAAAAAAAAATAATTGGTGTGCAATAATTGAAAACAACAGCAACCACACTATGCTCTGCTACCCAGAATCTAAAGGCCTAAGGAATACTGTACTTGCATAGGACAGTCTGAGTTTTTCTGATATCCCATGAAGGCTGCCAGCAGCCAGTTAGAGGCCACAGAAAGTTGGAGGATGCAGTGAGGTGGTAATTCATGTTTTTTCTTGTCAACCAGTCTCTAGTTATTGAGCTGTTGCGTGTTTGGTCACAAAGAGAGCCACTTGAGTGTAGAGAGCTGGTAAAACCTGGGAGACCAGAGTTCAATAAGTAGATCCCAGTAAGTTCATTGTAACTTACTTCCTTACTACAGCAAAATCCATAGCATATCTACTGAGAGGTAAGTCTCATTAAATTTAATGGGATTTATTCCCAGGTTAGGCTGCAAGCCTAACTCCACTTACTTGGGAGTAAGTCCCACTGAACTCAGTGAGATTTACTTTAGAATAGATTTGGTTAGGATTACACTGTTAGTATGGCTAGGATTGTGCTGCAGGTTTATAATATAAGTAACCCCATAAGTAACCCCAATGTGAATTCAATTGGACATGCTAATATATACTTTTAGGTTTGCTGATTTAATCTGGTCTAGAATAGTAACAAGGACGCGGGTGGTGCTGTGGTCTAAACCACAGAGTCTAGGGCTTGCCGATCTGCGGTTCGAATCCCCGTGACGGGGTGAGCTCCCGTTCCTCGGTCCCTGATCCTGCCCACCCAGCAGTTCAAAAGCATGTCAAGTGCAAGTAGATAAATAGGTACCGCTCTGGCAGGAAGGTAAACGGCGTTTCCGTGCGCTGCTCTGGTTCGCCAGAAGTGGCTTAGTCATGCTGGCCACATGACCTGGAAGCTGTCTGCGGACAAACACCAGCTCCCTCAGCCTATAGAGCGAGATGAGCGTGCAACCCTAGAGTCATTCGTGGCTGGACCTAACAGTCAGGGGTACCTTTACCCTTACCTTTAGAATAGTAAAAAACTAAATGGAATCTAATTAATTGTTCAGTATTCATACGAAAACCAATAATAATTGTGAAGCAGAGAACCTTCTGAACCTAGACAAGGCACTTAAACATTATAGTTTGGTTAATTCTTAGAATTTAAGTGTATACTGTTTTCTTTGCAAAAGTGGAGGGTAGGGACAGCATCAGAATAACAAGCACAAACTTGATAAATGTCCACTTTATGAAATCATGCTTCTTTTCCCAACTTATGAGAATTGGCAGGAATTAGATTTGTGGCTTCTTTAGCCCATATCCACCTCACAGTCTCTTCTCTTTCTGACTTTTCCTTTAGTGCTGCAAACCAAATTGTGGGAAATCCTGAACCAGAGCCGTTAAGGTCTACTGCACATAGACATGCAGACAATATAGTCTCACACAATTATCCAGAGCTAGACTAAAACACTTTGCTGCCCTAGAAGGGGTGGCGAATGAGCCTCATCCTACACCCCAAATCAGTGTGCATGGTAGCCAAGGCTTGCCACTTTCTTCTAGCACATGAAGCAGAAAATCCAACAAGCTATGGTACTTTCTTGCTCTGTGTCCATATAAAATACATTAAAACCATTAACAGTTGCTGCCCTTTCTATGTCACCCAAAATCAGCTGCCTGAGGCAGCTATCCTACTCTGATGGTCATGCACAGATGTTGCTCCTCACCTTCATTTACCTTTCCATGGAAACTAAAACATATCTCCCCTCCTTCAGTTTCTGCTGCACAGCTGTTTAAAGTGCTGCTGTCCCTTTAAAAACATCAACCAGCCTTGCTATTCTTTCTGCAACATCCCACATACCTATCTTCCCCCTTTAAGAGCAGCCTCTCCCTCTGTCCCACCTGCCATGACCCCTCTTGTCTTTATTAGGGCTGAATAATGGGAATCTGGCCCTTTCCCTTCCTTTCTTCACAAAGGGTGTTTGGCTCCATGGCTGAAGTGTGGAGGATGTCGTTTTTTGCAAAATTGTCGGTGATATTTTTGTAGAGTTTCTGCAAATCTTGCTGTGGCGAATTATGGGAGGTTAACAGTACAGTTGTGTCAGTAATTATGTGGTGTTTCATGCAGTTAATGGATACAGAAGACAAGCTCAGGGAGCTTGCAGTTCAGGGAATAGGAGGGAATGAAGAGTCATGGGTAATGAGGGAAAGCTCGATTGGTTGTTTTTTTTGTCCTGACCATTTTGATTTTAAAGTTTAAAGCTATTGCAGTATGAGCAAAGCGGTATAAAATGTGTGTGGTTTAAGCAAGCAGGGGAGAAAAGTATAGATGCATTAGGCTATGTTACAGTGTATTATATGTGTGGTCCCTGTTCCACATTGGGCGAGGATATGGCTGAGAGAGAAAGGTCTGTAAAAAACACTTAGCTGAGTATAAAGATCCCACCTCATATTCTCTTCAGGTTGATCTCTGCTGTGCAGGGGGCAGGAGGAGGGGGGAGGACAGGTGGGGGGGGGACAGGAAGTGGACTGGGGATAATATTTTCTCCCCCACTCCATTTTCAATTCTCACCAGAAGTTGTGAGTAAAACAAAGTTATATGAATCAATATTATGCTGTATTTCCATTAAAGCAATTAGTCTTAAGTAATGACTAGACTCCAGACCCTTTAAAAATGTTTTCTAACTTCACACAGCAGCATTTTTTTAAAAGAAAAGTGGGCAGGGGTGCAGTGATGATGAATAGGACAGAGAAGTCTTCCTCTATCCCGTCCAGTGTATACTGGGGAATGAAAACACATGTCATGAACATGGTTCCATTCCAGCACTCTTGGTATCCCTGTTCACCCATCTGCAGAGAAAGTCGCTCCTGTGGCAAAATAGATTCCAGAATATTGAAAATGAGAATGCCATGTGTTCTGGGACTCTAGTGTGAATGTTTCTTTGCTACCCAAGATGTATTTACTTGCACTGTAGGAAAGATAAGGCTTCATTTTACTTGCAGCTGCTTAGCATATGCTTTTGAAGCTGGATTTGAGGTTGCATTCATAGGTTTTATGATGGATTCTCAAGGGGCTCATTTAGAATATGCCTGCTCTGTGTGCTTGGCCCTGTAAGTAGTGTCTGAATTGCTGTAGTCTCTATAGTTCTGGACTTTCGTAGTGTCTCATAACAGAAGCCTGCTTCAGGTATTCCCACTTTCCACCAGAGTTTGCAGAGGAACAAATGTGTTGTTAGTAAGGCTTTCTATACTGTGGTGTGTAAGAATAATCTTTAAATGTAGCTATTTTTTAAATGTTGGTGTCCTTGCAAATGCCAGTGAACTTAGCTGTGTTACATATACTCCTTTGCTTCAGGAATAATAGAATCATAGAGTTAGAAGGGGACCCTGAACGTCAGTATAGGAATCCTGTACACACCCTTCTCTGGGTGGGCCATTTACTGACATCCATATCCCCACTTGTTCTTGGAAGCTCAGGTTGTGCAACTTTTCTAATATAAAAAGGGTGAAGAATATATAAAAATGCATACAGTACAGATGGCCATAGATACTCAATCAGAACCCCCTAATAGATTAACTCCCAAATTCCAATTGCCAGCCTACATAGAAGTGTGTTGGGTAGCATCTTTAAATTCCACATGCTCCTATTCTTACAGACCTTCTGAAGAAGACAGTGATTGGTTGTATAGCAGCAGCTCCTGAGAAGTAATAGCTGTAACTTAACATTGAATTATCACCCATGATGTGCTAAGCCCTCTACAGAGAAGAACACCTCTCTATGTGTTCTGAGGAAATTGTGCTGTTAAGAGGTGCATTTGATTGGTGGCTGCTGTACCATGGAAAACTGGGTGCTTCTTAGTGATGTTTGCATGTGAAGCTTCAGTTTAAGAATTATTACTTGTTCCTAGAATTAGCAGTTGGCTCCAGGGGTCACAGATACTTCTTATTTTCTTGCAGAATGTGAAGAGCTTACCTCCAAAGGTGTCTGAGGTTGCAGCATTTCACAGGGTGGCTTCATTTCCGCCCAAAATCTGAGCTGCGTGATCAGCTGTGGCATGTCTTGTGACAATATGAATGTAGCATGAAGTAGAGCAGGAATGAGGAACCTGAGGCCTTGTTGCTGCACTACAACTCACATAATCTCTGACCATGGGGCAGGTTGGCTGGGGCTGATGAAAGGGGGAGATCATAGAATCATGGAATTGTAGCGTTGAAAGGGAGGGTCATCTAGTGGGGCTCAAATCCTGAGATTCTCATGCTCTACCAACTGAGCTATCCCAGCAACAACTGAAGGGCCACAGGTTCCCCATCCTTTGAGTTGAGGCTGGAGATGGAGGAACAAGAATGAATGCTGAAGGCTGGAGTGGTGGGGAGGAAGAAGTTTGAGAGAGGCCCTGCATCTTTATGTGACATCTCGCTGCCTTGCACGATACATCTGACAAGGCCTGGCATTGTGTTAACTGTTCTGCACAGACAGCCTTTCATAAAGGTGGTGGAGGGGAGTGCTGACATTTCCTCACACAGACTGGCCACCTGCAGAGTCTGCTTCAAACAGGGTGAAAAAGAGTTCACTGCTTCCTTATGGTTGCTCCAGGCAGTTTCTTGCCAGAGGAAAGGACTTGGCTAATTTTCTGTCCTGTTTGCGTCACTGTTTTGTACTTGCCTTTGCTGCCTGTGTTAAGGGCATTCTTTTGATAGTGAAACCTTCTGTAAGGGGATATCTTTAATTCATAAATCTCTAATACACAGTAGCACCTCCAGAAAGAAACATAACTTGCCTTAAGTGTGTGTCATAGCCAAAGTCCCTAGGTGGTGATCTGCATCTATCCCTGGTTGCCCAAAGTTTGCTTGCAAATGCTGCAGTCCTTGTGTGCTCTTACCTGAGAGATTTCTGTTCTGTTATATTGCCTGACCTTTGCATTACAGGGTAATAGGGTGTGGCGTTGGCATGCCTGAGACAGGTTTTTTGGGCTGGAGGGGGGAGTGGACAGAGCTGCATTGGAAGGATGACCAAATAGGCAATTGTTTCAGCTGCTTTCTCTAACAATCATAATGGAACTGGTCTGCGAGCCAGCAGCCAGACATCACCTGTGCCAACTCACAGGGTGTTTGCTGCTTGTTCAAATACAGCAACAGAATTAGGATGGGAGTATGAAGATGCTTTGCTCTGCTTATGCTTTGGGCTTCACAAGAAAAAATAGGTAGCACTTCATGCAGCCTTAAAAGAACTAACAAGACCTGCAAGCTTTCTCAGAACTGGCCAATTTTTGTATGTAATTGTTGGGCTGACCGTTGTTCTCAGTTTTGCATTAAATGTCCTGGTTCTTTTTGTTGCTGTTTGCAGAAAGGAAGGAGAGGGTTTTTTGGTAGAGGTAAGTGGGGAAGAATAATAGTTAGTAATATGCAAAGCCATTGGTTTTAAGTGGTTGTATCTTCCTTGGTATATCAGTTTTAGCTGGTGCTCTGGGAAAGCCTATACAGTACTGTGGTACCTTGGTTCAAGAACAGCTTAGTTTATGCACAACTTGTATTAAGAATGCTGCAAACCCGGAAGTAGGTGTTTTAGTTTGTGAACTTTGCCTTGGAAGCATGTTCTGCTTCCTGTTGAGTGTAAATTGAAAAACGCTTTGGTTTAAGAATGGACTTCAGGAGCAGATTAAGCTCATAAACCAAGGTACCACTGTACAATGTTTGAGCACAAACCACAGGAAACATGGACAGACAGACATTCCATTCAACCATAGTCAGGAAGTTGTCCTAGTGCAGTGAATAATTTTTTTTGGGGGGGGGGGGGTGGGTCTTGTCCTGTACTTGCCAGTACTTGCAGAGTACTTCCCAGTTTTTAGACCTTTTCCTCTTGCTTTTAAAAACTTATGGTGTACAAATATATACATTTTTCACTGCTAATGTGCACCCTTTTTGCAAAACCAGTCATGGTTTTACGTAGCATTTAATGTGTGGGGCAATATGAATGAGATAAGATAGGGGAGATCTGCAATAATTCCTTAATTGCTCCTGGCCAGGACTAAGTTTTCCTCTATTGCAAGTGGATTTGTAGCTTATATAATGGCAAGGGTCAGGATTCAACTCCACTGACAATATTGTGCCCTGGAGTTTCTTAAATGGCAGCACAAAGGCCTCTTTGCCAATATATATTCTTTCTTCCCTTCCCCAAGTTGTGTTCAGTGTATTGGCAATAAGCTGAGCTTCTGGGAATGGTAAAGTATTGTCTGCTACAGCAAGCCTATAATAATCCTCTGCTGTCATGACAATAGCTGAGAAGCTGTGGGTCTAAACACTCTGACAATGTTGCATGCAAATGTGAATTACTTGGTTCTTTGCTTGTGAGCGATTATTATGCCTGCTTTCTCCTATGGTTCGCTTTTTAGTAGTGCCTGTATATGGTAGCGATCAGTCTGAAAAATGTTTTTGAGTGCATGGGAATTGAGAGTGACCCAAAGCCTCATGGTAGGAAAGCACTTGCCTCCTGGTTAGATTGTTAAATATTTATTCCTTTATGGCTGTGGTTTTCCTACAATGTTCTGGGGCTCTAGTGGTGCCTCAGAAGAAGCCTGTTTGAGAGGCTTTCAACAGAAAGAGCAGTGATGGTCAAATAGCTCCCTTGAATAGATGCTTTGCTCACTGTTACCAATCTCCCCCGACACTGCACAGTTTCAGGAGGGTGTTGGGCATGCTTTAGGGGTGACTCTCTTGGTTCAAGTGTGACAACAGGCCTGGCTAGTGCTCTATTTGAGCAAAGTGCGCACCTTAGGGCAGAGGTTTTCAACCTTTTTGGGTCCACTGCTCCCTTGACCAACTACATTCTTTCTGTGGTTCCCCTGTGGGGCTCAGGAGATCAGTTATGTCCCCCCCCCCCCTTGCCTGCAGAGCTGGAAGCCTCTCACCATTTTCCAAACACCATCCCTGGTGGAGTGCTCCCTCAGCCTCCCCTCCCCTCCCTTTGGGAGTCCTCTGGGCAGCTGCTTCCACCCGCCCCCACAAAGAGAGGTGCCTCCTCACCCCCCGGGGGGGGGCTGGGAAGAGGATGCCCCCAGCCTTAGCAGCCTGACGAACACTGGCCAAAGGTGAATGTGACACCAGCACTTTACTCACCTTGGGAGGCAGCAGTGGCAGCAGCAGGCGCCACCAGGCCTGCATGGCGGAAAGTCTCTCCTTTGGCTCCAGGCACTCAGCTCCCAGGCAGGCCTTGCACACAGCAAGTAGAAGAAAGGCCAGTGTGTCGCTTACCTGCCAGACCTCTCACTTGTCACTTGTTTGGGAATAGTCCCAAAAGCAGGGGCTGGTGGACTGGTTGTCTGGGCTCCCTCACCCACTTGCTTGCTTACTCTGAGGCCCCTCAGCTCCTGGCAACCAGCACCCCCTGGCCAGCCCCAGAGGCACCATTTGCCTGGGGAGCTTGTAACCAGGGCTTCAAGAAACAGCAAGTCTTTGGGAATCAGACACGAGATGGCATCAGAGGAGGGAGGGAAGGAAAGAGGGACCAAGACCAGGGTTGCCTGTGACACCCCTCACCATCATTCAAGGCACCCCAGGGTGCCACGACACAGGTTGAATACCACTGCCTTAGGGCATGTCTAAGAACTTGCTGCAAAATTCTGTGTTCCTATTGCAGATGTGCAAGGGACTCTCAGCAAGGGTCAGTAAGTGGAAAGTGTTCCTGGAATATTAAAGAGGCTGAATTAATGGGCTCAAATTAACAGGTAGATCCAGGGAATGCTTTATGCACTGCTGGTCAAGCAGACTTCATTTTGTGAGGTCCACAACCTGGCTACCTCTGACATACAGCCACATTCAAACTTCATGAAATCTAATTTCTGTACTCCTGTACTGTATGTTTCCCTTATAGTAGTAAGATAAATTAAAGACGAGTACAAGGGCTGAGACTGGGGGGGGGGGGGCACCTGGGGTGAGTGGAAATCACCAAGAGGCCACCACTGACAGGAAGTGATGCATGTTGCCAATTCTTCCATGGTTCCCTCCATTTATCAAAATTGCCTGCAGCTAACTTCTTTCAGGAAGAAGTGTTTGTGAAGTAATTAAAGCAGTTGGCTGGAATTTAAGTTAGTAAAATAAAACTGTTCCAACCCGTTTTCTTCGCCTCCGCTGTTTGCTGTAGCAACATGTTGTGAGCGGAACTGTTTGTTTCAGCCTCCTCAAGTCTGAGATGGTTGTGAGACTGGCGTCCTTGCCAGCAGGGCTCAGGTTGTGTGCGCACATGTCTGCCGCTTCACCCAGCCTTGCAATGAAGTTGGCCAAGGTTGCCGCTGCATATGCCCACAAGAGATCAAACTGGGGGGTAGCTTTGTGAAAGGTCCCCTCCCCCCGTAACTGTGGGGTTGGGAGGGAATGACTGCTGACCCAGCTGGGGAATAGGCTAGGGATGGCTGGAAAATGAAGGTAGGCTTATGCTCTTTACTTACTCTCTTTCCCCATAAAGCAAAGGCTTTTATGATTTCTGCCATGCCAGCCCCTTTCTCAAGCCTAAACTTGATAGCACAGTTTGGAAAGCCGAAAGCAGCAGAAAGCTTTTTTGCTCAACCCAGTACTTCAGTTATGACCATTTACATCCCTCAAGAATAGCAGGCAGGCAAGAAGTTGTTGAGGCTTTGCTAAGAACTGGAGATGGGGCTATATCTGTCGTGCTTGCTGAAGGGGGCGTGTTTTCCAGTGTTTTCCTTTCTATTCTAACACCTGTTGCTTTAGTGTGCATGTTCTTTAACTGATTCTCAAACATTTTTTTTCAAACCCAGGTATCTCCCCTGTGCCATAATGGGTCTAGCTTTGTTTCTGGGCAAATATTTTAATTTGCAAACTTGCTGGTTTTTTGTTTTTCTTTAACAGCTGATGGGCCTTCTTAAGACCATAAGAATTAATGAGCTGGTAACTGATCAAAGAGAATCCTTATGTGTGCCTTGAATGGAAATGTGGATAACTGCTTGGAACATATTCTGGGGTGTTGTGTGACATACTGTGTAGATAAGTGGTTCTCAAATGTTTTTCTCTGGGCCACACTTTCAGAACAAAAAATTGCTCACTCCACATCATTTTTAAAAATTATTATTAATAAGTAGTACATTGCAAAATGAAAAGCAACAACTCATAATAATGCTTAGTATATGACATAAAACACATAGGATATCCATAAAGTATAAAACAATGCAGCTATGTATGAACATAAATCATTCACAACTTATAGTACTGATTGTCCTTGAATCTTCCTGCCACAGTTGCCATCCTCTTCTGCTACACCAGTGCACTGTGTCACACCGTTTGAGAACCACAGTGCAGATGTTGCTCCAAAATCCTTTAGTCTACCTCCTTTCCCTTGAGAGAGTGATGAAGAACATCTGCACTAGTAGTCTGGAAGGAATGTAGGCTGGTTCTGGTATCGGACTCTTGATGTAGAGCTTGCTGTGCAAGGGTGCCTTCTTCCCCATGTCTGAGAGTTTCCATCTGTTTTTGTTCAACTTGCAGGTTCGCAAGGAGGGAAGAAGGGCATATGTTGGAGAGGATGTGGAGAGAAGTTTTGTGAGTATCTAAATATTTGTGTGTTATGTAAACTGGTAACTGGTGGTCCAACGCGCAGCCTGCAGGTTCTGTGTCAAAGTACTCCTGCCGCCCACTTAGTATGAAAAGTTGGGCCACCCAGACCTATCCTCCCCCCTCCATGTCCTTCATAATCGTGTGAAAGCTAACTGCACAGCAAACTTTGATTTGGTTACAGAAATTGTGAATATCAGGTGTGGCTGGACCAATATCAAAGTAGCCCATTTTAAGACTGAGATGGCATAGAATCTGGGGATTGTGTGCAAGGGCAAAATTGCACAAACTCAGAGTTCTCCCCCCCAACTGCCCCCACTATCAAACATGGGAGCCTCCCAGAGCAGGAAAATCTCACATGGGAAACACTTTTAAGCCCTCTGCCTTGCTTACCAGGCTCTGGAGGCTCCGAAAGATCTCTTGGGGAGGTCTGAAGATACACTGGATGCCTGCAATTGGATCCATGTGAGGGCCTCCAGAACCTAGTAAGCAAGGGTCTCCTGCCCCCTCTCTATTTATTTATGTTTATTTTTTGATGTTATGCCTAAAGCTATGAACACATAAGTATAAATTGTGGTTCCACTGTAATTTCTGGAGCTTCTTTCTTACCCCAGCAAATTGCCCAAAGCAGCTCATAGTGTACAAAGATAACAGTACAATTTTACTAAAAAGCAGCACATTAATTCAGCATTTGAGTTCTAAAATATTTCAGTTGTAAGATTAAAATGTGTCAATTTTCTCTATAGAGAGCATTTCATCTCTGAACATTAGCATGAGCTCTTGTATATGAATTTGGCAGGCCCTCCCATAATTTTCATTGTGCTTAAAGGCTAGGGGGGGAAAAGGCAGTAGAACAGAACAATCACAGGTTGATGGTCTTAAAAAGCTGGCTTTTATAGTTGTATCTTACCTTGCAGTCCACAGGATAAAAACCAACACACACTGTGGGGAAAATAAAAGACCTTTTAAATTTCTAACATCTCAAGCTTAAGTGTGTAAGTGAATTATCACCCAGAATGTGGAATTTCAATCTAGGTTAAGAATTTTGCCCTGTCCTTTTTACTTATTATCAGGTGAGTGTGTCTTCATAATCCTGCTTTAGCGTTTGATTATAAAGGCAACCGAAATATTTAGTTGGGTTTTTCCATGATGATTTCACATTGTAAGGTTTGTGACGGAGACATGCTTAAAAGCCTGGATCCTTTAGGGTACAGATGCCTGTGTACTTAGACAATGAAATAATCCAATTTTAGCTTGGCGCTGGAGAAGAGTGTCACGCCAGAGCAAATGCAAATTGCTGTGCAGCTGCTGGGTTTGTCAAGAGCAATTTTGAGCTTAGAGGGTTCCAAGTACAGAAGAAAAAGTGTCCCCCTTTCCCCTCTTTGTGCTTGTTAAAAGCTTCTGAATATTTGCTTTTGCCGGAAGCGTAAGTTTGGTTTACACTATGGCTGTTGGAGTTGCCATGAAATGTATGTTTTGGATTATAGAATATAAAACACATTATTTTTCAGGAACTCAGCAGTATAGTAGAAACTGAGGGACCTAGAGGGCTGAAGAGCTTTAATGTCTAATTTCAATTTTCTATATTGGTTATAATACTAAGTACCTTCGTTGCTTTTAATGGCAGGGGTTATTGACTGTCTCAAGTCTCTCATATTTTTTGTCTCATGGTATTTATTTTAAAGTTTAAAAAGGTTGTGCAGAGATTTCTCTCTTTCCTCCTAGACTAAAGCAGGTGTTGGAATTCATTTTGCATCAACTTTATATCTATTTTTGGAGAGTATTGCATGTGTGGAGTCAGATCACTTATTACATTGCAAAAGTTTTAACTTCTACCCAGTGTATGTATTGTATGTGTGGCTTCATTTTTTTTTAATATGTCTAGGCAAATAACATTATAATGTGTGGGGTTCTGGTCACTTGTTAAGGCTATTTTGTGAGTTGTGGGCCAGATGGTTCATGGTGAAACAGTGCAGAGGTTTGGCACGTGCAGTTTTGAATGCTGAGCAGTCAAGCCATTCTAACATTGCAGAACAGATATGTCAGGCTTGGGTTTATACACATGCAGGGTGGTGGTGTGAAGAGAACTTATTTTGAAGCTTGCATTTCAGTATCCTACTAGTGAACTTTTAAAGATGAAATCCCTTGAGAGTTTGCATATCTCTACATCTCTTTTTTTTATATAAGATATTTATTAAGATTTTTTAAAATATTACAATAAAAATAAAAAAAAATGACAAAAATACAAAATAAAAATAGTTAAAAACACACAGATTTTCCATTACTTATTTTCCTTTGACTTATTTCCCGGACCTCCTCATACCTCCCTTTTTTGTATTCCACTTCAATCTGTTGGTTCAGCAAATCCTTTAAAAGTAATAATATTAAATTTTTACCTATTTATAACCCTTTTTTCATATTCCCTTAAAGCATTACAGCTGGAAACCACTTAATTACTATCCAACATCATTCTAACATTCATTACTTTTACAATATTTCTGTAGATAATCTTTGAATTTCTTCCAATCTTCTTCCACCGACTCTTCTCCCTGGTCTCGGATTCTGCCAGTCATTTCTGCCAGTTCCATATAGTCCATCAGCTTCATCTGCCATTCTTCCACAGTGGGTAAATCTTGTGTCTTCCAATACTTTGCAATGAGTATTCTTGCTGCTGTTGTGGCATACATAAAAAGTTCTGTCCTTCTTTGGCACCAATTGGCCGACTATGCCTAGGAGAAAGGCCTCTGGTTTCTTCAAGAAGGTATGTTTAAATACCTTTTTCAGTTCATTATATATCATTTCCCAGAAGGCCTTAATCCTTGGGCACATCCACCAAAGGTGAAAGAATGTACCTTCAGTTTCTTTACATTTCCAACATTTATTGTCGGGCAAATGATAGATTTTTGCAAGCTTGACTGGGGTCATGTACCACCTGTATATCATTTTCATAATATTCTCTCTTAGGACATTACATGCCGTAAACTTCATACCTGTGGTCCATAACTGTTCGCAGTCAGCTAACATAATATTATGTCCAACATCTTGTGCCCATTTAATCATAGCAGATTTCACCGTTTCATCCTGAGTATTCCATTTCAACAGCAAGTTATACATTCTTGACAAATTCTTAGTTTTGGGTTCTAACAGTTCTGTTTCTAATTTTGATTTTTCCACCTGGAAGCCAATTTTCTTGTCCAAATTATATGCCTCCATTATCTGATAATAATGAAGCCAGTCTCGCACTTTATTTTTTAGTTTCTCAAAACTCTGCAGTTTCAGTCTATCTCCATCTTGTTCCAAAATTTCCCAATATTTCGGCCAATTGGCCTCCATATTGAGCCTTTTCAGAGCTTTCGCTTCCATCGGTGACAGCCACCTTGGGGTTTTGTTTTCCAATAAATCCTTGTATCTTATCCAAACATTAAACAGTGCTTTCCTGACAATATGGTTTTTAAATGCTTTATGCGCTTTGACCTTGTCATACCACAGATATGCATGCCATCCAAATACATTGTTAAAACCTTCTAAGTCCAAAATGTCTGTGTTTTCAAGAAGTAGCCATTCTTTCAACCAGCAAAAAGCTGCTGATTCATAGTAAAGTTTAAAGTCTGGCAGGGCAAATCCACTCCTTTCCTTTGCATCAGTTAATATCTTAAATTTTATTCTGGGCTTCTTGCCCTGCCAGACAAATCTAGAAATATCTCTCCGCCACTTCTTGAAACAGTCCATCTTGTCCACAATTTGCAATGTTTGAAACAAAAACAGCATTCTAGGCAATACATTCATTTTTATCAAAGCAATATGACCCAACAGTGAAAGCTTCAAATTTGACCAGATTTCTAAATCTTTTTTCACTTCCGTCCAACATTTTTCATAATTATCTTTAAATAAGTTCCCATTTTTGGCTGTCATATTAATCCCCAGGTATTTCACTTTCTTAACCACAGTCAGGCCTGTCTCATTCTGAAACCTCTCTCTTTCAATCGGTGTTAAATTTTTCTCTAAAACCTTAGTTTTTAACTTGTTCAGTTTAAATCCTGCCAGTTGACCAAATTCTTGAATTAGTTCTAAAACCCTTTTAGTACTAGATTCTGGCTCCTGTAACGTCAATACTAAGTCATCTGCAAATGCTCTCAGTTTGTACTGTTTGGCTCCGACCTGTATACCTTTGACCAACCGGTCCCTTCTAATCATATTCAGCAGAACCTCCAGGACCGATATAAAAAGCAGTGGGGAGATTGGGCACCCCTGTCGTGTCCCTTTTTCTATCTTAAATTCTTCCGTCACCACATTATTTACAATTAATTTAGCCTTTTGTTCAGAGTATATTGCACCTATACCATTTTCAAAACCTTGGCCTACCCCCATCCCCTGTAGGTTCTTCTTCATGAAGCTCCAAGAGATGTTGTCAAAGGCTTTCTCCGCGTCCACAAATATCAGAACTGCTTTAGTATTTATATTCACTTCTAGTTTTTCCAAAATATCAATTATATTTCTCAAATTATCAGACAAGTGTCTTCCTGGGAGAAAGCCCGCTTGGTCTTTATGGATCTCTTCCATCAATACTTTTTCAATCTCTTGGCCAAAATGTCTGCAAAAATTTTGTAATCCACATTAAGTAACGATATAGGGCGGTAGTTCTTAAGCTGAGTCTTTTCAGTCTCTGTTTTCGGTATAAGTGTAATGTACGCCTCTTTCCACGACTCTGGTGCCCTTTTCCCTTCCAATATTTCATTACAGACTTCCTTCAAAGGTTGTAGTAGCCACTCTTTCAAAGATCTATAATATCTAGAAGTCAGCCCATCCGGTCCTGGAGATTTGCCCAATTGCATATTTTGAATGGCACCTTCTACTTCCTGTTCAGATATTTTATAGTTCAACATTAATTTGCTTTCTTGGGAGATTTTTTTGTAGTCCATTTGTCTTCAAAAATTTGTCTATGTCCATTTCTTTCTGTGGCCCTTGTGTGTATAATTGTTTAAAATACCTCTGGAAACAGTTTCTAATCTCAATTGGGTTATGTATATTCTTTCCTTCCACTTCTAAGTTTGTGATAGTATTTAATTTTTGTCTTTTTTTCATTTGCCAGGCCAGCAATTTCCCACATTTATTAGCTGATTCAAATGTTTTTGTCTCATTTGTTTAATTTTCCATTATATTTACTGATTCATCAATTCCATATATTGTACTTGATATAATTTTATTTCTCTCAAAATCTCCTGCTACTTTGGTTTTGCTCTCAGTTTCTTCTCACTTTCTTTTATTTTCTCCAAAATTTTATCTTTCTTCTCATTTTGACTTCTCTTCTTTATTGCATTCTGTTGTATCAGAAACTCTCTCATAACAGCTTTACTTGCGTCCCAGATTACTCTTTTTCTACATTGGTGTTCATATTTATTTCAAAATAATCTCTCAAAGTTTTTGGGCCTTTTTATAGACTTCTTCATCTCTAAATAAGGTGTCATTCATCCTCCATCTGAAGGAGCCAGTTGATATTTGTTTCATCTCCATCCTTACAGCATTATGGTCGGAGCAGGTTTTTGGGCAGATTTCCACTTTCTTTATCTTTGGTGCCATTCCTCTAGTTACCCATATTTGGTCAATTCTAGTCCATGTCATCTTGGCTTCAGAAAAGAAAGTTCCCTCTCTTCCCAGGGGGTTCTTTACTCTCCAAATGTCCACTAAGTCCATATTGTCTGTCATCTCAAAAAATGTTTTCGGTAGTCTACCATCCTTGGTAACTACCTGTCTTTGTGCCTTGTCCATATTTGTAGATACTACTCCATTCATATCCCCATCAGAATCAGATTGTAATCCAAATAGTCCAATAAAGTCTCATGCAACTTTTTAAAGAATTCAGATTTCCCCTCATTCGGTGCATAAATTCCTACGATCAAAAATTTCTCTCCTTGAACTTGAATTTCAATTGCCAAAAATCTGCCTTGTTCATCTTTAAAAATTAATTTCGGTGATAGTCTCTCCTTTGCATATATCACAACTCTTTTTTTAACTTTGTCAGATGAGATAAACTCCTGTCCCAATCTTTTATTGATCAGTAGTTTCCTATGTAGCCTTGTTACATGTGTTTCTTGTAAGCAAATCAAGTCCAATTGTTCCTTTTTTAGTAAATGAAAAACACTTTTTCTCTTTCGAGGAGAGTTCAAACCATTACAATTACAACTTAACAGTTGCAGAGCCATGATGGGGTTACTTCGCTTTACCTCCAACTGCGCCAAGTGTCTGTTCTTGTTCTGTCGATGATGTCTCTTTCTCTGGGCCGTACAATCCAAAAGATAAGTTTGCTATGTCCAGTATTCCTTTTTCCAGTGCTTTTGGCTCTTCTCCGGATTCCGCTTCTTTCTGTAGGTCTTCTTCGTGATCTTTCAGAAACCTATCTTTATCGATAACTGATCTTATTTTTATCTTTCTTCCTTTGTATTTAAAAGATAGGCCTTGAGGAAATTCCCACCTAAAAAGAATTCTATTTCTTCTCAACAGGGCTACTAGGTCTCCGTAGTTAAACCTTAAGTCCAAAAGATGTTTTGGAATGTCCTTAAATATCTCCACACTTGAGTCGTAAATTTCCAAAGTCTTTTGATAGTGCAGATTCAAAATTTTGTCTCTCTCCTCTTTTGTTTGAAGAGTAATCAAGCAGTCCCTAGCCTTGTTCCTCCTTTGTCCTCTTCCAAGTCTAAATGCATTCACTATCTTAAATTCTTCCTTCCCCAAGTCCTGTTGCCAAAAATCTGTAAATTCCTGTGTAAGGAATTCAGCCAAATTGTCTTTCTCACGTTCTGGTACAGCCCTGATTCTTAGATTTCTTTGTTTCTCTTTCAATTCAATCATAGACAATGTCAAACCGTGGTCCTCCAATTGCTTATATACCGGTGGTATCTTCTCTTGAGTAGCAGTTGCTATATCTTTTGCTTCTTCGGCTATCTTTCGGGTTGAAGCAGATTCCTGTAATAATTTTTCAATAGACTCTGTATTGGTATTCACCTTCTGTCCCAAATTATTAATGCTTGTAGTATTCAGGTCAGTTTTAACTGATGCTTCAGCTACTTGTTTATTTGTCTCGGCTACCTGCTTAGCTAAATTTTCCAAAGATTCATTAATTTTTCCAAGTGCATGTGCCAAAACGTCTTCGGACGACATAACTTTTGGTTTGACCTGTGGAGGAGCAGCCCCTGATGTTCCAGATGCTCCAGATGTTGAAGCCCTTCGCTGCTGTGCAGTATCTGTCCGATAGGGTCTGCCAGACCTAGTTGTTTTTTCCTGCGCCAGCTCTAACTTTCCTCTCCCATCTGCCATAACACTCTCATGAAAATTCAAGGTTGATCCCACAGTTGAAAGGTTGTTTTGGAATGGAATTTTCCTCTGACCCAGTTGTTATTGTAGCAATCTCAAACCTCCTCTAGGGGGACACAGTAACCGCCAAAGCTTGCAACTTTTAAAAATGAAAATAGTCCTTATAAGTCCCCCAGTTCATCTAAAAACAACAGTTTCAGTTGCACTTAAACAGTTACTTTAGAACCAGGAGAGGTCCAGAAACACTGTATCTCTTTTGCAGGGTTAGCTGTCAAAAGTCACTGCTTACCGATAGGCTTTCCACTGAACGACGTTCTTTATCTAGGGGCAGTCCGTTCCCAGGTTTTAGGCAGCGGATTTTAGCTTCCTTTCCCCCCCTTTTTTTTGCAGATAAAAACAGTTCAAACCTTCCCCCCTCCTCTCCTGCAATCCGGAGGGGAGACCGCTTTCCAGATGTTAAGATTTAGGTCTTTTTCCAGACGTCTTTCCGAGTTTCCGCTTTACAGTCTCTTTGCTTTGATCTATTTACAAGAAAGGAAGGCAGACTTCCTGTTTATACCTTCCCGCTTCGGTGTCGAATTAACTTGTTTTTTCTCCTTTTAAATCCAATTTAATCCTACTCACGGGTAGTTGCTTTCAAAGTCCAATTGTCCCAGGAAAAAGTCAGCACTCTCCGATAACGGCTGTGCGGCTTCACTCCGCGGAAGAAGCAGTCGACTCTCAGCACCGCGCTGCTCACCCCGTCCCGCTCCGGAGCCCTTAAAAGGGTCCCTTCGCAACTTGGGGGGGGGCGCAAAAGGTGCCCGCCGAGTCCCCACGTTCACAGGCTTCCCCCGCCTGTGATTTTTAAAGGGCCCCCGCTTTGCCGCAGCAGTAAGACCCAATCCCGCGGAGCTGGTCCCTCCGCGACTCAGAGGGAATCCGCCATTAACGATGGCGCTGACCCGGAAGTCTGCACATCTCTACATCTCAGTCACACAGCAAATGCAGATAGCCAACCTGATGCCCTCCGAAACATTGGACGGGTGCTAGTCTGTTGAAATGGATCTGGTGTAGGGGAATAGAATATTTGACAAGGTATCAAGAGACCTAGAATATTTTAAAACCCCTACTCTGTGGCTTTCATTGGATCATGTTGGGCAGAGATAGCATTACTTGACCCAACCTGTCAATTAATACCAGAGTGGTATTGAGGAGAAAATAGGGGACACCAGGTGCACTGTCCTGAGCTCCATGAAAAAATCTTGAGGGTGAGGAGAGAGATTAAAATCCTGACAGATATGCAGAATAATTCTATTCCATGCATAACAGGGATGAAACATCTTGTGTTTCGAACACAGGTACAGTAATGAGATTTCATAATGTGATAGGAGATGGTTTTGCCTGACCCTGCTGCTTTCTCTCCTCTGCCCTTCACTAGCTTCCCAGCTCATGCAAATTGCACAATATAAAATGAGCTGCGCTTTATAATCATAAGCATGTGTTTACTTGCTTGTTTTTCCCCTTTGCATGGAGATCGAAGTCTTCTCCCTTGCACATATGAATCAACTCATTGATCCTTGGTAGTGTGCCAGTGAAAGGCAGCTGATTATTGAGACAGCCTTTCTTGCTTGCATAGATCACCACAGAAGTAGCAAAGCAGTTTTGTCTCACATCCAGGGTGAGTTCTAACTTATTGATGGTAGGGAAACAAAAGCTTCCTGCTTGCTAAGATCTATGTCCTTTGATATGACTCTTGTTAGCAGAGATCGTATCCTGACGAGAAATACTAGTTTCTTACAATAGTTTTTGCAAATCATATAGATTGGGGTGGAGGAGTTTTTGTATGACTGTCTCCTTGTTGTAACTGCTTTTTCAAGCAGATGAGCAGGGAGGGGGAAAGGCGGAGACAGCAATCTCCTATGTTACCTCTGCTTTGAACTTCAGTTCCATCACTAGAGATTTTTATTTCCAGAATATTAGCAGCGGACATGAAAAACAGTTTTAGATGAGCACCAACTTATTCAGGCTTGCTTTGAAATATAACTGGTTTTGGTTTTTCTGGATTCTATGTAAAATTCCATTCGCGGCAAAATGGAGAAGGGATGCATTGCTTATGGGAAGGAAGCTCTTAATAAGGACATAGGTGATATTGTGAGGGTCGTTATAGGTCTGCATTGGCAGTAGAAAGGAAACCCAATCAAAGCTCCTTTAAGCTGCTTTAACATATGGATTTTCAGAAGAGGAAAGTGCAGCCCAGAGAGCTGTCTCACTCTTGAAGGATGACATTCTCTGATCCTGACTGTTGACTCTGCCTGACAGTTATTCTGCTAAATGCCCCCCCTTTTATTCCACAAGGGGATTTTTGTTACTTGAATAATCTTAATGTGTCTCTTAAAGCAGATGGGATGTTTGCTATTTTGCCAGATCTTCAGTTCTGGTCCCGCTTGAGAGGAAAAGGCTCTTACAAGTATGTCTTTGAAGAACAGAAAGGGGCTTTACAATGTACTGCAATGAATGTGGTACAGCAAGAACAGTTGGAGCGCAGCTCCCGAACTTTTATTTATTACATTTACATACCAGCTTTTTCTTCCAAGGAGCTCAAGTTGGTGTACATGGTTCTCTTCTTCTCACCACAACCCTGTGATGTAGGGTAGGCTAAGAGATGGTGATTGGCCAAGGTTACCCAAGGAGCTTAATGGCTGAATGGGGATTCGAACCCTGCTCTTCCACACTGGCTTATTTTCAGACCAGGATTGATGATGCCATCTGAGAGTGCACTGGGGTATTTGACAGACTGTTAGCTGTGACAAGTGAATAAGATGATAACAAATCTTTTAAGTTGTATTACCATTTGACAGGTTAGCGCATAGAGGAAACTGGAGATGGAGGAAAATACTCAAGCAGAGCCTGGATACGGAGCGTTGTATCTAGTGCTTGTTCTACTTGGAGTTAGACCCACTGTCATTAATATGCATGACTAACTTAAGCCCATAAATTTCATTGTGTCTACTGAGTAGAACTTGGTTGGATACAGCCCTTATTTCCTTTGATGGGGTTTCTACTTCATGGTAGCCATTGTAATATTTCTGTGCAAGTTTGCTTACATTTCTAATTGAATTTTAAAGGTTGTATTTCAGCTGGCTGAAGACCTTTTGCTAAAGCTCAGTGTTGGACCTAAGAAGTTGGAACACTGAGTTTAATAGGGCTATTCCCGAGGTAACTATGTTTCTGCCCCAAAGCTTATCAGAGATGTGAACCCCACCAGCTAAGTTCCAACATGCTAGCCACCCACCACCCTTCACTAGATCCCTACTCATCTCTGGAGGACAGTAAGCAGGTCCTAATACACTGGGTGTTATGCTATGTACTGCTATTAGTTTATTATATGTATAAAATGGGTGGACGCAAACTGCCTGTATGTTTTGGATGTTGCTTGGGGGCAGGGCTGTGGAGGCTGTCATGGAGAGCTCCTGTGCTTCAAAGTTTGCCAGGACACCACTGGTGAATAGCAAACCTATTGTTGAGAAACAAATGCTTCATTTTCACAACTAAACAATGGATGGTCTTGGCATTGTGACTGACTTCACTGGCAATTAATCCCCACTCCAGTGAGCTATGCTCACATGATTTATTAAGATGACATGGCGCATTAGGGTACTATGCTTCCTTTTTAAAAACCAGAGCATTTAAAGTCTTTATCTTGTTTTGTCAACAGGGGAGCTACTAATACTGACGGTATGGATCATTCTGTGCTCCGAAGGGAGGTGCATCATGAGAGGTATGCGCTTTGGTGCAAAATGAATCATGTTTAATACATTAACACTGCTCAGTGCTTGTTTGTTCTCTCAAGACAAATAAGGTTTTTTTTCCGGAGTTTTGGATGTTCTGCCTTTTGTTTATCAACCTCTGGTGGGTGGTGCTATAGTTGTACAGAAGCTCATCACTCATGCACTGACAAACTTGTTTAGCATGTAGCCTATTGTGAGGATTCTGCCAAATCAATTACATTATGTACAATGTTTGTTAAAGCCTGTTTGGTCTTAAAACAGGATGTGAAACTTGATGAGCTGATGAGAGAATCATGAGTTTGGCAAAAGAATTGAGGCACATGCTTGTAATTTATGGATCAGAAGGGGCTGAATGTTATACTCCCATCACTTTTTAGCATATTTCTGTTGTCATATCCAAGTGTTGCCATAGTTTTTAATATCAGTAATTTTGGCAGTATCGTTGGGAAGGATTCCACCTTTCCCCTCAATTGCGTTTTGATTGTCTTTTGTTAGAGAGGCAGCTCTTATTTGCCAATTACTTCTAGTCAGAATGTCAGTGAGATTGCAGCTGTCTGCTGTTCATAAAATGGTTAAAACCCTCCCAATAGCCTTGTTTCTTTTAATCGTACCCTTCGCTGGCACGTAGCCCTTCCCCTTTCTTCTTGCTCTTTACTCAGCCAACACTTAATTCTCATTGTTTTGTATTTTCTGCTTGAAATCAGCTTGCTATGAAGCTGTTTCTGCCTCACAAAGAATATCCATGTGCATTTGGAATTCAGAGGCTTTTGAGGTATATGGGGAGTTATTACTACCATTTTCCTAACGGGGAAGGAAACTGTTTCTTCTGAAAACATGACACAGGAATGAGACAACTAGCTGAGGAGCTCCTTTGAATATTCTTGCTCTATGAAAATGCATTCCGTGCATTATTTGCATAAACAGCAGATGCAGGATCCTAGTTTGTAGCCTTGTGGTATTGTTCCTTGGCCACAGGTGCAATTTTGAGGTGGCAGGAGAGCTTCATTTGTTGGTTGCACCTTTTTTGAGACATCACCTACTTAAAAAAACTGCTTTTGTGATGGTGGTTATTACATTTTGTTTAAACACACTGGGCAATTTTTAACAGAAAGGTTGGTTATGAATATTCCTTCATAAATTTAAAATGCACACATTGAAAACACAGGAACAATTTCTTTTCTTCATTTTCTGTTGCATGAGATTTTTCAACTGTTCTTATGTTCTTTAAAAGCTGATTTCAAATCTGAAATCGATTTTCGTGTACGTGCTATAGTTATCTTTCAATTTCTGACTTTTGCTGATATGTCATATTTACACTGGGGATAAGTGGACACTGACACATTGATCTACCCATACCACATGGTAAATATTGTTTTGCAAACTTAATTTTTCTTTATTTTTATAGTTTTGTAACCTAAATATTTGTATTTTTCAGATTGGACCATGGCTTCTTCAAGTAGACAAAAATGTGTAAACAAGCTTGATGCCTTTTGTTATGCTATTTTTGTCTGGTCAATACGAAGAGTATCGGCAAGAAAAACTGACATTCTGTCACCCTATCCCAGTATTCCTTCAGCAATTAGACCTATCCTGCACTCTGAGGAACTCCCAATTCCAGTTTTTAAGGGGTTTGTCTCTTCTGAAGATGAAGGAAGTGAACATGGTGAAGAGCACAACTGAATCATCTGTGTGGATCTCAAAATGGTCAACTTCTTGCTTGGACAACAGAAAGGCTTTACCAAGTACCTGAATAACAACAGCTTGTGGATACCACTAGGAAACAAAAAGAGCAGTCATTTGTGTGATCCTTGGGTTCTTGCCAAACCACGGGAACCCCAAAAGGCATACTCTTCTGTTTTCCTTTTGTCCAGTCTCTAAGCATTTCCTCACAATTCTGACAAACAATATGCGGAGCCCATTTCTTACCTTGGTTGCCCAGAGGAATTTCAAAATAGCTTTTATAGGCATGCCTCACAATCGCTGTTATATTGCGTCTTTGACGAGGAAGTGTACAGCAGCCACATACATAACAAAAGGCATCAGGCTTGTTTATACATTTTTGTCTACTTGAAGAAGCCATGGTCCGATCTGAAAAATACAAATATTTAGGTTACAAAACTATAAAAGTAAAGAAAAATTAAGTTTGCAAAACGATAATTACCATGTGGTTAGGGTAGATCAATGTGTCAGTGTCCACTTATCCCCAGTGTAAATATGACATATCGGCAAAAGTCGGAAATTGAAAGATAACTATAGCACATACACGAAAATCGATTTCAGATTTGAAATCAGCATTTAAAGAACATAAGAACAGTTGAAAAATCTCATGCAACAGAAAATGAAATCCCCCCCCCCCTCAGTATACTGTATATCCCAAGGGAATACATTTTTTTTGCATACCTCCAACTACATAGATATACATGTCATTTTCAATGCTATACATGTCACATTCAATGCTATATAAGTCACTTACATTTATATTCATATTGTGCTACTTTGTCTATGTGTTTAATAAAATATTGAATTCTTGCATTGTGAAAAACAAAGATTATGGTGAAAAGTGAAAAACATGAATTGCAAAAAAAAACCAAAAAAACCCCTAGAGCTTACAGAACAAAACCAACTTCAGATATGAAATCAGCATGTCAAAATTAGGTTAGAACAACTGCAGGTGTCAGTGCAGCAACATTTTTGTTTCCCAGTGAAATTGATTGCAGATGAACATCTTGGAGAACAGAAGCTGAAGTTCACATCATGTCAAAATTGCATATATATTTATCTGTCTGAAAAGTTATTTGTTAGCATGTAAACTTTTCTTAACATTGGAAATCAGTTGATTCGATCTTTGATAGTAATTTTTTTCAAGTGACATGACAAAGAGCGGTAAGATTGTGCAGGATATTCTGATGTCCTATGTAGCGTTGGTATTAAACAGACAAACAGCTCTCTGATCTTAAAATAAATTGTCCCAATATGAGAAGGTTATCAGAGATAGATATACTTGTTTAAATTAGTGGTTCCCCAACTTTCCCCCCTGTGGTCCTCTTGAAAACTGCTAGGGGTCTTGGCGTACCACTACATCATTTTTCAGCCTGTTGTACCAATTGTAATGTGCTGGGCTAGGTACCATATGATTTTAAATTGTCTTTTTATTGCTGCTTTTATTTCTTACAGTTCCTAGAATTCAAATTGTAATATAATGAAAGACAATATAAGAAGTAAAAGAAGCAATAAAAATACAATTAAAAATAATATAAATATTTAATATGAACCCACTGCAGACCACTTGAATGAAGCTGGTGGACCACTGGTGATCCTTGGACCACAGTTTGTAACTCTTTGCCTAAACTATATGATCCTAACATTATCTTGTCATGGCTTCTTTAGATTTTAGTCAGCACATGATGATTTGGGAGAGCACTACCAAAAAGTAGCCATCTGTCCTCTGTCAGACCTTCCAGTTGTCAGTATCATTCTTTCTTAAATTGTGGTGTTCAGAACTGGATAAAGGACTCCAAGGTGATCAAGGCAGAATAGAGCAATACTATGACTTCCCTTGATCTGGATGTTCTACTTTTGTTGATGTAGTCTAGAATAGCAATAACTTTTTTTGCTACAGCATAACACTGTTGGCTCGTGTAAATTAAGCTTGTGGTCTACAAAGACCCCTACATTTTTTTCACATGTATTACTGGCAAGCCAGGTTTCCCCATCTTACATTTGTGCAGTTTGGTCTTTGTGCCTAAGTGTAGATTCTGAAATTTTCCCTATTGAAATTCATTTTGTTAGTTAGCTGCCATGTTCTCCTATCTGTTAAGGTTATCTTGAATTCTGTATTCTGTATTCTGTGGCATCAGGTACCCCTTTCAGTTTGGTGTCCTCTGCAAATTTGACAAGCATCCCCTCCATTCTTTCATTCAACTCGTTTATAAAGGTGTTGAAGGGGCCCAGGACAGAACCCTGCAGCTGCCCTCTTGTCCCTTCTCCCCAGGATGACGAGGAACCATTAGTGGGCAGTCTTTGGATTTGGTCAGTCAGATGAAGTTGACTGTACTGGGGATTCACTTGGCTTAGCAAGGATGGCAGTGCTAAAGGTTTCACAGAAATGGTGGGCTGTGAGAAGCAGGGGGGAGAGAAAGGTATAATCTATGCAGCCTTCCTCAGACAGGTTCTCTTCATATGTTTGACAGCAGCTCCCAACAGCTGAGAGAGTGCAACTGGAGAACACCAGGTTGCGATAGTTTGTGAAACGGAGTCTTAAAATCCTGTACTAGAAACCTTTGGTGCACTTTCATTAGCCATTTCATCAGACGTACAGCTTTCTGCAGTCCTGGCTTGAAGAAACAAACTTCCAAAACTAGCCCCCCCAAATGACCCCACTGTGGAGCTCTAGTTAACACTCTGCATAGACTTGAATAGTTATGAATGCTGTTTAATTAGCCACCTACTCCTTAATTTTCTTGTCAAATTGATATTCAGCTCTTGAAGGATGTTGCTTCTCTGTCAGCTGGATAAGATCATGTAACCTAAAGCGTTTTCTGTGGGAGTAGCTGCTGTTTAGTTGCTTGTTCATGGCAAATTAATTGTTTTTGGGGAAAGAGAAACGAGGAAGGAGCGGTGGTTGGCTGTTAGATGCATTTCAGTTTTTAATAACTTTTAATTTTAGCTTTCAGCCTGTCATGCTTGCATATTTCTGAAGGGCACCCCCCTCCCCAAGTTAAATTTGTCTGAGGACATTGAGCCCCTTGAATAAAGAGTGGGGTCAAAATATGATCTGTGTAGAACTCTTTTGTTTCTCTTTAGTAACACGGTCCAGAACAGAAGGCCCAAGCTGCATTCAGAGCAGTTAAAATAGATTCTCACTGTTGGGAAAGACCCTTAGGACTCCCCTGTGTGAGTGCCTGAGGGCCCTGCTCTTGCCACTTACCATCTGGCCTGGGGCGGGGCCTGAAGCCTCACAAGGACTGCTCTGCTGCCCAGGAGGACTCCCCTGTGTGAGTGCCTGAGGGCCCTGCTCCTTCCTGCCACCTACTATCTGGCCCAGGGTGGGGCCTCACAAGGCAGTTGTTGCCACTGATGCTGCTACTGCCCAGGAGGACCCGGAGGGGTGAAGAGTTTTAACATGTTTTAAAATCTCCCTTTCCCTTTAGATTTTTTATATATGGGGGTGGGATGGATGTTTGGGTGGGCTTGGGAATTTGTTAGAGTTTGATGAATTTGTAATTTTTGCAGTTTTTATTTGTATTGTTTTATTGTTTTCTGGGTTGTTTTTGTTTTTATTGTTTTAAGGTTTTATTGTTTTAGGCTGCGAAAGAATAACATTAATTGCCATCAATGGAGGCTACTATGTGGCTTGGGATTGCTACCGTGGAGGGGCGAGGGAGGTATGGCGGTGGGGGCAGATGTTATAGGCGATGGGGATCGAGATATGGATATGCTCGTACCCCTTCCAATCTGCGCCTCATCCCGAGGGACAAGGGTAGGGTGAGCAAGGATTACTCACCTCCGTCACTGGTGTTGTGCAATGCCAGGTCTATAGGCAACAAAACCGCCACCCTGCGAGATTTCTTTATCTCGCAGGGGGTCGACCTGGCTTGTGTGACGGAGACCTGGGTGCGCGAAGGGGCAACAGTTACCTTACGAGAGATGGCGCCCCCGGGTTTCTCCGTCCTCCACCAGTCGCGGACTGTGGGCCGGGGGGGAGGGGTGGCATTATTAATCTGGGAAGATTGTCCTTTCAGGGCTCTACCATCGCCATTGATCCCCGGCATTGAATGTGTTGGCCTAGTGTGGGGCTCCGAGGAGAGCTTGGCTGTCTGGCTGGTGTACCGGCCACCTAGCGCACCAGCAGCCACCCTGTCAGGCCTGCTGGAGGCGGTGGCCGGCTGGGCCTTGGAGTTCCCTAACCTGTTGGTATTGGGGGACTTCAACATCCATGCTGATGCCACTCCCTCCTCACAGGCTTTGGACCTGGTGTCTTCCATGGCGACACTAGGGCTCTCCCAGTTTGTTTCGGGTCCCACACATCAAGCAGGCCACACGCTGGATTTGATCATTGGCGTAGGTATAGATGTGATCATGTCTCCTTCGATGAAGGTGCCATGGTCCGATCACTACGCTCTGAAAGCCAGGATTGACTTTCCACCCCCACCCTGCTTAGGTGGTGAACCGATTTGGGCTCGCCCGCAGAGGCTGATGGACCCTGATAGATTCCGCCAAGCCTTGCGGGACCTTGCTTCCCCTGGCGACTCATTGACTGAGCTTGTTGAGGGCTGGAATATCCAGCTCCTGGCAGCCATAGATGAGATCGCACCTAAGCACCCTCTGTGACCCCGCAGAAACCGGGCTCCCTGGTTTACCGAGGAGCTCCGGAAAATAAAGCGGGACCTCAGACGGCTAGAGCGAGTATGGCGGGGTGCCCGTGACGGAGCCTCAAGAACATCTTATAGGGCTTTTATGAAAACCTACGAGATGGCGGTGAAGGCTGCTAAGAAGTCTTACTTCTTGGCCTCCATTGCATCCGCTAGCTCTCGCCCGGTGCAATTATTTAGTATAATCAGGTCTTTAACGTCCCTTGAGGGACAGCCAAATTTAAATAACAATTTGACACACAGCTGTGAGGCATTTGCGAGCTTTTTTGCGGAGAAGGTCTTGTTGCTCTGCCATGACCTCCCTGCCAGTTTGGATGCAATAAAGGAACTGGAGGCCCCTCGACTGTCATCGGGTCCAGTATTGGACCACTTCAACCGGATATCCCCAGCTGATGTGGACAGACTCCTCCGACCTGGAAAGCCCACCACCTGTCCTCTCGACCCGTGCCCGTCTTGGCTGATTAGAGCGTGTCCAGACGAGGTGCGGGCCCACCTGGGGGATATCACTAATTTGTCCATTGGCACGGGGACATTCCCAGGGGAACTGAAGGAGGCAGTGGTGCGCCCGCTCTTAAAGAAAACATCATTAGATCCTTTAGATCTATCCAATTACCGCCCGGTTTCGAATCTTCCGTTCCTGGGTAAGGTGATTGAGAGAGCGGTTGCTGAACAGCTTGGTGGGTTTCTGGATGAAACATCGGCTCTGGATCCATTCCAGTCCGGCTTCCGCGCTGGTCATGGGACCGAGATGGCTCTGGTTGCCCTAACAGATGATCTTCGTAGACAGCTGGATCAAGGTGGGTCGGGGCTGCTGATTCTTCTAGATCTGTCAGCAGCTTTCGACATGGTCGATCACGAACTCCTGGACCACCGTCTTGCCGACATGGGGATCCAGGGCACGGTCCTTCAATGGCTGCGCTCGTTTCTCTCTGGTCGAGGACAGAGGGTGGCGTTTGGGGGGGAATTGTCATCGCGCCACTCCTTGGTGTATGGAGTACCTCAGGGTGCGATACTCTCCCCGATGCTTTTCAACATCTTTATGCGCCCCCTCGCCCAGCTTGTCCGGAGTTTTGGGCTGGGTTGCCATCAGTATGCTGATGACACCCAACTCTATCTGTTGATGGATGGCCATCCTGACTCGGCCCCAGACACACTGACCAGATGTTTGGAAGCTGTGGCTGGATGGTTACGTGGGAGCCGGTTGAAGCTAAATCCTTCGAAGACAGAGGTCCTGTGGCTGGGACGGGACGATATGGGATTGGGGGGGCAACTCCCATCTCTTGCGGGGGCGCAATTAGTGCCAGCACCGTCCGTTAAGAGTTTGGGTGTAATCTTCGACACCTCCCTTTCCATGGAGGCGCAGATTGCAGCTACAACAAAGGCGGCATTTTTCCATCTCCGCCAAGCTAAGCAGTTGGCTCCTTACCTCTCTCGCCCTGACCTAGCCACTGTGATCCACGCGACGGTCACCTCCAGACTGGATTATTGTAACTCGCTCTACGTGGGGCTGCCCTTGAGACTGACCCAGAAACTCCAGCGGGTGCAGAATGCTGCAGCAAGACTCCTTACGGGGTCTTTGCTGAGAGATCACATTCACCCGGTGCTATACCAGCTGCAATGGCTCCCGGTGGAGTACAGGATCAGGTTTAAGGTGCTGGTTTTAACCTTTAAAGCCCTATACGGCCTAGGACCCTCGTACCTACGGGACCGCCTCTCCTGTTATGCCCCACAGAGAAACTTACGGTCTTCAAATAAAAACATCTTGAAGGTCCCAGGCCACAGAGAAGTTAGGCTGGCCTCAACTAGAGCCAGGGCTTTTCGGCCGTGGCTCCGATCTGGTGGAACACTCTGTCACAAGAGACCAGGGCCCTGCGGGACTTGACATCTTTCCGCAGGGCCTGCAAGACAGAGCTGTTCCACCAGGCCTTTGGCCAGGGCACAGCCTGACTCCCTCCCTCGGCAATCTTCGCGGAGCTCTGGCCCAATGGGTGCCAGTGGCTTGAATTAATTAATTTTATAATGAATGATTTTAGAGTGTTGTTTGTGCTGTACTATTGTACTGTTTTATTGTTGTTAGCCGCCCTGAGCCCGGCTTCGGCTGGGGAGGGCGGGATATAAATAAAATTTATTATTATTATTTATTATTTGCAGGTCCAGCCCTGCCCTTAAAGGCTAAAGATTTCTGTGTCGCTTTCAACAAATATTCAGTTATTGAAATTGTTCCTTCCCCCTTAAAATTTCACCGGAATTAGTTGCCCATGTGTTTGTGAGCTTGGTTCAAAGGGTTAGTGATTATCTTTCAAGTCCAGTGCAGTTTGGTACAATGGGACTGTTCCTCCCTGTCAAGCATCTTTACTAAGTTTATCAGTAGAGGCCCTTTGCTTTTCACTAACATTTGAAGCACGTTTGATTGGGATTAGGGTGAGAGCTTTTTTCTAAGTGGAAGCTCCTTCCTGCAGAAAGGCTGCCCTGCCCTTTCTTTAATGGCACTTCTGCTGCATGGCAGAAACCTTCCACATTAGGAAGGCTTTGGTGCTATAAACAACATCAGCCACCAGGCCTGCGTTGTTCTCCTGTCTTCCCAGTGCCACATGTTGCAACTACTTAACAAGGATCGGGTGGAAGGCCAAGACAGGGGGAGCTCTGTGTAGGTGTAGTGGTAGAGCCAAAGCAGTGCTGTGCTCACACCAAGCTGCTACCACTCCAGGCAATCAGAGACCCTGAGGATGTCTAAGGCTTTGACTACCTGGCCTGAGATGTAGGGAGGGTCTAGGGTGAAGGAATCTGCTTAATGTGTTGTAGTGATCTCCTCTGTTGTTATATGTGAGGTGTTTGCCAGATCTATCCTCCAAGCTTCCATCAGAAAGTTTGGTGTGTTCTTCCATTGCCTCTCCTTGCTGCCATTCCAGAGGTAGATCAGTTCCAAGAGTGTTGGGGAGTTCTGTTGGTTCTAGTCTCTTTGTTGTTGTGATCTGTGTTGATCTGTGATCTGTGTTGATCGTCTTGTGATAAGATCGAAGGGGAAGCCCCAGCAATATTTAATTCCAGCTTTTTGCAGTTTAATTCTGTAAGCACATAAAGCCTCCCGCCCCCCAACCCCGTGTTTCAGAAGCCAGACCTTCATTACCATAACTGGACTGTTTTTATAAGGATATTAGGTTCCACAGTTTGTTCCACATTTCCTCTTTCTTCCTGTAACGGGCAGAGCAGACAATTATATCATGGAGGAAGTACCCTCAGTTTGGGTCTGAGTGCTTTCGTGTGCCTGTTCAAAACCAGCCGCAGAGATTATGAGGTCTGGAAGCATTGATTTAAGCCATGTGACAATAAAATGTGCAAGATCATTTCCTTCCATGCCCTCTTCAAAAGAACGAAAATGTAAAATTATTCTCCTATTTAAATTTTCTGCATCTTCAGGCATGTTGCGTATATCTTTTTCTAATTATTTGATATTTTTGTAATGGATTTGGCTTAATTCTTTTGTTGTTTTCTGTTAAAGAGTCAAGCCTTGTGTTAAGTTCTGTCAGTTTTGATTCCATTGGAAGCATTAGTTCTTTTCAAGTGTTTTTCATAAGCTCCTTTATAGCATCATAGTTCTGCAAATTCTTCTCTAAGTTATTGCTTCCATGTTCTTTCTCAAACCAGGAAGAGGCCTCTTTTGAGGGTGGTGCCATCTTGGCTGCTGTCTCCATTATTGTCTTCATCACTGCCCTCTCTCAGGCAGGAAGAATTAAGAGACATAATCTTTTACTTTCAGCTTTTCTGAATGCTTTTGCATTCCCCTCTCCTTTCTTCAAAGTTTGGGTTTTTTTAGGCAGCAGGGGCTTTTGTTCCAAGCTGTTTTTCTGGGCTTTGGAGGAGAGCTTAGAGCAGAGCTTTCCAAACTGTGTGTCGTGACATGTTAGCGTGTCGGCTGCAGTGTGTAGGTGTGTTGCATGAATGCTCCCCATGCTCCTCCCGGGGCTGGAAGGGGGTTAGTTTAACCTCTGGGTTGTAAAAGTGAATTACCATGTTGTGAAATGATGCATGTCTAAAAATGAAAAGTTTGGAAAGCTCTGAGTTTAACTGGCCATCTTATTTCCATCGTGGCCATCGCCCCGACTGGCTGAAGAATTGATGGTTTCTTCTCCCGCTGTCCTTAGGACAGTTTGAGGCAGTCCATGCTCTGTTCATCTGTACATTTTTTTCCTCAGGTAAGTGAACTTGTGTACAGCAGGTCAGATGATTGAAGGAAAATAACTTGAATCCTGCTTCCACCTTTCCTTTGCACAGCTCAGTTGTCACTCAGCTGCTGTGCTTTGTAGCTTGCCCATTAAAAGAAGAGTCATGAACATCAGTTTAAACCAGGCATAGGCAAACTCTGGCCCTCCAGATATTTGGGACTACAATTCCCATCATCCCTAGCTAACAGGACCAGTTGTCAGGGATGATGGGAATTGTAGTCCCAAACATCTGGAGGGCCAGAGTTTGCCTATGCCTGGTTTAAATGCATGCTCTTAATCTGTTCACATAATCACCAGAAGGTGGCATTACTGATTTTGAATAAACATCACCTCACTTTCTGGGTCTTAAACTTCATTGTGTAATAACTTTGCCCCTGGGTGCTGCAGAGTGTGACAGAAATTTGTGCAGCTAAGATTCTTCAATGTAGAGGGAGCTGCCATATTGATCTGTTTTTATCCTAAGCTGCCGTCTAATTCACTCCTGTCATATTGACAAAGCTTCACTTCCCCCTCCCCCAAATGTGAAGTTTATAGCAGGCTTACCTAGGGATTGGACCAAATCATAATTCTTTGGAAAGCAGGAATATACAGTGGTACCTCGGGTTACATACGCTTCGGGTTACATACGCTTCAGGTTGCAGACTCCGCTAACCCAGAAATAGTGCTTCAGGTTAAGAACTTTGCTTCAGGATGAGAACAGAAATCGTGCAGCAGCGGCGCTGCAGCAGTGGGAGGCCCCATTAGCTAAAGTGGTGTTTCAGGTTAAGAACAGTTTCAGGTTAAGAACGGGCCTCCAGAACGAATTAAGTACTTAACCCGAGGTACCACTGTAGCACCAAAATGATACAGCATCATTGACAGTCTGATAATACATATGTTTACTTGGAAGTAAGCCCCCCCCTTGATAAGACTTGCATCTTTTGTTTAAACACATAGATTACACAAAGTCAACCTGAGTTGTCACACACATTGTAACTAAGTTTGAACAGGTCTTTAATTTGAATTTTCTGTGACCCTGCAAGTGCTGAATTATATGAATGGGAAACTGATGCTGCCATTTTGTTCAGAATATCACTTTTAATAAGCAGGTACATCAGTGCTGGCCTGAAGTACATAAAGGACAAGATGTTAATCATTTGTTCTAATTCACTGTGTTTGTATTCTCCTCTTAGATAAGGCCCCACTACTGTTCATCCAGATTTCTGGCCAAGTCCCCTGTCCTCTTAGTACCAGTGGTATAGAAGCATTAAGTACTCCTAAACCTTCCACTGGGTGCAGTATCCCTTCCAGAAGACCCTGTTGCACATTCTGAATTCCTTTAGCTTCATTTTGGTGCTATAAACACTATGATGGGGGCACATCCTTCTGGAGCGGAGGAGCAGAGAAACCCTGGTCTACTGATAGTGCCCTGTTTTTGACCTCTTAAGGCTTTATTATTCAGAAACTGAAAACAACACTATACTTTTGGGTAAGTTCCTCTCTTGAGAAATGCCTGTGGACTATCACGTTTTCCGTAAAGTCTGCTTTTGCTAGAAATGTCTTATCTTCCAGAGGTGGATCTAACAGAAACATGGCTTTGGATTGTTTGTTACCAGCATGTCAGCCGAATACCCCCCCAACCTCCAGAAAGCAATTTAAAAACAAAATTAAAAAGCAGTTTTAAAGAATGTAAACAGTATTCTCTCCTGGGTAGCAGCAGTCCTTTTATGGACTATCAGGCCCTGTCCTAGGCCTGGTGGAGAGAGGCAGGAGCAGGACCCTTAGACTCTCAGCAGGTGCTCTGTGTCTTGTGTGCGCGCGCACTTGCATTGCTCTGTCCCCAAACTGCAATGAACTTCTTAATGATCCTGAGTCTCACACCTGCAGGCAACTTGACTAGGAGGAAATTAGTATGAGGGTATTTTTCCTATGATTTTTGGGCGGTGGGGTGGGGGGAACAGGAAGGAGGATACAGTATGAAGTTGAAGTTTTCCTCTAATTCTTGCTTTCATTACATAGCTGAATAGAACAGAATTGTGTGTTTGTGTTATATTTAATGGTGTTTGGAAAGGACAAATGTACTGTGGAAAAACCTTTTAAGACCTCAAGCTGTCTAGATCTTACATGATTAAAAGGTCACAATTTGAGGCCAGCTTAACCTATAATCCCAACCCTGAATAGCAGTGACATGTCATCTGAGAAGCAGATAAATGTGATCCCTGGTGTATAAGGATGCGTTAATTCAACAGTTCTATTAATTAATGTTTTATTGAGTAGATTCCATATTTAGTTATTGCTTAATTGGTACTTGTGTGATTTTCCTTTTCTGGCACGCTTTATATTGTCCTAGAGATGAAGGTGTTTTTGAAAGAGCGTGCAGTGCCTATGCATAGTTGCATTTATTGCCACATGGATCTTGCAAGTTCTGGAAAGATGATGGATCTAGCTCTTTGGCTGCTAGTAGCAGTAGCTTAAAATATAGCAACTCCATCCTTAAGCCCCCTTATATGAGAACTTTCTTTGATGCAAAATTTCCGCATGTTGTTGAGTTCCAAATGGAAAACAAAGTCTACATTTTAGTATAGTACTTGTGTTTGACCTAGAAATTGCAGATAGTGCAGAATGCTGCAGCAGGTTGCTGACAGGAGTGAGAGCTCTGATGAGACGTATACACTGGTTCATGTTCAGTGTGTTACTATCGGTGTATATAAAGCCATTAGCAGCTTGGGACCAGTTTTTTTGTGCGACTGCCTTTCCCTGTATGTCATAGTTGGAAGGGACCCTAAGGGTCATTAGCTCAACCCCCTGCAATGTAGGAATCTCAACTTGACCGCTTCATTCTCTGCAGCTAGCACTTTTACAGGTGCCATGTAACACTCATTTGATAGTTCTAAGAAATGGATCTTTCATTGTGGTGGCACCCACAGTTTTCAACTTCCTGCTTGTTGAAATCAGGCAGGCGCCTTCACAGTACTCTTTTCAGCACTTGCTTAAAATATTTTTGCTTAGGCAAGCCTATGCAGGTATGCAGCTGTTGACGTGATGTCATCTCTTTTACTGTTGATTTCAATTATTTTTAAATGTGCTTAACTGTTTTTTATTCATCATTCTAATATTTATTGTAAATTACTTACAAGCTTTATTACAATCAACTGTCATATAAGTTTTGTTAAGTACAGTAAGAATAAAACACCAAGTGCTTACAGAAGGCGCAGCATTGCTGGGAGTTCTTTTAACTCCTCCCTTGACCACTTCTTGGAGGCTATGCCATGTGACCAAGCAAGGAAGACTGTAAACAGAGCATGGATACCCAGTGCACTGACCCTTGATGCTGTTTTCTTGGTGGGGGTCTCTCTTTGCCCCCTTCTATCATGAGCGCTGCTAAACCTACCCTCCTTCCATAGCCTTTGGCCTTTCACCTTTAAGATTTCAGCTACTGGCCACTGAAAAAAACCGGTGCTTGGCATCCTAGTGACTTGCAATCTGCTATGAACATTTTGTTTCATCTGCAGCTGAAGCATGTCTTGGCCAGAGTTTGGCACTGCTATTTGCACCCCCAGTTTATTGTGCATGTGGTAGAAGAATGTACACCATGTAAAAAAATGCAGCCCACCATCTGCTCACATTGCTTTCCGGAAGAAAGATGAGCCAGCAGCTGTCTCAGCTAATATATCCAAGGTTTTCATTGTGATTTAGCATTGTTGTGTTGAAGGGGACTGAAAAGTGTATCTAGTCTGTCCTCCTGACAGAAGACAGAGCCCTATTTTGAAATAACTCTTTATAGAGTGAGGATTTCAGATGGGGTTACTAAGTTGTAACTGTTTTGATGATATGATACATCTGATCAGATATGTTAACTGAGTTGTGCAATACATGTTTTTATCAAGAAATATTGAGTGATATCCAGCTAAAACATGTTCAGAGTAGACCCATTGAAGTCAGTGGGCTTAAGTAACAAGTCCAATGATTTCAGTGGGTCTTCCTGAAGTATGATGAAAGTATGATGCCCATCTCCAGGTGGCTCCAGCACCTACAGCTCTCCTTAGAATAATAGATGCTCCTGGTTGTTTGGAGGAAGCTTCTCCAACCTGGTGTCTTCCTGATGTTTTCAACTACAGCTGCTGTCTTCCCTGACCACTGGCCATCCTGGCTGGGGCTGATGAGAGTTGTAGTCCACACAGCCTGGAGGGCCCCAGGTTGAAAAAGGCTTATCTAGAAAACCGAGCAGCTGAGATATGTGAGCTAAATCCCATGCCAAGATGAAGAGTGTTAATAATGGTCTCATCTGGGGGAAACATTGCCGCCCCTTCCCAATATATAGAACAGTTGAAACACAACCCAATCACTTAGTCTCCCCAGTGGAGCATTTTCTTGAATTTCTGCAGTGTTGGTGATTATTTGGCTTGATTAACTCTGTTCCCACTGGAAGAAGTACTGGTAATTGTTCCAGAAGATTCCAAACCAATGTGTTGCCTTGAGGAAGGTGTGTTGCCTCTTTTCAGAGATCAGCTCTTTTTTTGGGAGGGGGGGTGTTAGGGGTAGGTTCTGAAATGGCTTGCATTTTAGCCTTTGCTTCAGTTGGCTGTACAGCTTTATTGTTCTTACACATTGGTAGTATGGGCTGAAGGCAAAGGTCTGTTTGGAGAGGAGCAGAATTGATGAGTTGCTGGAACTGTTAGTACTAATACAGTGGCACCTCAGGTTAAGTACTTAATTCGTTCCGGAGGTCCATTCTTAGGCTGAAACTGTTCTTAACCTGAAGCACCACTTTAGCTAATGGGGCCTTCTGCTGCCGCTGCGCCGCCGGAGCACGATTTCTGTTCTCATCCTGAAGCAAAGTTCTTAACCAGAAGCACTATTTCTAGGTTAGTGGAGTCTGTAACCTGAAGCATATGTAACCTGAAGCGTATGTAACCCGAGGTACCACCGTATTGGTGAGCTCTGTGAAATAGCAATTGTTTGATTTACAGTAATGGAGGAGGACTGGGAGCCTCTAAGGGAAAACAAGGTAGACAAGCCATTTCCCTGATCAAATTGCATGGTGGCTTTCTGCCCTGCAGTGCCTCCAAGGGGTCAGTGCTGATGAGCAGTGAGGATCTTGGCCCCTGGTTGGCAATAGTGCCCTTGTAACTGCATAGCTCTTATGGCACCTTCTTGACCAGACTTGACCAGACTCCGGCACTGAGGAAGATTGAAAAGCATCAATTTACCACCACCACCACCACCCCTTAGTGCACTGGCACATAGAATTACCATATTCTGTTACTCCACAAGCAGCGGGTCTTCTGTCTTGCTTGCCACAACTAGGCAATGCTTGAGGTTGACCAGCAGTGACCTTGCTGCTCTTGTCTTTTGTAGGTGTCAGTAGATGAAAGGCACTCTTTTAGTACTAAACTTGATCATTAATCTTGCTTTTTAAAAAATAAATGTGTGAAACACACCAGTGATCTGGCAGAGAAGCAATGATTATGTAATGTGTACAGTGTTAAGTTTAGCCAATGGTGCTTGGCTGCATGATGCAAAGGATTCATGAGTGACGGCAGGGTCCAGTGTGGAGCGATCTATGCAAATGAGACCAGTTCATACACGGTTGGTAGTACACGCTGTGAAAAGTAGGCATCAGTCAGCATGTAAATGTGTGACTTTATCCAGTTCTGTGAATGCAGCCTTTGGCGTTGGCTGCATGCTTCAGTAAATCTGCTTTTATTGGCAATAAATCTGGCTGGTCTTATCAGCAAAACCAGATCTCTGGAGTGTCAAGTTTTCTTCCTTAGAATGAAAATACAGAGCTGAATATGCTCACAGTGTCACATGTGGCATGTGCATCTGCCTTCTACCCCCACATCTTTGAACTCCCTATCTTGCTAATTTTCAGTAGCGTTTGTGATATTAACATGTCCTCCTCCTCCATTGCTTTAAGAAGGCTGCTTAAAAGATTGTTCTCCTTGGGTTAGGGCTGTAGGCCCAGCAACATTCAGTTCAGCTCTCTGTGTTGGTATGTCATATGCCTCTGTACCTTGGATACCTGCCCATAACTACAGTTCTCCTTGCAGCTTGGGACTTGAACACAAAAATCTTAGAGCCCTTTCTGCTAGTGCCTCCTTCCTGCAATGCAAATGAAGCTGAACAGAAATAGCTTTATTAAATAAAAAGCATTCTTGCTTTCATAGCCTTTTCCATTATACAATATTTAGACTTTTCGCTGAGGAAACATTCAGGTCATGCATGCTACTGAACATAAATCTGCTCTAGTGGCACCTCACCACAGAGAGATGAGAGAGAGAGACACATCAAGTCCATAAAAATCAATATTGGAGTCCACTTGTGACCCTTCAACAATAGTATGCAAATGGTTAGCACTTGTTCATGGGAGCTGCTGTAGACACACCTAACGGGTCAGTCAAGCCACTGCTTGGTTTGGGGTGAAATTTCTTTCTGTTCTCTCCTACCCTTCCCCTAACAAGCTCTCTGTCAAAGATGCCTTCATAAAGCAGATAAATTTATGTGTGTGCTCTAAGTGCGCTTTTAAAAAATGCGCACGCGCTCTCACACATGGTAACTGCTTGCCCCTGGAGGTCACCACCAGACCACAGGGGCTGTGTTTGGGTATGTGTGATGGACACCTGCATGTCCGGCTGCTTCGTCAGGACTTCAGGCAATTTGTGAGCTCTTGGGGGGGGGGCTGCTCTATTTGATTGTTGATCGCATTCCTGCAAGGACAGTTATTAGCGGCACATTGCTCTCCATTTGCTGCAGACAGAAGACGGAGAGCAATATTCATGTCACCTGAGCATATTGTAAAAATGCATGGGGTTTTTACTCATCTCACCTGGAAGCAGAGAATAGGGAAAATGAGAGTGCCTTGAATCCGAAGCTGTGTGGAAGAACATGCAGGAATCTGCAGATATGTATCCTTGTTCGGTCGTTCGGTCGCCCTGACTATGGATTAGGAAAGACTGGTTTTTTTCTCTTCTCCTTCCCATTTATTTTCCTTTTCTTCTTAAAGAAAAGCAAAAATATACTATTGTTATTATGCAATAGGCTTTTGCCACAATGGCATCCTTGCATTCTTTGCCTTGCACGGAAGCAAAACAGGCTGCTTTGTTTGGTCACTGATCTCTCTGTCGTTTGGCCCAGGGCTATGCTGAGATTTCTCTCCCACTTGTATTGTTGCAGCTCAAATGAAGAATGTTCAGAGGATGACAAGTGTGTACTGAGTCGGTATGTTGCTTCGTTTTCATTATGGATCCCATCTTTTTTTTCCCTTCCCCTTTCCCACCCTGCTACTATTGGTCAGAAATCAGGTTAATAGGTACAGAATGTAGTATGGTGCTGCAGTGTGACTGTGAAGGTAGAACAATAGCACTACAGGCTTGTTCTTGGGGTGGGGGGGTGGAGAGGCATTCTTTTTATAGAAAAAAGCTGCATTGTGGTGACTTGTAAAGTGCAGCTCCTCTCTCTCTCTCTCTCTCTCCCCCTCTCTTTCTTTCTGTTGAACATATACTGCAGTCAACACTTCTCTAACGAGGTGGCACTATTCGAGTTGGAGTGATAGAATCGCCTTATTGCTTTAGGGGACAGCAGGGTTTAAAATGAGATGCCTCTCAACCCCTTTTTTCAGACTGGAAGCTTTGGTTTAAGCTCACTGGCAAGCTCGCTTGGCTTGTTCCGAGCTTCAGCAGCCACCGTTGTGCCAGTAGCGTGTGTCTGGAATGGAAGTCCAAGTTGGTAGTCTGTTATGGAAACGCTGTTTGCTGTTATTGTAGTATCGTGGTGACCAACATGCCATTGAAATGGAAAACGAGTTCTCCTGCTATGTGGAAATTCCCAGTTCCTGTGCTTAAAACATCCAGGTCGTCGCCACTTTCTCCAGCATACATGTAAGTGAGAGAACTGAGGCTATTTTAAGGTGGGGTTTCTTTTGTGAGATTACATCCCCCCCTCCCCGGGCTTTGTTTTGTGAGACATAACCCCCCTCCTTTCCCCCCTTTTTCTTACGTGGTGCCCTGATGTGACATTGGTCTCAGAATTTTTATTTCTAACCTTGCATTTCTTTCATTAGAACCTCTAAAATTTAACACTCCTTTTGTTGTCAGTTTCCCATTTTTTCTCCCCTCCCCAAACGATGGATGTTGTGTTGAGTCGTTCCTTTGTTGAAAAAGCAGAGAAATGGTGCAGATTTGGCCACATTCACAATTCCTTTTCGGTGCCTATTGTCAAAGTTTGTGTGGTCATTTGTCCTTAAAGATCTTACGTGAGCAAGTCAGAATCATCAGTACCCAGATCTTCCGTTTTATAGCTAATTTTAAAAATGAATATGTATATAATGCCTACCATTATGTCATTTCTGTATTGTGTGTGTGTGTGTGTGTGTGTGTGTGTGTGTGTGTGTGGCACTGTGAAATATTGGAATTGCTTCCTTTGACTGCAGTTTTTTACCCGTTCTTTAGCTGTTCCTTAGAAGTCAAAGCAGAAGTCAAAAATTAAATGTTGCCACTGCCAGATATGCCTTGATTGGGCTTAGGATTCATATTTTTAAAGGGCACTGTGGCATTTTAATAGACTGTGTTTTTCTTGCTGACATTGAGCACCACACATGGCCTGCAAAAAATGAATGCAGTAAGGAGAAGTTAACTTGGTTCTGGTAGTGCTCATTAATAAATGAGCCACGGTGGGAACAGCTTCCATGGTTCATACTTATAAAACACAAAATATATGCTCAGCCAGCATTGAGGCAGTTCTCCTTGAGGGTTGCATGAATGAAATGTGGTAACTTGATGCTTTCAGCTTGTATACTTACCGACATCACAAAGGAGCAAATTGCTCATCAGTTTTGTTGGGCAAATATGATTAGCAGCATCATTTCACTGAAATACCTTTTTTAAAAAAAGCTTTTTACTAACTTGGAGCACCTAAAAATTATAGTATCATAATTCTGAAGCTTGAAAGCAAATTGTTGAGTGTGACGCATCGGAAGGGGGAAATGGCTTTGTGCTAAGGGTTTTCAGGCATTTTCATATTTCAGAGAGAACCGGCATTGCCTAGTGATCAGCACTGTTGTGGATTTAAAAAATATTGGAAAGAAGGGGAAACTCTGCTCTAGGCTAATTTCTGGTGTGCCTACCATTTACACAAAGGGAGTTTGCTGCCATTGTTTTCTGTAGAGGCAGCATATAAAAAATACAGTGTTGAACAGAACTGTGCATGGTTGGTGCATTGTCCAGCTCTTATACAGCAATACATGAGGCATAAATGTTCAGGAGGCAGCTTCAACTGTAGGTGAGAAGCCACAATTGTCTCTGTGAAAACTGGGTTTCATTCATAGGTGTGTAAGCTTCAGCTTGTAGAAGGTTGCTTAAGTATTGTTTTAAAATAATATAAAAATTCTCTAGAGGTCCTTACGAACTGCTCTGTTATAAATATTCCTGCGATAGGTGTTTATACTTTAGTTATAAGTAACTTTGTCTTCCGTTCTGCATTCTATTTAGGGAGGGGGTTGGCATTGCTATACTGGTGACTAAAAACTTCTATTATGCCATGCATATGTTTATTGGCATACCCACGCTCATGCCAAACCACTGCTACCTGCCCTTAGCACTTGGTGTCTGGTGGGCTATAATTCAAAACGTATTAAATCAGGACTAAAAGGACCAACCACTTAATGTCAGAATACAGTGTATGAGGGCTACTGCAGACCTGAAATGTTTTTCAAGTTTTTGTTTGGTAGAATATGTTCTACAATAGGATTTCAGAATGCCCCAAGCTAAAAACCCTTTGAAATCTAAGGGTGACCAGAGTGATGATTACAAATATGGTGCAGTTTGCCATTAGGAATTGGTAGAATCACTTTGCTCATTATCAGTTTTAAACAGTAGTGCCAAAGCTCTGATTGTCTTGGTTTTCTTAAAACATGTGCTTTGATTAAATGCCATTCCCTGTCATATCCATTGGTCTTTAATGTTGCAATTTTAGAAGTGAGGAAGAAGCCCTGTTTTTGCCACTCTTCTAGCAGCAATATTGTGTTAATGCATAGAATTTGCCTTCCAAATCAAGAACCATATGCCTAATTTATCTTGCTTCTTGTAAGATGGGAAAGGGCCGCCCTTGATTAAGACTGACAAAAACTCTGTATGCTGCATGCAACCTGCTTTGCAACCAGGTCAGCTTCTTTCGAAAAAGACTCACTTCATTTTGGCAGACAGAAGGTTACCAAGGCTGAGGTTGTTCCCCTTAACATTCTGTATCTAGCTGTTCCTCTTAGAGTAAATTGGGTGGGTTGTAGGAGATTGGGGTCTTTCAGGTCCTTTAGAAAACTTTCCATGCCTTTGGGAATAAAAGATTTACCTGTTCATACCCTCTGTTTGCGGGGTATATGAGCAAGGCTGTTTTTAGCTGGAACTCGCCAATTCAGCTTTCAGGTGGGAGCCGTTGCCATTCTAAGAGCACCGGGGAAGTGTTCATGGTGAGTTCTGGCACCTCTTTTTTTTGAAAAATAGCACTGGGTATGAGGGATGCACTCGCAGAAGGAATACAGCTTGTGTGCAGTTACTCTTTATGACTGTGGGGTGAATGTTTTCTGCTTGGAAATCCTATTGATAGGAAAGCACTCCTTTTTCGTAGGGCAGAAGGAATAAAAAAATGGGCAGCCTCTCCTTATACCTGATCATTGTGATGTAGGTTTGTTCAGTGGATTGTGTGAGTGTCAATTCTCCATGAGTCTGTTCACCAAAGGTGAGCAGAACACACAGCTCTCTAATTATTGTTTGTGAAACTCCTGTGTCTCAATTTGACCACATCTCTTCTTTGTGTGCCAGAGGACTTGAGAGTGGAAAGTGGCAACAGCAAACAGTGGAAAGCAAGTAAGTTAAGACAAAATATGAATTGTGGGTGGTTGTAAGTGCTGCCAACTCAGGTGGTCACAGACTGGGGGCGAACGAACAGGATCTGCAGTGCTTGTTAATCTAAACCTCACTAAAGCTATGAAGTCTTCTCCTTAGCCTCTTCCCTGCCCCAATAGAATGCAGTGTTTTTGTTTCTACATAGCTGCTGCAGCCAGAAATGACTGTCTCCCCCCCCCCCCCAATGGAAGAATACAGTGGATGAGAATGGATTTTGCACTTGGAGAAACCTTTTGAGATATCTGCCTAGTAGATATCCTGTGGGGTTGTTGTTGTTTTTTTGCTATATCCTCTCTGTGCAATGTAGATCAGTTAAAAGCTACCCAATTATCAGAGTTAGAAAAGCTAAATACCATGATTACCAAGAAAACTTTCCCTATCTCTTATCCAACTGGTGCTAGTGTGGATTCAGTGAGGTCCAGAAATGGGTCTGGTAGAAATCTTTTTAAAAGGGCTATCCCTCCAGATCATGCCTTATCTGTGTCCAATATGGGAAAGGATACTTCTGTGGAATGCTAGTGGAATCACTGTAGTAAAACTCAGAGGTGAAATCCTCCTGCTTAACTATGACAGCCAAAACAGAGGACTGGTGAAATGTCCTTTTGAAGATGCCAGCACTTCCCTTCAGGTCCCCTTGCAGTCATCCATTCCCTGCCACAGATGTAAAGGGAATCCAGAAAGCAACTGAGTGAACAAGGTTGACTGCCGCCTTACAACAGGGGAGCTTTCCTGTTGGGAAGTCTCCACATCACACAGAAATCCAGACACAGCTTCTCAAAAATGGTCCAGGAGCCTTTTTGTCTTCTAGTTGTGGCTATGAGTAAGAGACTGCAGATCAATCATAGTCCTGGAGGCTATGAACATGAGTCCTGGCCTCAAGCTATTGATGGTGGAGTTCTCTGCCACTGTTGCTGCACAAAGTCAGGGGGATTATAGATGATTAAAGGTCGCATGCCTGGAAACCTTGGCAGCTGGATTCCAGTGTCATAGCCCCTGTACTACCAAGGCAGCAGACCAGAAGATGGAGCTGGGAGTACTTTAAGCCAGCCCTGTTGTTCTTGGGCTCTATCAGGCTCTCTAATGAAGTGTCTTTCTCCCACACACCCCCTCACACTAGCACATAGTTCGCATCTTGTGTAGTCCCTTGTGGGCAAATATTGTCCCTATCTTCCCAGTGTTACCTTGCAAACTGCTTTGCACTATGTCAGTTGAAAATCTAATGCTGTCATTCAAGCTAAGATAAAAATTGTTTTTCAGTAAATACGTGTTTTGGCATTGAGTGATGTACACTGAGTTTATTTTTATTTCTGGTTTTAGACATTTGTTCAGTCCCGTCCCCAAAGACAAAGACTGCTAGTCAGCTTGTTTATGACCCCAGCACAATCTCATCTATATGCAGTCACTTCCCTCACCTAAGTTTCAGCAAATATGTTGCACCATGGCAAATCTTTGGAGTTAGAAGAGGATGAGCTGCTTCAGTACTGACTTTATTGCTGTGGTTTGAGATGTGCATGGGATAGTGCCATAAACTTTCTTGCTTCCCCTATTTAAGTGGTGCTGATGAGAAATAAGGCAGATTCTGTGACTTGAATAAAAATTAAGTGTCTTAGATGCCCCTGTTGAATAGAACAGCAAAGTATGTTAGGGTGATCAAAGGAAGAGTGGGTGCAAGATGACTAAAGGACTACTCTGTTGTGAACCTTTTTGAAGGCTACTCTTCATGTCCCATCAGTGCTTGAGGTGTGATTGACAGGAATGTAGTGAGCCTTTTCTGTGACTGCATCTGGGTTATGGCACTTCCTACCCAGGAAAACTTTACTCTTGCCTCATCTCTGGTGGTTCTCAATCTCCTAGTTTAGATCTTCCCTTTTCAGCAAGTTTTTGGCTGGATTTTATACCTGTTCTTATCAGACCTGCACCTCATCTATAATTTTTGAGAGTACTAGATTCCAATCCAGTTATTTTCTTGAGATGGTTGAGTGCTTTTTAAATGGAAAGATTGAAAATTACCCAGTGCTGCTTCAGCAGGTTCATAGCAGAGGTGGTGGATATATACTGTATTGGCCCAAATATAAGCCGCACCCGAATATAAGCCACACCTTTAAAATTAAAAGGGGGGAAAGAAAAAAAGACAATACCTGAATATAAGCTGCCCCCTTAAAATTCAGCAAGCACTCACACCTATTCCATTTTACTGGATGTTTGTTTCAGCAGCGATATCGTAAAAGCCAATTTTTGTAACATTGTGACTTTAAGCTACACTTTAACTTTTCACAGTCAGAATTTGGAAAAAAAAGTGAGGCTTACCATACTTTTCCATGTATAAGACTAGGTTTTTGTTTTTTTTACTAAAAGATAATGTTAAAAAGGGGGGTAGTCTTATACAGAGGGGCAATCTCTCCCCCCCATTGTATTAATTTTGATTCCCCCAAAATAGGGGGCATCTTATACACAGGGGTGTCTTATACACAGAAACATACGGTATATTCTGGCCAATACAGTAGTTGACGTGTGGATCTGGGTTTTTGGACTTCACATAACAACCAAAGGGAAAACTTGTACATAATCCTGATACAAAACGTGTAGAGCACCAGACACAGTCCTACCTCACACATTCCTTTCCGAGGAGATGTGTAGATGTGCTGCCAGTTGGAGTATCCACTACTGAGCTAGGTTGCCATATAGTCTGCCTAATATAAGGCAGTTTCCAATTCTGAAGGAAAAGCATTTTTGCTCTGCCTTCCCCATCCCATTGCTTTGCGTATCTCTTCTACCTCAGTATCCATGTCTTACTGAGACAAAGAAAAATGGTAGGAGAGTAAAGGGCAACAGGTGGGCATTCCCTGCATGTGGGTTGAGCTGAAGTCGCATGAGGACTGCAGTATGCTAGGCAGAGCTAGGGTTGCCATAAGTCTAGGATTTCCTGGACATTACCAGGATTTCAAGGGCAGAAGTGATGTCTGGGGGGAATTTCTGGAAGGTGGCAGTTTATATTGGATCTTCAGCAAGTAAACCAAAACATTGCGTTCAATTGGCGTTTTTGTTCATTTGGCTCAACAACTTTGGGGTTTGTCTAAAAAAAGTTCATTAACTTTCAGGGTGTCCTGGTTTTTACTTTTTGAGATATGGCAACTGTATCAGAGCAGAGCACACTTAAATTCTACACCTTCTCTTTCTGTAGCATTCCATCTTGAGTTATGTGTCCACATTTTTCATCTGCGTGTTGAATTTTTCTGTGCCTGCAGTCACCTGATCTAAATTGCATTTTGGGAGCCTAGATTCATGTTTGCCTTCCTTTGAATCCTTAGGAATGAATGCGATATGTTGGAAGTAAAGTTTATGCATAAGCTGAAGGAAGTTGGTTGCTCACAGCAAAAACTTGCTTATGGCTGCTGTGCCATAAAAGCCCTGAACTTACCTGCATATGTACCGACTCGGTTTACAGCTTGCGTGGTGTTTGTTCTCCATCTTTTTAGGTTGACCTGTTTCTCTTTCGTTCCTCCCACTGGAAACTGTTGTTGCTGCTGGACTGTGCTGGTCTCTTCGATTTTAGCACTTGAACATGAGCATTCTGGAGGCAGAGAGATTGTGACCCAAGAGGCAATAAGGAGGAGGTGTGCTGGCCAGCCAAATAGCTGTCCCCAGTCTGCCTGTGACAAGGTTAAAAGAACAGAGTTCTGATCGGTTAGCTCTGCAGGCAGGTGCTGTGCTGTAATTGTTCTTGGGTTTAGCGCAAGCACTATTTCCTGGCTGGGACTGTGAGTCATCCTCATTTTTCAGGGAGAGAAGTGCAGCAAATGCCCAATTAAGAAAGTGGCTTAGGAAATGCTGATATGAACTTTTCCCCAGTGTAGTCTTGTTGGTCTCTCTCCTATCTTATCAAGGCACTTGAAAGAAGCATTGACTTTTGTCAGTTATTTTAAAAAGAGCCTTTATTTTAATTTGTCATAGTTGAAATGCAATAATCAATCACTAGTAGAATTGCATTCTCTCCTGTTCAGAGTTATTTTTCTATAGTAAACCATTATTATTATTATTCGGTTTTGGGAAGGATTAACTGTAGCTTTTGTGTGTGTGTGTGTGTGTGTGTGTGTGTGTGTGTGTATATATATATATATATATCTGTCTGTGTCTGCTTGTTCCTTATAGGGTTTCTGCCTACCTTGGTCACACAGTGTGAAGCTAAAAATTACATCAGCCTTTTTGTCTTAATTAAGTTACTTGCAGCCTGACCCTCCAGCTTACTTCACCAGCAAACAAATGTTTACGGTGCACCAAATGCTGTATTTTAGATTCAGTGTTTGAGTTGTAGACAGATGTTCTTGTAGGCTTGAGGGAGGCAGAGCTATTTGAAAGCACAGTTCATAGACTGAAGAAGCCGCCTTTCAAAAAAATCCAACTAAGTTACTGCCCAATCTGCCAATGCATCTAGTCATTTACGCCCTAAAATGGGGAGGATTCAACATCTCATTTTGTAAAGATTCTCTACTCTGCTACCTTGAGATAATTCAAACATGCCACATGTAACCTCTCTAGTAGCAGTTTGCAAACAAAACAAAACAAAACCAAACAAAAACAGTAGCCAATGCGGCACTCTCCAGATTCCATCAACCCCAGGCAGTAGAGGGCGTGGTCACATGACTACTAACGCAAGAAGGGTATTATGCCATAGCATACCTGGCAATGTGGAAGAGCTCAGTGTCCATCTACTATCCCAGATGTGTGATAGATGCACCTGTCCTTCCTCCAGCAACTGATCCAATCCAGACAACAGCATGTCACAAGCAAAACAGACATAAAGTTCTGTCTGTCAATTGCCCACACTTTTGAAAAGGGTTAACATGCCATCATTCTACCTCCTCTGCCTCATTCAGAAATGTACTTTCCCTTTTGCATCTACAGTATATGAATTTCTTGATTCCAGATTGGTTTTGAATTTTGCAGCTAAAATTGCTGATTGTGTGCTTTTACTAAATAGCTGTTGTTGATGGATTTCCTTATAAAACAATTGACTGAAATTCATTGGTCTTTACAGATCAAGTGGGATTTTTTGCTGCCCATGTATAAGGAGCACTGTCAATGAAATTGCTTAAATGAGACTACTTTTATTTTCCTGAGGTGAGGAAGGGGGTCTGTAAGTTCACAGTAGCGATTCTTGCACAATGCCTCCTGGTGCACTTGTGTGCCCACAGTTTACCCTTTTCTCTTTCTACTTGGCCTTTGCCAGCCTACTACCCTCTAGATCAGAGGTTTCCAAACTCTGTGTTGCGACACGTTAGTGTGTTGGCGTGTTGTGCAAATGTTGCCATCGCTTTTCCTGGGGCTGGAAAGGGGTTAGTTTAACCTCTGGTTTGCTAGTAGAACTGAATTACTGTGTCACGAAACGATTCATGTCTAAAAAGGGTGTCACCAACATGAAAAGTTAGGAAAGTTCTGCTCTAGAAGCTTTGGACTACAAAAATCAGCCCCAGCTAGAACAGCTGTGCTAGTCTAGGGCTGATGCTGTTCTACATAGATAGCTATAGACTTGTGATAAGATGAATGTGTTTAGTGTGCTGCACCCGTAATTACCGTAAGACTTGACTACATTGCAGTAGCTTGTGATCATAAAAGTTGTTCTAATAATACTTGAAATTTGATTCTTCAACCTGCTTCCTAGTTGGTTTTACAAAAATGAGGGAGCTGTTCGGTATGCTAGTCTCTCTGCCCCCACAGCTTCTGGATCTGCTGTAGAAGAGGCATTTGTGGGCAGATAATCTTGTTATGCATCACTGACTCCAGAACAAGTTTTGTACAACAAAGCAAATAAATGTCCAAATGCTTAATTTGTGCATGTTTTCAGAATTCATTAAAAAACAGAAAGTATTAGTGAAGTTTCCCAGGCATAACAAGAGAATCCATGGCATAGGAACATGTGAGCTAGAACATCTTGGTGGCTTTGCAGCTAGAAATTGTTTATTATTTGTTTCTGGGCCCAGTTCAAGGTACCCACATTCGTGTTTAAAGCACTAAATTACTTGGGCTCCAAATATCTGAAATACCACCTCCTCCTCTACAGGCCCTCTTATGTGATGAAATAAACAGAGGGAACCCTCTTGGAAATTCTACAACCCTCAGAAGTTTGTGTATGTGTGTGATAGCCTGGGAGAGGACATTCACTATGGCAACCCCTAATTTTGTGGAATTCTCTCTGCACAAAGGTGTGTCTGGCCCCTTCTTTACACAGCTTTCATTGTAAGCTGAAGAGATGCCTCTTTATGCTTACCTATGGTGTCAGAGATCTGTATTTTAGGACCTACCCTATTCTCTTAATTGCAATCTGTTTTAATTGTTTTTGGGATTGTATTCTTGTAACCCACCCAGGATCCTCATTGTGAAAGTGGGTAAGAAATGGAAGAATAAAGTATGATGATGATAGAACAGAACAAACAAACAAACAAACAAACAAACAAACCTCTAAGATGAGTGGTGATTCAAACTAGAAGGTACAAATCACAGATTTTAAAAATTATTTTGATATGAAATTATTTGGGCCAGACAAGGTTGATGTTCATTTTTGTTTTGTTTTTTACATTCATACCTTGCGTTACGTTTGCTTCACATTGCGGCTTTTCAGGTTACGAACGCGGCAAACCTGGAAGTGTTTGCTTCTGGGTTCACTGCACACGCAGAAACGATCTGCATGCTTCGCGCACACACAGTAGCAGCGCTCTACTTACCGACTTTTCGCGGTGCGAACGGTACCCTGAAATGGATTGTGTTTGTAAGTAGTGGTACCACTGTATTGCCTTGTTGAATTAAAATAGCTCCTCTCCTCTCCTACTTCATCAAGCAGCAGTACAAGCACCATTGGTTTTTAATTTTAAATGACGATTTGACACTTCTCTCCCCCAAACCATTAGCTCCGAGTCTTCATGGCATGTGATAGTGGGGGCTGTAGTCCATGATCGTATGTACCATAATAAATTTAATAGACTTTAAGGTGCCCAGTAATTTTGCTTTGCTTCAAAAGACTTACAGTGTTCCTACTCTGGACATTTAAATTCTGTCGCTTTTTTATTTCACCTCACAACTAAGTCAACCATCAACCCTTCAGAAGGTACTGAGCTTGAGTGTCTTGGAGGGTGAGGTGTGCATCAACTAGGAATTTGGCAGGAATCCAGTCTTTGCGAACTCTTACACAAAACATACCTGATCTGAATCAGGCTGATCTCGGGATCAGAAGACAGCTCTGCGCTACTTTCAGTGCTGCAGCATAATTCTCAGCCGTTTAAATATACCAAGCATGCATTAAATACTACCTCTGAAAGAGAATACATCTTTTAAATGTGTATTAAAATATTTATTTGAGGAGGATTTTTCTCTTTAAAATGCACAGATTATTCTGCCATGCTGCCTCTGTACTCCTTGTCCAAAAGTGTAGGTGGCATGTTTCTTTTTCGTGCTTTTTACATAGCTGAGGCATGCATCCTCAAATTTAGGCACCGAACCCGTTTGCCTGATTTGCATTTTAGACTGAGCCACCCAAGTCCTACTTAGCTCTCTGTTCAGGGCTCATGGTTTTACTATCAAAGATTGTGAGGGGGACCGGGGGGGGGGACTTTTAAATAGGTATATAACTTGAATAATTCTATTAAAAGTATTTTCTTTCCTTTTGTCACTCTGTGTTACCACAAACTGAACTCCAGTCTTCTCTGCTTATTGTTCGAGCTTTTCATCTTCATGAGATACGGAAAAGCCAGGGCTGTATAGGAATGGTGTCCAATAGGGAACCACCTCTACTTTAAACCCTAACAGGATAAGAGATTATCAAATGTTAAAAGCTATGATTGCCCAATGAGATAGAGAGAAAAAGGTGTGCCTACACTTCCATATGACCAAGGGGGGCCTTAAACCTTGCCTTCTTGCCAACAGTCTTCCATGCATGTGATGAAATGAGGGGTGTATCAAAAGTAGTTGGTGATATGGCGTGTTCAGGGTATGAATGTGTGCTGGGGGGGGTATTTTGTTTTTTAAAAAATATAGACCGAGGTGCATGCATTCCCTGCCCAACTAGACTGTTGGGGCCTAGCAGACTTCTTCCCACCTCATTACATATTGTTTATCTGAAGCTGTTGTGAATTGTCCTAGCTACACATCTTTATATTACCTTTGCATTTTGCAGACTTTTATGTTGATTAAAAATCCAACTGGCTGCTCCCCCCCCCCCCATTTTAATGTAATGGCATCTATTGATCAGAGCAGTAGAATTAATTAGAAAGTGAATGAGCGCCCCCTCTTTTTTGGAATTCCTAGTTCTGATATAATATGCACACTAGGAAACACTGATAAATATTTTTACATTCTTCATTTACCTAATGAATTGTAATATTTGTCATGTCAGCATTAATGAGCAGAAATAAAATGCATTTGTTAACAGTACCTAATTTGCACCTCAGAAAACATGCTAATAAACCCACAGAAAGTGCATGCAAAGTTGACCTAATTGGATAGCCTAGGTCAGGGGTCTGCAACCCGCGGCTCCGGAGCCGCATGTGGCTCTTTTACACCTTTGCCGCGGCTCCGGGGCGGATACTAGCGAGGGGAGGAGGCGCATTGTGCGCCCCGACACTCCCCACTGTGGCGGGCACTGTACCTTCCCGGTTTTGCGGCTCCCAGTTTTTTCCCCTCGGAAACGGGTCCAAGTGGCTCTTTTTGTCTTAAAGGTTGCAGACCCCTGCCCTAGGTGGTCGGAAATGACTTTTTTAAAAAAAGAATCCTAATTCTTTGATTTGTGGCCATTGAGGTATGAGTTGCTGGTAATTAATCACCTGCTGGTTAGTTTTATTTGTCCTGATAACTTGCAGCTGATGATAAAGTGGAGGATGTGTTTCAGTTTTGGAATGTAAAAAATAAAATCTGAATGCCTAGCTCGCATTTGGAACCGTATTTTACTGATGATGTTAAATTCTTGTGAAGAGAGAAAATTCTCTACCACTGGCTTTGGTCTAAGATTTTGGAGGCACTGCTCCAAGGGAAGAAAGCATATGTCTATATCCTAACAGCCAATATTTTTACACACAGAGACAGGCAATGAGGTTATTTCCATCACATAAGGTTCACAGCCTTATGTAAGGATGCTTCCAGTGCCCTGCAAGAGAGATTTCTTCCTCTGCTCCATGCACTTCTGTTGAGGTGCCTCTTCTGATGTTGCTCTCCTCCTACCTCCTTTTCTGTGCCGTGTACCAAGCATGCTTCATCCACAGCTTGATAAATTGGAGGTGGTTCTGATATGCTAAGCTTGACTTGGCACATTGAAGCCTCTTCACCGCTGCAGAGAGAGAAGTTCCACACATGGGTAGACTCAGAGTGTGAGGGCTGGCTCCTCTTGGCAAGTAGAATTCCTGGCATCTTTATCCATGCCATTAAAATCCCTCTTACTTTTTCCACTGTTCGAAATTGTGTTGTTGGAATGACTGCAATGGGGCATGGGAGGTTGCTTTACTCTAAAGCTGCCTTTTAAGTCCGAGGTATAATTTTGGATTAGTGGGCCTGCCAACTATCCACAATTCTTCTAGGCTAGTTCAGGTTCTGAGGGCTTCCGTGTTTTAGGTTCCTCCTGGCAGAACTGGCAATTCAGTGTCAGAAAAACTTTATTTTGAAGGTGCTCCCACACATCAGGGATGCCCTGCACACAGGAAGTTAGGATCATGAGGAGAAGGTTAGTACTACAGCTTCCTTTTTCCAGACCATGCTAGTCTTGCAGTTGTGTGGGGTGGAAACTTTCCCCCAGCGTTTTTATTTTCCTTCAGGCGGGGGGAGGGGGAGTCCCCATTTAATTAGTAACGTGAATAGATGGCAATTGCAACAACATTAGGCAAACATGGCACAGGTTTCAAAGTTTTTATTTTTGATTACCAAATACATGTAAAATAGACAAATTGCTCTCGAGGGCATCAGAAATATTTCCAGAGCAAACTGGAAAAAAATCCAGTGCATATTACTTTTAATTTGCTGAGGAATTTTCTTGCAGGATTTCTAGAATCAGTGTTCTAGAAATTGAACAACACTGCTGAAAGGCTGCAGTTCAACCAAAGATGCATCACATGTGACTGCTGGTTGGGTGTTCAGCACCTAATTGAGTCACTGCTGGGGTCTTCTATCAAAGACATGTTTCTGTCTATGAATAACCTATGAAGTTATTTTGTTGAGACCGTGTTAAATTTAGCAAGTTAAGCTAGTTGCTCCCATTCTTCCCCCACCTCCAGTCTTAAGTTCTTGTGCAAACAGTTTTTAATATGGATATAACTTTTTCTGTCTGATATTGTCTACTTGCTGCTTTTATGAAAGGCAAAACTGGAGTAGCTCAATAATGTACAGGGAGGTTATGGACTTTGAAGATATTTTTAATAGGAATTGTTCTCCGCCAGTATGTTAATGCCTGCTTTCTTATACTTGTCACACTTATTTCCTGGCATGGAATACAGGGAAGGAGGCAAATCCTTAGATTAGGGTTGTGTAAATGTTTTATGCAATTAATCAAAATGTGACTAGAGATTTTCCACCCAGGCTGCTTCTGAATTGTTAACTGCAATTAACAGAATTGTGTGCTAAAAGAAGCACCACTTTCCACCTGTCCCCATGTACAGATAAATGATGGGCTTGCTAAATACGGTCTGTATTTCTGTAGTGTGCGTTCTATGTATTTCACACCCATGTTTTGAACCTGTGTTCACTGTTTGGTCCAAGTTACTTGTTTAGTATTTCTTAAGGTTGATCCCTCTCTGAACTATCCATGGTTTTGACTAACCCCTGAAAAATTCTCACGTTTCAGAAATGGCTTTAAATAGATGTGGTCTCCCTGACTCAAAGCAAGAAATGAATGTTCACAAGAATTCCGTAAAGATGTTAATATACAAATTGATATATGAATTGGAATTATTCAGTGCAGGTACAAAAAGGATTAGTTTAAAATTCACTTGCATCTTTGGGCAGTTAAAGTAATTTCTGAAACTTATTTGGAGGCCAATGTTTTTATCTGCATATTGACAGTCTTCAGTCTTCAGCCTCTCAGTAAGAATGGCAGTTGTGCTTCAGACATGTTATGAAACTGCCCTATATAAGGGGGTGCCAACTTGCATGGTTTTCCGCTTGGGCATTAATGGTTACACAGGTTATGGAGAGCTTTCTTCCTCCTAAAGCCCCATGGTCTACCTTCCAACAGTAAATAAACTTTCTTTAGACACCTCCTAAGTACACAAAGGGGACGCGGGTGGCGCTGTGGGTTAAACCACAGAGCCTAGGACTTGCCGATCAGAAGGTCGGCGGTTTGAATCCCTGTAACGGGGTGAGCTCCCGTTGCTCGGTCCCTGCTCCTGCCAACCTAGCAGTTCAAAAGCACGTCAAAGTGCAAGTAGATAAATAGATACCACTCCGGTGGGAAGGTAAACGGCGTTTCCGTGCGCCGCTCTGGTTCGCCAGAAGCGGCTTAGTCATGCTGGCCACATGACCCGGAAGCTGTACGCCGGCTCCCTCGGCCAATAAAGTGAGATGAGCGCCGCAACCCCAGAGTTGGACATGACTGGACCTAATGGTCAGGGTCCCTTTACCTTTACAAGTACAAGTACACAAAGGGTGTATTTTTGTTAAAGAAAGGTTGCCAGAGCTTGATGCAGTTACAGCTTTTAATGTCTTGGCAGTGATTCAGTAATTTTAGACTCTGGACTTAATGGTTTTACGAGGTTCTTCCCCAGCATTTTAGATGGCAGTATGTAATCTCTTACTTCAGGATTGGTAAGCCAACTGTGCTGTGTTTGAGGGCTCTCCTGCTCATTCTGCTGAGCATGGTCCTGGACTTGTACCCCACGAATCCTACTCTGCCAGCACCACCACAGCCGGCAGCAAAACCTAGCGTGAAAATTAAAAAAAAAAGTCATGACACATTTGAACACTTAACATTTGTCTAGCAGGAATCTGATCCAGTTCTCATTTTAGATCCTCCCACAAGTCTCTGGCTTGACATGCCATTCATGTGGCAGAATGAAAAGCAGGCTTTGGATTAAGGTTGCTTTCTTCTGCTCTGCATTTTAGATCTCTGGTTGAAGAGGAAGACCCTCACATGAAAGTATCCATTGGGAGCAGCGATATGGGTGTGTCTGCCCATCTACAATCATCAAAGGCAGGAACCACAAGATTTTTCACCAGCAACACTCATAGTTCTGTAGTGCTCCAGGTAAGTTGACACCATGATCTGAACAGCCATATCATCCTTTTGAGAGTTCCTTTTATTTCACGGGTGCTTCTCTGACAAGTTCTCATTGAGGTTGAATGCCTTATCTCTCTGTTGGTGTGCTTTGCCAGTGCCATTGCAGCCATTTGTAATTAAGTACAGTCATACCTTGGGTTGAAATTGCTTCAGGTTGAGCGCTTTTGGGTTGTGCTCTGCGGTGACCCGGAAATAACGGAACACATTACTTCAGGGTTTCACTGCTCACACACGCACAGACGGTCAAAACGATGTCACACGCATGCGCGGAAGCGGCCAATCGCGGCCCATGCACGTGCAGACGCGGGTTGCGTTCGCTTCAGGATGCGAACGGGGCTCTGGAACGGATCCCGTTCGTATCCAGAAGTACCACTGTACATAGTTGTGCGTTTGTTGCATTTATGTAACCCTAATAAAAATTATTATTATTATTATCATTATTATACCCAAGGTGATACTTAAAAGTAGTAAAAACAAACAAATGGTATTAAATACGAAAGAAGTGAGTTCCTCACCAACCCATGGTCTGCTTGGGAGCTTGAAGGTATGTGCTCCTAACCAGGGCTTCTCCTCTTCTGCCTTCCTACAGGGCATACAAATCTTAAGTAGCCGCATGGAAGCAGGGAGGTGCCAACTCCTGCCCCAACGGTTCTCTCAGACTAGTGGTGGTCTCTACAGTAGCTTCTCCTCTTCTGCCTTCCTTAGGGCACATGGGTACCTGTTACTTGTTAGCTTCTGAAATTTCTTCTCTCCCTCTTCTGCCAATTAAACATTCTGATCAGATTAGCAGCAGCAACAGGAAACCTGACCTTTTGCTAGAATTAAAGGAGACAACAGTGTGTGTTTGACATTGTGCGAGCAGAGAGCCATTTGCCCAAGAATCACACATGGATGCCTTCCAGGGAATCTGCCAGGGGAAGCGGTCTCTCAGTGTTAATATTTCGCTCCTACTACCTTTTTGTTCCCTTGGCTCAGAGCATGTTTCGACGGGCAGTTCAATTTCATTATCCATCAGTGCACTGTGCTGGAGTCCAGACACATCCTGTGACCATGGTTCTAGTAACCATCTGCTGCTGTTACTGTGTGGTCTTTGACTTGCATTTCAAATAACTGTGAAATGAGGCTAAATCCCACACCTTGGATAGGTCGCATTGCTCTCTCATTGATTTAATGGAGGAAGAGAGTTAGTATTGGGATGGAAATATGCCTGTGTTCTGGGAACTTGCTCCAGCTGAATGTCCGCATTGTGCTCTGCTGATTTTTGTATTAGAAATGGAATGTTGCAGGTATAGCCAAAAGCTTTTGTGAGGCATGTGTGGTTCTCAGACAGCCTAAAACAGAATGAAAAGAATTTATTTTATTGAATTGGTATACCGCTGTTCATCCGAAGATTGTATTTGCTTGTATTTGTAAAAATACAAATGAGAATGCAGAATACATAATAAAACAAAAAACAAAACAACAACCCCTCCTACCACAAGAATCCCTTAATGTGCATGCATACTAGATTGCGGCTGAATAAGACTCTTCCTCCTACCTTTCTCCACTCCCTCACATAGAGGCCCTAGAGGAAATGGTAATGGTTTGGGGCAGTTCAAGGAAGTAAGTTGCAGAAGGAGCTCCTAGTGTGTAGGAGAAATTGGCAGGTATGGGGGAGAGAAAGAGAATGGAATAGCAGTGCCAGCATATATCATTTATATAGCACTTTTGTTGTTGTTTAGTCATTTAGTCGTGTCCGACTCTTCGTGACCCCATGGACCAGAGCACGCCAGGCACTCCTGTCTTCCACTGCCTCCCGCAGTTTTGAGCACTTTAGAGCGCTCAAAATACTTCACGTGCATCTCTCAGTAATTGTTAATGGCAGCCTAGTGGGTGGGTTTGCATTATTATTTCCCTCATAAGGAAGATAGGTAAGATGAGGCTAAGAGAGAATGGCCTGCTTAAGTCTTTTCTAGTGAGTTCATGGTGAAAGTGGGTTTTAGACCAGGGGTTTTCTGTTCATAGCTTGGATTTGTAACACACATACCACCAGAGCTAGAAGATGTCTCTCTTGTCCAACCTTGGATTATCATAAGTTGTGGACCTGTAGAGTGGACTTGGAAAGTGCTGTTGGGCTCACATTCTGCTAGGGACCAAAATAAGTCTTTCTAATTATATGAAGAAATTGAGTTTGTGCCCTGTGTAAGCATGTCTGCATTCTGGCAACTTGTTCCAACCTGAATCCTTTTCTTAGCGGACGAACAATTCTGCAGCATCTTCAATTTTACTTTGCAACTAGCGAAACCATTCCCCCACCCTAGTCTCCTTCAAATCAACAGCTTTTGAGTGATTATTTTGGTTATACTGAGTAAAAGCTAATTCTAAGGGACTGAGTACCAGGGACATTCCTTCAGGTTGCAGTGATTATCAAATAGTGTGAGGCAAGAGAGACTTCTGGAGGAAATATAGCTAACTAGTGATTGATTGGCAGAAATAATTATGTGGTGATTGGTGATAGCCAAGACATAAATCTTGGTTGTCATTCCTTCTCTTTCGAGAGAGGAAAACAAGGGATTAAGTTCACATTTACTGAAGAAAGCTGTTCGTCACAGTGGAGACAAGAGGTTTTTGGATGTGGGGAATGTCTTAGAGCATGGGTAGACAAACTAAGGTCCGGGGGCCGAATCCGTCCCAATTGCCTTCTAAATCTGGCCCATGGACGGTCCAGGAATCAGCATGTTTTTACATGAGTAGAATGTGTCCTTTTATTTAAAATGCATCTCTGGGTTATTTGTGGGGCATAGGAATTCGTTCATTTTTCCCCCAAAATATAGTCCGGCCCCCCACAAGGTCTGAGGGACAGTGGACCGGCCCCCTGCTGAAAAAGTTTGCTGGCTCCTGTCTTAGAGTGAGGAACTGCCAGACACCACATAATAGCCCTCAAGGCTAGCCCTCAGGGCATCAGGTCAGCGAAACCTCACTTTCAACTACTTCTGAGATTGGGATGAATTACCCAAATTGTAATCTGTCTGCCAGTTAATTTTCACCTGGAACATGAATTGAATGTTGGCATTAGAAGAGACATTAATTAACATTAACAAACAGACTGAAAAAATAATACAAAAAGTATATCTATTTGAGATTAAGAAAGTTAACAAACGGATAAGGTTGCTCTGCTGGTTAAGAATCGTTACATTATATTACTTTTAACTCTCTGTCATTTCTGTGGGGTGCTGGTGGCAGAAGACAAACTACATTCCTGAGCATGGGAAAGCACTTTTCTCTTAAAGAGAGAAGCTTTTCAAGGCTCAGACTGTTAAGGTGGAAACTAACAGAACCCAATACGGCAAAGATTGTTGGTGTGATTTGGCAATTATTGAATGAGCAACTGAAAGAGCTCAGAGCTGAGATGCATAAAATGGTGAATGGAAATGGATCAGAGAAAGATCAGACCAAAGAAAACACTGCAACTTTGGAAAAAATACTGATTAAGATCTGCTGGGACATGAGAGTGGAATGCTAGTAGATGATGGAATGGAGAAGACCTCCACACAGTTGCCTGGAGGAGTGAAACAGGCAAAAGACAGAGTTGTGATGCTGGGGCGCAGAATGAAACCATGGACAGAAACATTAAGAAACATCCTGATATGGCAGAGATAGAGCTGAGAGAGAAAGGATCCTGTGTGCAAGTTGGAGTGAATTCAGAGGAAAATGGCATCCGGCGATCCTTATGGAAAAAGAGTGGAAGAAGCAGAAATGGAAGGAACTTTATTTCCAAATTAGGGTGGGAAATCATGGCCAGCAGGAAATGGGATTGGAAGATATGGAACTGGGTACTATTTAATGAATATACAACAAGTAAATAACTATGGATTATTATTCTAATAATGGATAATAGAATTTATTGGAGATATAACTGTTATATGGGGCTGGTGGAAGGCTGTTCTTGACATTTAGCGATAGTAACAATTGAAGAGCTCCTTTTGGACTTTTTGTGTGGAAAGGAAAATGAATGGACTTGAGATGCCTGGGGTTGAAGATTGGGAAAAGGCCACCTAGCAGATTGAGGAACAGCTGGATATTATCCTGGAATACAGCTGGATATCATCCTATGTGTGCGCACGCGCAGACACACACACACACACACACACACACACACACATTTGACAGACTGAGAACTGGAAGTTCTATTTATTTCTTTATCTGTTCTCTCTCTCTCTCTCTCTCTCTCTCTCTCTCTCTCTCTCTCTCTCATGAGCTTTATTTCTTGTGCTTTCTTTTTCTCCTATCCACCTTACATTTGCTTATGCTTGGCTTTCCTTTTTGAGGTCCTCTACTCTGGGTATTGCACAGGAAGGTAATGGATAGAAGGTGAAAGACCCTGTGTGAGAGTCAGGGAAGGGAAGGTCTCCCAGGGTGGGAGGCTGGGAGAAGAAAGGAAACCGTCTAGCTGAGAACTGGGGAGGGTTCATCCCCTTTTCCTGTGAGACAGGGGTAAGGATCTACCCCAATAGAGGACTTTGTATTTTTCTCTCTCTTTTTTGTTGATTTTATAAATATTTAGATTAAAAAAAATAAAATAGATTAAAGTAAAAAAGAAAATAGTGTGGGACTTATTTGAACCATTGTGGAGTGGTTTTTCTATTTTGCAGCCCAGAGAGCTCGTTCTTGCAGCTGGGTGGAGCTGTTGATGCCATATTTTCTCTTGTAGGGTTTTGACCAGCTGCGAATAGAAGGTTTGCTTTGTGATGTGACACTTGTGCCAGGCGATGGTGACGAAGTGTTTCCTGTTCATAGGGCAATGATGGCATCTGCTAGTGATTACTTCAAGGCCATGTTCACAGGTACAGTGGATAGCAGTGATAAGGTGCATTCTGCATTTTAAAAAAAGTTCTGCCACGTAAGAGTGTGTTTGGCATGAATTATTCTTGTGGTGTGTGTTTATCCTGTCCAGCTAATGGTTATGTGTGAAGTGGCTTTGTCTCTGGAACAAGAAATTTTATAGGGGAAGTTCTTTCAAGCTTTAACTATATCTTATCTAAATTTTGTTCTCAGGTGGGATGAAAGAACAAGACTTAATGTGCATTAAGCTCCATGGCGTGAACAAAATAGGTTTAAAGAAGATCATTGATTTTATTTATACTGCAAAACTTTCTCTCAACATGGACAATCTTCAGGATACTCTAGAAGCTGCCAGCTTTTTACAGATATTGCCTGTGTTGGACTTCTGTAAAGTTTTTCTTATATCTGGGGTAAGATATCTTAGGTTATTGCTCGGTTTGCCTCTTTTTTATTTTCTCTGTTAAAATCACAGTAAGTTTGTCAGCCTGAAAGATTGATACAGTTGGGACCAACGCAGGAAATTCAGTAGTTCTGTAGCACCCCTGATATGTGACCTTGATTTAAAAACTTATAGCAAATGAGAGTTCACCACCTTTCAAGCTCTTGAGGAACAAAAACTTATAACCTGCCCCTTAAATTAAAGCACAATTCCATCAGGTAATGATTTGCCTTTCATAGAGAGATGGATGAGAGCAGGTTTTCCACGAGTATCGTGTGAAACGTATTGATGCCCAGTAATTTGCCTCATGTTTTTATCATTCAGGATTCCAACCCTTGGGGCTTTGCTGTATTGTTGGGCTGGCTGAATGTTTAAGGCATTTGTCAGGATTTCAGCTGAGAGAGATCTGAAAGTCCAGGTTGTGAAATGTCCTCTTGTGCCAAGACAGGCATTTTCTATGTCTGGAACAGCTGGGGTTTGTCACACTGAGAGGTGCTATGCAGGTTTTGTGTCTCCTGTTGTTTGGGTGAGAGCATTTTGCACTTACGTAAGGTCCTTTATCTCTGATTTAGTTGCACATGGGCCTAGAGTCCTCATTACTATTAAATGAGTTGTGCTTAAAAAGCCAGTGACTTCTGTGCCATTTTGCATATTGCTTGCAAAGTGCCCTGGGAGATGGTGTGTGTGTGGAATGACATTGACTTAATGTACAACTATTAAAAAATGGCACTCATGGATTGTTAAGACATGCGTCTTAGAATCAGTGTGAGAGAAAGCAGGCTGTTTCAAATGGCCCCAAAGCTGTATAAGGAGAAAAAGGATTGTGAAGCACTTTTCGTGCTGAGGGTTATATGGTCTTCTGTTAAGAGTTATGTAATCCTAGATCCTGCATTGTATCCAGTGCTAGTTCTACTCAGAGTAGACTTACTCAATCTAATGGACACAACTAACTTAGGTTACCTATACTAACTGAGTGGAACTTAATGTGTTTAAGTCCTCAAATTTCCCATTAGAGGTCAGTCACTTAGGATTCCAATTCTGAAGGCAGTCTGAAATCTCAGATGAAGAAAACGAAATATAAATTCTGGTCGCCTGGACAGTGGGGTCCAGAGGACAGCCAAGAGGTAAAGAACAAACCACACATTTTATCCCTGGGTTTAGCAGTGAGGATATAGGATTATCTGTGCGTTGGTTACGCTTGCAAGCCCATTAACTGCTGGCATCTCTTCCTTTTTCAATTTCTTTCTCAAAATTTCCCAACTGCAGCTCTGTTTATATGGGACTGCTGTCATTAGTTATCCTATCTCTCTAGCTTTTCATTTTAGCTGCAGTTGTTGTATCTGACGCTCTTTGCCACCCTTCCCTGTGCATCTAAGCTCTGCAGCAGAGAGGATTCTGCCACGTTACAGGAAAAACTATATTCAATTTTCCTTTCCCCCTCTTTGCTAGTTCTTCAGTAATAACAGAATGAAAGCCCTAAAGTTGCAAAAGGTTGCAGCCCCCCCCCCAAACAGTATTTGGACCCATGGGTGGGGGAGTTCTGTGATCACCCTCTCTCTGGCCTTCTAGGTTTCTTGGCAATAGGGATGGGAGGACGTTGCTTCTCTCCTTGGACTCAAAGCACATGCTGGAGTTTTCACCCATTTTTCACCTTTGCTGGCTAGCCTGCCTGCATCTGTAGAAATCTCCAGGAGAGCAAAAGCTTTGTGTCCTCTGGCTGGCAGACTTGACAGTAGTAGTAGCAGTAGTAGTAGTAGTAGTAGTAAAGCTTTGGGAAGAAGAGTAAGGGGTGCAGAGACATGGGTGGAGGACGTAGGATGCAGCAACCTGTAGCAGAGCAAAGAGTGCAGAGATGCCTCTATGGGTAGAAGTAGCCTGGGGTGCAGAAAAGAGAGCTCTGTGTTTGAAGAGAAGAGATGCTCAGAAGGAGAGCTAACAAAGATGGAGGCACAGCTGTGCATAGTGTTCAGTGGGGTGCAGAGAGAGGGGAAAGTTAATGGAGAATAAGTTAAACAGGAGGAGTTAACATGCCACACTTAGTGGCTTAGTGCCCACCTGAGTGACTCAGAATGGCTTTCAGTAATTTGAGTGGTGCCCTCCTGTCCTTTGCTGGGTTTTTGTTTGGGGTGTTGTGATCAGTTCTAGCAGTGCTGAACTGCTCCATCATCCTCTCATGGAATAATTACTTATCCGTTCAGCTCATGTTTTTCTGTATAAAGCAGTGGTGTGAAACATCATTTCACCAGCTCTTGGGATGTTAAAATCCCTTTAAAAACAATTGTCCTCCAAACAGCCAATCATGAAAGGTTGCTCATCCTCTTCTTAGTTTTAAAAGCAGGCTGCTGAGGTTGAGTGCCTTCCCCCAGCCCCACATGCAGCCACCTAGTGTGTGTTGTTGAATTCTGCAAATATAATTTTGCCCGAAGTGCTGGACATGAACTGGATTCTGAGATGTTGGTTATATTCATGTCCAGCATTCTAATGCCTTGCTTGGCGTTCTTGTTAAAACTTTAAAGTGTACTCTGATAATTTGATGGTATTTCTCAAGCTGCTGTTTCGCCTTCCGTCCAGTGCATAGTTAGACTATTACAGCTGCATAAGTAATTACTTGTAATAAAGTTGTATGGAAATTGAAGACTTCTTAAGCATGCATGTTTCAGATTTTTGCTCAGTCTCAAGAGCTTCCTAGAAGAAACATGAAGCCATGTAGCAAGCTAATCTAATAAGATAATTCAAATAATTAAGGAGAACCCAATCAGTTATACTCTTCTGTTCTGTGGGCCTCGTGAGCAATGGCCAATAGTAATTTGGTAATTTACTGGGAATCTGTCAGTTGGGAATGAGAAAGCTAATAGCATGCTGTAATGCAGGAATCATAGAATCATAGAATCATAGAGTTGGAAGAGACCACAAGGGCCATCGAGTCCAACCCCCTGCCAAGCAGGAAACACCATCAGAGCACTCCTGACATATGGTTGTCAAGCCTCTGCTTAAAGACCTCCAAAGAAGGAGACTCCACCACACTCCTTGGCAGCAAATTCCACTGTCGAACAGCTCTTACTGTCAGGAAGTTCTTCCTAATGTTTAGGTGGAATCTTCTTTCTTGTAGTTTGGATCCATTGCTCCATGTCCGCTTCTCTGGAGCAGCAGAAAACAACCTTTCTCCCTCCTCTATGTGACATCCTTTTATATATTTGAACATGGCTATCATATCACCCCTTAACCTCCTCTTCTCCAGGCTAAACATGCCCAGCTCTCTTAGCTGTTCCTCATAAGGCATCGTTTCCAGGCCTTTGACCATTTTGGTTGCCCTCCTCTGGACACAGGAATACAGTGGTACCTCGGGTTACATATGCCTCAGGTTACATACGCTTCAGGTTACAGACTCCACTAACCCAGAAATAGTGCTTCAGGTTAAGAACTTTGCTTCAGGATGAGAACAGAAATTGTGCTCCGGCAGCACGGTGGCAGCAGGAGGCCCCATTAGCTAAAGTGGTGATTCAGGTTAAGAACAGTTTCAGGTTAGGTACGGACCTCCAGAACGAATTAAGTACTTAACCCGAGGTACCACTGTATAGTTGAATAAAATCCACCATAACATACTTCCTTGGGCTCAGAGAAGTGGTTCCTAAAGCATATTGGATTTTAAGAAAACAACAAAATTAAATCTCTTGCACTCAAGAGAGTTGCAACTCATAAAAGCGGGGGCTGGAGGGAGAAAAAATTGGAGGAGAGCCAGTTCTTCAGTGCAAGTAAAAAGTGCCAGTTATAGGTTTTAGAGGGGTAGCTGAGCCATCAGTCCCAGAACCAGAAGGACCCCTGATCCCAACAGCTGAAGAGCTGCCAGGTAGGGTGACTTCCTGCAGCAGGAAGGAGTAAGTGTGAGGTGTGAGCTGTGGAGGATGTGTGGCCTTTAATGACTTGCTTTATTTATAAAACTGTTTATAGCTCACCCTCTCATATAAAACATCAAGGCAGTGCATAGCAAAAGTACAATAGAACTTAAATGCATTAAAAAAAAATTACAAAGCAATAAGAAATGACTGGCTCATCTTGAAGGCTCTTAAGACTGTCATGGCTGCAGCCCCAGGAACCAAATGCAGGACTTTGTCCTGGGAGGGCAGAAGAGGAATCACAGAACTGTAGAGTTGGGAGGGACCCTGAGGGTCATCTATTTCTACCCCGTTCGATACAGAAATCCTGCCCACATCTGTCCCTGGCTGGGCTTGAACCACTAACCTTCTCATTCAGCCAGACACGCTGACCCATTGTGCCACAAGGTGCTCCTGACAGAGGAAGATCTTTGGTTCAACCCCTGGCATCTCCAGGTACAGCAAGAAAAGACTTGTTTCTGAAACCCCGGAGAGCTGCTGTTAGTGTAGACAGCAGTGAATTGGATGGGCTAATGGTGTGGCTTGGCATAAGGCAACCTCCCATCTTCCCACAATAATGTCTATTTATACTTTATGTGGACAGTCTCTTTGCACATCTCTCCACAGTCTAGCTGGGTCCACACTTGCACACACCAATCCAAAGAAATGTACAGTTTGTGTAAAACACACTGAGTGTGGTGGTATGTCTACATTAGCAACCCTTGTGTTACTGTAATGTGCAGGTGAACATAAAGCCAGAGATTAAAATGGAGGAAGTGACTTTTCTCTTCCTATCATAGGTTTCCTTAGAGAACTGTGTCGAAGTGGGGCGGATTGCCAACACGTACAACCTCACAGAAGTGGATAAATATGTGAACAACTTCATCCTCAAGAACTTCCCAGCACTGTTAAGTACTGGTGAGTTTGTGAAACTCCCCTTTGAGCGCCTTGCCTTTGTCCTTTCAAGTAATAGCCTTAAGCATTGCACGGAGCTGGAGCTTTTCAAGGCTGCCTGCCGCTGGCTGCGGTACGAGGAGCCACGGATGGAATGCGCAGCAAAACTCATGAAAAACATCCGGTTCCCTCTGATGACTCCGCAGGATCTTATCAACTACGTCCAAACTGTGGATTTCATGAGGACTGACAACACTTGCGTCAACTTGCTCTTGGAAGCCAGCAATTACCAAATGATGCCCTACATGCAGCCAGTGATGCAGTCGGAAAGGACGGCCATCCGTTCGGACAGCACTCACCTGGTCACGCTAGGCGGAGTGCTCCGGCAGCAGCTGGTTGTCAGCAAGGAGCTGCGGATGTACGATGAAAAAGCACACGAGTGGAGGTCTCTGGCACCTATGGACGCTCCCCGCTACCAGCATGGCATTGCTGTTATTGGGAACTTTCTCTATGTTGTTGGCGGACAGAGCAATTATGACACGAAAGGAAAGACAGCGGTTGACACAGTGTTTAGGTTTGACCCTCGGTATAATAAGTGGATGCAGGTGGCTTCTTTGAATGAAAAGAGAACCTTCTTCCACCTAAGTGCCCTCAAAGGACATCTGTATGCTGTTGGTGGTCGAAACGCAGCTGGTGAGTTAGGTAAGTCTTCACCTTGGTCCAAAAAATCCCCCTTTCCTGACTTGTACAGCAATAATTATTTACTGTTGTATGCAAATAAGAACTAATTCGTTATTTATTTATTTATTTACTTACTTACTTACTTACTTTCTGTATTTGTATCCCACTCTTTTTCTCCAAGCAGCTTAAGATGGCAAACATGGTTGTCCCATTCCTTATTTTGCCCCCCCCCAACAATAACCCTGTGAGCTAGGTTAGGTTGAGAAGCAGTGACTGGTACAAGATCGCCCAATGAGTTTCATGGCTCAGTGGGAGATTTGAACTCCAGTCTCCCTGGTCCAAGTCTGGCCCTCTACCAGTATACCACACTGGCACCTTGTTTTTATTTTTTAATGTTTTTGGTTGTAATGTGTTAAGAAGTGGTTATCAGGAGATTATTATTGAATTACCAAATCCACCATGCCAAAATATAACCCATGTGTTCACCTCTACATTCGCCATCTGATTTGTAAGGACAGTGAGGTGACATTGTGAAATTCTGCTTGTGGAATTGTGTTGGTTTCTGTGAGACAGTGAAAGTAATTGTGCAAATTGCACAATCCTGTGGATGTCTACCCAGAAGTGAGTCCTAGTGAGTTCAGTGGCCCTTACTCCCAGATGTATGAGTAAAAGATTGTAGCCCAAGATTCCTGTTTCTGCTCACTTGGCATCTCCTTGATAAGTGCAGAATGCAGACAGCTATGTATATAATGAAATTGTGCAGGTGAAACCACCCACGTATTCTATATCACTTGATGATGTTCCTCATTTAATTTATTCTTACTTGATATGTCCTGACACGGAGTTCTTGTCGTAAACAGTTACCTTGGATGTTCTATGGATTGCCAAGTAACCGCACCGATTTTCTGTAAGGAGCCAGATCCATTTGTATGAAAATCAGTGTTTGGCTGACTGCGCTTTTGATTTTGTGGCTGAAATGCTCCCCCTTCTCATTTAATTGCATCACAAGTTATTTTTAACTTTTATTGCTGCTTTCATATATATTTGCTGCAAAAGGGTAGAGAATTGGCATGATCTTTCTCTTGCTGTCATAAAAGAAATAAGCAGAAGGGACAGGGGTACATTTTCATTACATTACATGGCAGGAGAACAATGGATTTGGAGTTCACTTTTTTGGTGCAAAAGCATAGCAAGCAAACACATGTGGGACTGACCTCGACCTACAAGAGTGCAACTTTGAACTAATCCTATTTTATCACTTTTCATCAGTGAAAAATAATATGCTCATTGTCAGTGCTGACCTTTGGGGTTTTCACAGCTTCGAAGTCTTGAGTCCTCTTTCCAACAGAAGCTGTTCAGATGGACCCCACTTTGGATGGGAGAAGCCTTCCCCAGTTGGATACCCTCCTGATATTTTGGACTACAATTAGCATAAGAATATAAGAAGAGCCCTGCTGGATCAGGCCTGTGGTCCATCTAGTCTAGCATCCTGTTCTCACAGTGGCCAACCAGATACTCATGGGGAACCAGCAAATAGGATTCAAGCAGAAGAAAACTTTCTTTTCTTATGGTTTCCATAAGCTGGTATTCAGAAGTATTAATACCTCCACATACAGAGGCCGAGCCGAGCCACCATGACTAATAGCCAGTTATTGCCATCTGCCCTGCCCATGCTGACTGGTGCTGTTGAGAGTTGTAGTCCATAACATCTGGAGGGCACCAAGCTGTAGAAAGCTGGTTTTGAACACATTCTTGGAAAATAAATATATTTGGGTTCAGCCACGAGTATAATCTAGGATGGTTAGATGATTTGAGGGCTATGTTGTCACTTGAGGAGTGAGTCCCCTGACTATGGGCATGCCTTGTCCAGCTAAACTAAGCCGGGGGGTTTCAGGCAAGATGTGTTAAGGGCAGCAGGTGTGTGTACCTGGAGTCCCAGGAACACTGCAGAACATTCGTCTGTGCTGGTCGGTTGCAACATAGCTGGAACTAGTTTATTTATATATCATGTTTTCCGGAGATACCTTTGTGCTCAGAATGGTTTGCATAAAATAATCAGTCTAGATAAAAAAAGTCATAATAAATAAAAGGTATAATCTCACTATAGTGAATTGCAGCTCTTTATTGCGTAGCCAAAGGCCATCACTAGTCATACATAGAATAACGCCGTGGCAAGTGGAAAACCTCTCAAAATATGATTACAACAAGCTAACTGCATTGTCTGCTGTAATATTCGACGCACATCCAATATTTTTAGCTCTGTAACACACAATTCAACCATTAACAAATCATTTTAAATATAGCAAATCTCAGTGAGCATAAATAGGTTAGTTAACAATATCCAGTCCTCTTGCATCCCAAAGCTGGTAGCCTTAGTGCCTAGTAGCTCCCCTCGTAAACTTTTATACCTGGACCCAAACAGCCTGAAAACATTTTTGAAGGCCCCTAAGGCTGAAGAACTGGGATGCAGGTGGCGCTGTGGGTTAAACCACAGAGCCTAGGACTTGCCGATCAGAAGATCGGTGGTTCGAATCCCCGCGACGGGGTGAGCTCCCGTTGCTCGGTCCCTGCTTCTGCCAACCTAGCAGTTCGAAAGCATGTCAAAGCGCAAGTAGATAAATAGGTACCGCTCCGGCGGGAAGGTAAACGGCGTTTCCGTGCGCTGCTCTGGTTCGCCAGAAGCGGCTTAGTCATGCTGGCCACATGACCCGGAAGCTGTACGCCAGCTCCCTCGGCCAATAAAGAGAGATGAGCGCCGCAACCCCATAGTCGGTCACGACTGTACCTAATGGTCAGGGGTCCCTTTACCTTTAAGGCTGAAGAGTGTGGCAAAGCTTGTAGAAACAACCAGCCTCTGATAGTGAGTGCATGGTGTTTCTCTCTTCAACAGGGTGATCAAAGAACTGGTTCATACACTTGCCACCTTTATGACATGGAAGAACAGACCTAGGTTTTTGTCTTAGACCATGCACAGACGATGGTTCTGCATTGTGGCCCAATATCTGCAGTTATTTAAACACACACACACACACACACACACGATGATAGTGGGAAGATTATGTGAACTGGGTTGATACATGCATGGGATTTGCGTGCAGAGTCCCTTGCGTGCTGAGATTTGTACATAGTGGGTGGGAGGATAGTGCCAGCTCCCTCATATTAAAAAGGAATTGCCAGCTTGGTAAGGGTGTGAATTGGGGCAGTTAAATCTACTGACTCCCTAAAAGACTAACTAACTGCAGAATAGGTTTTTGTGCACATGCTTATATGTAAAGCAGCTTAGTGATACATGCAGTGTACACATGTTCAGAATGTTACTGTGGGAATGTTACAAAGTGACCTTAAAAGTTAAAGAATGTGTCTTAGCAAACGGGAATTGTGTAAAATTGACTTGCTCATCGCTGTCAAAAGGCACCTTACCACAAGTGCAATTGTTATTAGTTTTAATGGATAAACCACCCTTAGTTCTCGTTCAAATGCAGAACTAAGTGTCGTCATGTTGTGAAAACGGCAGTCTTATGCAGCCTTAAAGGATAACATGATGCTGTAAGTATAGTCCACGAAAGTTTATGCCATAATTTTCTCAGCTACCCCTCTGCAAATGTGTTGTCAACTTCAATTTTGCATTCTGTCTGTCCACTAAAGGTGTTTTGCAGAAGCATGGTGACCTGATGAATGCACATACACTAGGTTCTGTGTGTTACTTCTATATTTTAGGAGTCTCCCAGTCAAGAAAGTGATCAAATTTTCACTAGCTGTTGATCACTAGCTCACTTACTTTCCTATATGATTTTGTGCTTTTACATTTTTTCTTGTTCTATTATAATTCACACCGCTTTCTTGTGCTAGCTGAAAAGTGATACATAATCCCATAAATAAATAAATAAATAGATAGATAGATAGATAGATAGATGTTTCAAGTTGGAGGGTCAGGTTTTCCCAAAGCCTGCATGAAGAGACTGTGTTCTTTAGGCTGTAGATCACTAACCTCTGCAGAGACCCCATGGTCTCTGCACTAGGTGTTCTGATTGCATTTCTTCTGAGCAGCTATCATAGTTGGAGCCATCCCTCTGTATCGGTATGGTATTGTCAGTCTGCTCTTTTTCTTTTTGGAAGGTGGCTTAGTGCCAAGAGTTCCTGTGATAAATCCTTTGGCTGTGTATTCCTATCTGAGGGCTTAGAGCAGATTTGTATTGTAAGCATTGGCTGCACATGGTGGGTTGTGTGAAGCCACAGAAAATGGGGATGGGTGGTAAGTGGGTTTCCTGCGCAAGGGGTGTGTGTCTTTAAAACAGTCCTTGCAGAGCTACACCATCTGTGTCCTTGCAGAAAATGCACCAGCTGTGTGAACTGATCTAGGGTTTGGGTTGGAATGGAGTTGAAATTATTGTGGTCTGGTAGACCTGTGAGCACCAGATGTGGAGACGTATTCCAAGTGACTAGCAACTATTTTACCTTTTGAAAACGAAGTGGGACCGATAGAGAGAATGAGATATTTCGGATAAATGTAATCTTAGCTCCCTGGTATTTTTCCAGGGCACTGTCAGTGCAGGTTGCCCTCCTCCAAATTGTTCATTAAGTGTAGATATCAAATTGCTATAATATAGAGAGTCGACACACAAAGATTATAATGCCTGTGTATTCTACAAAAGGAGAGAGAACCAAAGGAGGCACAAAATGAGCCATCTTGAAATCCTTAAAAAATGAAAACCAAACCAGGACCACTAATTGCTCCACTGCTACCTATTAACAGAGGGAAGCCAGAGGAGGCTTGCTGGGTTTGGTTTTTGAACATCAAAATATATTTGGCATTCACAGTTGTGAAATAGAAATGATCTCTGGCCAAGGGTGCTAAATATGTGATCCAGCAGGGAGGGGGATATGAAAAATAAAGTTTTTATGTCCAAGCTAGAGTCTGAGAATAGGTCTTTGCTTAAAAGGAAAAGTGGGAATTTCTGTTTGAATATATTATCTGCCTTTACACATGGCTCCTAGCAAAATATCATATTTTGTCTTATTTTTCCAGATAGCCTAGCTGAAACAAAGCTTTTAGCAGGCACTTAAAACTGTGGAAGAAAAGTGCCTCCATAATATTAATAATTAAGCACTAAAAATATGTTTCTCACAGACGTGGAGCAAACATGTGTTCTGTGGAGCATTCTATGATGCAAGCCACATAACGTGAAGTTATTATCCTTCGGATGACAGTGCACATTCCCTTCTTTGCTCCTCTTGCAGGTTTGGTGAAGTGCATGTGTGAGTCTATATTCCTCTATGTCTCCCTCCATAGAAATTTGTGAGGGGAGGAGTCACAGTGAATGACTGTGGATGATGCTTCAAATTAGCTGTAGAATATGGTTTGGATTGTATCGTTTTAAATTACAGGTATGTGGTTGAAAGGCCACGACCTTTTTTTTCTTTTTAAAGAAATTCTCAGCATTTAGAATAGTAGCATATAAGGAAAAAGGCTTGTCTAGAACCTTGTCTGCACTTTTTCTGAGTGCAGGATTTATTTATTTTTTCGTTTTACCAGTGGGTAGCATCTGACGCCATAGAATTCTGATGCTTTCTGCTATGATATCCCATGAGACGTATTTATATTTGAATGCCCTAGCCCTCACAGTGGTGTATGCAGAGGCCAATGTGATTGCACGTGACTTGCTTTTGAAGTTTTGATTTTTCCCCTCTGTTAAGTGGATACAACTGTGTTGAAGCTAAGGAGGTCACACACTAGGCATGTGTTCATTAGTCAGAAGCAAACATAAAAGGAAGGTTTCTGTATGTCTGCATTCATGTCAGTAGCAGAAAGAATTAGAAGTATAAAATAATGGTGGTTCTGAAAGGCCGTGAGTGATTGCATTTCCCATATTGAAATACCATTCAGCAGTTTGAAGTAGAAACACCAAATCACAGGGTCACTTAATGCGCCTTGTTGTGCGGAGGGCTGAGTCGTTCTTCCCTGAGCAAGACAAAATGGCTGGTGCTGAAGAACTGCTTCATAGCTATCTAGCACCTGCGTAACCATCTGCCTTGTTCTGTACAGGATGTTCCTTATTGCTAAAAGAAAACAAACAACAACAAAAAACACCCTACTCTGTTAAAGCCTCATATTAGATCTCTTCGTTTTCTCCTCCCCCCACTAAAAACCTGGACGAGATTGTGCTTTTGGTAAAGCTACTGGTAATTTTTTTTGTCAGCTGCTAATTGGAATTATTTTTTGAGCATATTTTTGCAAAATTGTGGTGCCTATTTGTGCTTTCCGCCTCCTCTTCCCAGATCCTCAGTATGTAATGTAATGTACCTCCGTTATCCTCTGATGAAAGGTGATATAGAAATTTAATAAATAACGACAACAACAATAATAATAAAATGCATTATCTAGATTAAAAACTCAAGAATACAATCAATTTCAGTACCAAGACCCAAACCCAGCCTAAAAGGAAGGCTGATACTGGCTGCCAGCAATAGATAATTTAGCACATGAAAAGAGTTGACAGATATTAATGTTTAATATCAGAAGGCCTGGAATAATAGAAAGGTCTGCTTCTGGAGCTAAAAAGACACTGAAGTAGGTGTTGGGGGAACACCTCTTAAAAATGCGTCACATGTAATATTTTATTTAAAGTGCTTACATACTATCTTTCAAGGCAAAGCCCTAGCAAGATGCCTTACAAAAGATAATTAGATGCTTATACATAGCAGGAACCTTGTGTTTCCAAACATTGTTATGGTACAGTCCAACTGCAGTGGTTCTTGCCTAAGCCCCCAGTGACCTTCCTTTTAGTCATCCACTTGTGATCCATACTGTTGACAACCAGCATTATTCCCCCTCCCCCAATACCTCCCCCCTGCTCTGGTTCCACCTCCCACCTGGGTTGGTCTGATGCATAGGTCTGTGAAACATTTGTTCCAATGATAATAATTTCAGGATTCGAACAGCACTCCCCTTCCAGGTATGATTAGAGTTTAGACTGCCTTCATGCTAGATCTAAGTAGAGTGGAGGGTAATCTGGGGGGAAAGAAAGGGAGAAATTATAACCCAATGGATTTTGTTTTGCTTTTAAAATGTCTCACTCTGCTCATTTGTTGTTGCTTCTACATAGCCACAGTGGAGTGCTACAACCCAAGGATGAACGAATGGAGCTACGTAGCAAAAATGAACGAGCCTCACTATGGCCATGCCGGAACAGTGTATGGGGGGCTGATGTATATTTCAGGTAAGCCTTCCTATTTCTTCTTCTTCTTCTTCTTCTTCTTCTTCTTCTTCTTCTTCTTCTTCTTCTAAATTTGTATACTGCCCATCATCCAACGATCTCAGAGTGGTTCACAGCATAAAAATACAAGGTAAAACACATAATAAAAACAAGAACAAAAGAAACCAATAATCCCTGCCTCCCACAAAACATTTTAAAGCATACAGGATGTAAATCAGCCAAAGGCTTTGTTGAAAAGCAGTGTTTTTGCCTGTCATGTAATGGTGCATAATGAAAGTGCCAGGCAAGATTCCATGGGGAGAGCACTCCACAAATGGCCTGTTATTGTGCTGGTACCCTCTGGACCTCTCGTGGAGAAAGCACACAAAGAAGGGCCTCCAACGATGATCCCAACAATAAATTGGGGGGAGGCGGTCTTTGGGATATTGTGGTCCTGAGCCATTTAAGGCTTTATAGGTTAAAACCAGCACTATGAATTGGACCCAGAACCTAATTGGCAGCCAGTCCAGTCAAGCCAGGGTCAGTGTAATATGCTCAAATGGCCTTGACCCAGTGAGCAACAAGACTGCTGAATTCTGCACCAGCAGAGGTTTCCAAACTCTTCAGAGGCAGCCCTACGTATAACATGTTGCAGTAATCTAACCTAGAGGTTACCGGAGCATAGACAACAGTTGTTAGGCTATCCCTGTCCTGATAGGGGCTTAGCTGGGACACCAGCTGAAACTGATGGAAGGCACTCTGCTGAGGCCAGCTGAACCTGAAGCAACAGTAATGGATCCAGGAGTGCCCCTGAGCTATGTGCCTGCTCCTTCAGAGGGAGTGTAACCCCATCAAGAGCAGGCTACCTCCCACTAACAGTGCCTCAGTCTTATCTAAATTGAACTTCAGTTTGTTGGCACTCTTCCAGTCCATTACTAAGACGAGACAACGGTCCAGCACATCCACTGCCTCACCTGCAGATGTAAAGGAGAAATAGAGTTTTGTGTCATCAGCATATTGCTGACAATGTACAGTGGTACCTCGGGTTACATACGCTTCAGGTTACATACACTTCAGGTTACAGACTCCGCTAACCCAGAAATCGTGCTTCAGGTTAAGAACTTTGCTTCAGGATGAGAACAGAAATCTGGCGGCAGCGGGGGGCCCCATTAGCTAAAGTGGTGCTTCAGGTTAAGAACAGTTTCAGGTTAAGAACGGACCTCCGGAACGAATTAAGTACTTAACCCGAGGTACCACTGTACTCCAAAACTCTGGAGTACTCTGGACATCTCTTGAGATTCATCTGCTACAACAGCAGAGTTAAGATACTGGTGGATGAAGCAGATCTTACTCCAAGCCAACCTAGCATTCGGCAACAGCATCCACAGACCCATGGTCTGGCAACCATAATTCCCCAGGTTGGAGGAGGGGCTAGCACACGGCACAGTCACCAACAGCCTGTGCCCTGTGCCCCTTACCTGGCCTGCCCCGCCTCCCACACCTTCCCTCCCCCTGCCCTGAATCATGGCAAGGAGAGCCTCCCCTGCTCTTCCCAACTCTTCTCTTTGCAAGCACATCCTATGCCTCAACAAAAAACCCAAATTAAGAAACCCACAAGTTAAAAACCGTTTAAAAACATTTTATTATAAAACTTATTACTTCTGAGTGAGATTGCTCCCTACTACTCCCATAGTTTTTAAAAAATGTAATTCCCGTAACCTGTATCAAGATCGTTTGCTCTTTCCAAGCAGTGGTTTCTAATGCCCCCCACAAATCCTAATTTCCTTCAAAACTGTTCCAAACAGGACATGCTATGACATCTTCAGATTTCATTTTAGATACAGTTATCTCAGCTGGCAGGTGATTATTTTCTGAAACAACCTCTTTAATAACTTATTTGTGTTTCTTCTTCTTAAACCTTCAAAAAAGGGTTTATTAGGAAATCACAAACTCAGCCACCATGCTGTCTCTAATCCTACAGGTGTCTCTATTGTAAGAACTGACTCATTTTGACTGGGATAAGTTGTACCTCAGGGAGGCCTAGCAAATCCAATGCATGTTAAGATAAATACTGCATCTTTGGGATAAACATCAAGAACTTTGAAGTCTAGCCAGCGTATGTAAATCATTGCATCCTTCAAACACGTCATCAGAGGGCGAGAGCAGCGTACAGAGTCTGTTTTGCCTGATTCACATCAAAACGCTGTGATTTTAAAAACCTATTTTATTTGGCAGCAGTGCAGCAGTTAGCTTATTCTCTCAGTGTTATCAATTCTCTGAACAATTGTCTCCCCCAGAGAGGGCTGGAAGCCAGAGGAGCATATGCCTCCCGTCTGCCACATGCACCTGTGTCAGAGTGGAATGCCTAGGGTGGGGGCCCCAAATCCTTTCAGCTGCCTTGTTCTTGGATCAGTTTTTCCATGAAAGAAATGTCTCCCTCCCATAGCAGGCTGCAATCATGAGTACTGTACTGCTTCCAAGCGGGGTCGAGTTGATGGCACACGTACTTTGCATTCAGAAAGCCCTTGCTTCAGTCCTTGGCATCTCAAAGCTAAAAGACATGGGTGGCAGGTGCAGAGAGACCCCCCCTTCCCAGCTTTAGACCCGGGAGGGCAGCTGCCAATCAACTCTGGGCTGATCCTGTAGAAGTCTGTGTTGTTTCAAATGAGTTTGTATCTACCTCTGGTTCTAGCAATCTACTCTGGCTGTGGGTGTTTTTGGACAGAATTAGGAATCCTGCTCTTTTGTTTTTAGCAGCATCTTCTACAGAGAATGCCATAACAGCATAAAATGTGCCACAGAACCCTTTATAACTATGGCGGCGAATGGTGCTCACAGCACTCAAGGTCTATGCAAAGCCCTTTTCATCTGGCATAAAATATTAATTTCACATATATGCTCCTAGGGTCAGAACTGGCAGTGTCTGACCATAAATGAGAGCTTGGGGTCATAGTGGATAGCGTGATGGAGATGTCAATCAGGTGTGTGGCAGCTGTTAAAAAGGCAGATTCCATGTTAGGGAAAAGAACTGAAGAGAAAACTACCAATATCGTAATGATATAATACAAATCGATTGTGCGACCACATTTGGAATACTGTGTATGGTTCTGGTGGCCTCACCTCAAAAAGGATATTGTGGAGTTGGAAAAGGGCAACAGCATGATAAAGGGAATGAAGTAACACCCATATGAGGAAAGGTTGCTGCATTTTGGGGAATGAGGAAAAGTGAGTAAGACGTAACATAATAAGTTTGTAAAATAATGCACAGTGTGGACAGAGAAAAGTTTTTCTCCCTCTCACTTGACACCTAGAACTCATGGGCATCCAACTTGGATGGCTTTAAAAGAGGATTGTACCAAATTCATGAAGGGTGAAGTTGTCAGTGGCTGCTAGCCAGGATGGCCATGCGCTGCCTCCGTGGTTGGAGACAGCATTGCTTCTGAATACCAGTTTCTGGAAACCACAGGAGGAGGAAGTGCTGTTGTACTCAAATCCTGCTTCTTGGTTTCCCACAGGAATCTGGGTGACCACCGTTAGAACAAGATGATGGGCTAGACAGGCCACTGGCATCATCCAGCATCATCTTATGTTTTTAGTCTTGCACTTCATTGTAGGGAGTTGACAACAGGTTGACAGAGGCATGTTTTTAGCACTTGTGCCATCTTCAAGTGTGTCTGCATTATTTTTTGTGTGTGTTTTGATAGGTAGTTATTTAATGCATTTATTGCTATTTGCGTATTTATTAGAAACTTTTATATGTAGCCCTTCATCCTGTTTGTATTTTAGAGTGGTGTACAACCAGTTTATATCACAGTACAAATAAGCAGTAATAAAAGTAGACAAACAAAACTTAAGATATACTGAAAGCTCAAAATGACTGGGTGAATGAAAATAGTTTTGCCTTAATGCTGAAAAATTGCAGTGTGTTTAAAGCTGCTTACAATGTTGATGTATAATAGATCATCAAATACTTTTTTGTGTACAAAACAAACTAATCAACAAAGTGTTAGGAGCAGAACCCAGCAAACAATTTTTTTAAAAGGAAAGAACCTATTCAAGGACGAAATGGTAAACATTTTTAAAGCACGCAGAAATAAATACAGTTGGCATCCGTTTCATGGGGGGTTCTGTTCCTGGCCCCTCTTTGCATCAGCAAAGCATACATAAACGCATCCCTGCCCTGTTCTGCTGTTTTAGTGATGTGTTTAATGACATTTTGGTCACTTCCGGGTTCAGTGATGTGCGCATATGCGCGATCACACATCATTCAGTCGTGCATTAATCGGTCATTGCCTGTAAATAAAACTCTGGCAAATGCCTGAAGGTTAAAGCAGAAGGGGCCCAGCAGATCTCCATGAGGAGGACATTCCAAATCACTGCCTTTAGTGTCCATATGTGTGATCTCACCTATGCGAACATGCCCCTCCCTGGTCCTGAATGGGGTAACTGTGCCCATGAAGGACCAGGTGCGCAGCCTGGGAGTCATTCTGGACTCACAGCTGCCCATGGAGGCGCATGTCAAATCTGTGTGTAGGGCAGCTGTTTACCAGCTCCATCTGGTATGCAGGCTGAGACCCTTCCTGCCCGCAGACTGTCTCACCAGAGTGGTGCATGCTCTAGTTATCTCTCGCTTGGACTACTGCAGTGCGCTCTATGTGGGGGTACTTTTGAAGGTTTCTCAGAAACTACAACTAATCCAGAATGCGGCAGCTAGACTAGTGACTGGGAGTGGCCGTCGAGACCATATAACGCCAGTTCTGAAAGATCTGCATTGGCTCCTAGTACGTTTCCAAGCACAATTCAAAGTGTTGGTGTTGACCTTTAAAGCCCTAAACGGCCCTGGCCCAGTAGACCTGAAGGAGCGTCTCCACCCCCATCCTTCTGCCCAGACACTGAGATTGAGCACCGAGGGCCTTCTGGTGGTTCCCTCCCTGCGAGAAGTGAGGTTACAGGGAACCAGGCAGAGGGCCTTCTCGGTATTGGTGCCTGCCCTGTGGAACGCCCTCCTACCAGATGTCAAAGAGAAAAACAACTATCTGACTTTTAGAAGACATCTGAAGGCAGCCCTGTTTAGGGAAGTTTTTAATGTTTAATGCTGTATTGTGTTTTTAATATTCGGTTGGAAGCCGCCCAGAGTGGCTGGGGAAACCCAGCCAGATGGGCGGGGTTTTATTTTTTTATTTATTTATTTATTTATTTATTTTCCCCTGAAAGACTGGGAATAGCTGCTACCAGTCAGTGTGGACAATATTGAGCAAGATGGACCAGTTGTCTGACTCTGTAAGGCAGCTTTCTGTTCTTCTAACTGTTGATCTCACTAGCATTCCTCTTACGTGAGGTGTTTGCTTTTTCTCCCCTGTCCTAGGAGGCATCACCCATGACACTTTCCAGAAGGAACTAATGTGCTTTGACCCTGACACAGACAAATGGATTCAGAAGGCTCCGATGACCACAGTTAGGGGCCTTCACTGCATGTGTACTGTCGGTGACAAGCTTTACGTCATTGGTGGAAACCATTTTAGAGGAACCAGTGATTACGATGATGTTCTAAGCTGTGAATATTACTCGCCAAGCCTAGACCAGTGGACACCAATCGCTGCTATGCTGCGCGGTCAGAGTGATGTCGGGGTGGCTGTGTTCGAAAATAAAATATACGTTGTGGGAGGATATTCATGGAATAACCGTTGTATGGTGGAAATAGTCCAGAAGTATGACCCAGAAAAGGATGAGTGGCACAAAGTCTTTGACCTCCCAGAATCCCTTGGGGGCATCCGTGCTTGCACTCTGACAGTCTTCCCTCCCGAGGATAACACAGGCTCACCGTCCAGAGAATCGCCTCTTTCGGCCCCTTGAGACATGGCATCGCTGGACTTACCATGTTGTCGCTCCAATACCACTGCACTGCATCAGGGATTCGCCTGTTCGTCTTCAGTAGTATCTTACAAGGCTTACCCTGAAGCAGCTGGCACAGTAACACAGTTGGGGGTGGGATGTAACAAGAAGATGGGCGTCACTTGTGGGGTTTGGTCTAGAAAGTTTTATCGAGTGGACAGCCAAGTGCCAAGCAAAGTGAGGTTTTATTGTTTCATTTTGTTTTTTGAGCCAAACGCTTAAAAAATGAGGTATTGTCTTAGGAAAAGAAAAACCTTTGCATCAGGCGCATAGATGTTCTGTACTGGGTGCACGGGTCACATAGATCAAGAAGCCGTGTAAGTTGAGCCAGTGGGGGGCGGGGTGTGTGTGCAATGAATGGGGAACCTTGTTTGCTAAGCCCTGTTGCTGGAGGACCATCTTTCCTCGATGCACCTCTGGAGAGAGGGGGAGCCCCTGATGCACACAACTTTTAGCAGCTATCTGGCCTCAGCTACCTCCCTCTTCTAATGGAGTATTTCAGACCTGTTTACTGACCTGACACTGGAGGTGCTTTTCAGAGGATATGGCAGACAAGAGAAACACAGCCTTTTTGAGACCATTAATAGATATACAATAAGCAGACCCTGAATCTATAAACCAGGGTTGTTGTTTTTCTAAATAACATATTAAGGGGTTTTCTTTTTCTTTTCCTTTCTGAACCTCCACATGCAAAGTGAAATGTGCTGGAGATTTGTAATTGTGTTTTTACTTTCTGTTCTCTTCCTCCTTTCCTTTCCTCTGCCCCGAAATAAAAGCTCTGATTCATCATGGGAGCCTGAGCAATTCATACATTGGAGGGAGGGGGTTTGGTTCAATTGCGCAACCCAGTGGGGTGCCTGTACTAGATTTTGGGGTAAACAAGGGCTAGAATCTCTTAATTTGAAGCCACTAAAATTTTGAGCAAATGGTTCCCTACTTTCCCCTCCTCCTTCCTCCTCCCTCCACAACCCCCCTCCAAATACCTTTTTGTTGGTTAAGAGAACTTGCTTCTTACACCTCTGTATAAAATCTCAGTTAATATACGGTTGTTTAGCACAAAATGCAGCTTTTACAGAGAGCTGCTTTTGCTCAGAGAATTCAGACTACCCTGTTTCTTTTGTTCAATAAAATCTTTAACGGCAATTAGTTGGGTGGTTTTTTAATTTTTAATTGTTTTAAAGGGCTCATTAACCTTCTCTCCCTTCTCCCACTTCCCTGTTGCCAGGAAACGTCTGTATGTATCTTTGTGTGTGGGTAGCACAACCTGCTGGGAAGCCAGTTTTGTAAGAGCTTCCAAATTTTGGGGGGGAGAGCAATGCTTGACCTACTTTTCCAGCAGCTCCCCTGGGAAGCCCAGGCTGAACCCATTGTGAATTCTGTGTCTGCAAGGGGGTGGGGTGGGCACTGGGGCTGAAAAGTTATTCGCAGAAAGCCGGTTTGGCTGAGCTTAATAAACCACCCCACAAGGTGGAGCAGAATTTCTGGGGCATGCTTGGAAGAGGTTTGTCAGCTGTGGCTTTGAGGCACACACAGGGCTCTCAAGTGGAAAGGCTAGAGTTCAGTGGCGGGGGGCACCTCCAGGTTGTGGGCTGGGAGGGAGCCCCGTCTGCAACACTGGAGAGCCACTGCCAGCCAGTGCAGTCAAAACAGCTAGATGGATCCTGTTGGAAAGGGACCCCAAGGGTCATCTCTCCCAACCCTCTACAATACAGGTATAACGCCTAAAACATCCATGACAGGTGGCCATCCAACCTCTGCTTTAAAACCTCCAAAGAAGAAGAGTCCTCCACCTTTCCATCCCACAGTCGAACAGCTCTTAAAGTTCTTTCTGATGTTTAGTTGGAATCTCCCTCCTTGTAACTTGAAGCCACTGGTTCATGTCCTACCCTCTGGGGCAGGAGAAAAGAAGCTTGCTCCATCCTCCATGGGACAGCCCTTGAGATATTTGACTGGTACATGGCAGCTTCCTGAGTTCCTATGGGCAGTGTAGTGAAGGAATGTGGTTTGCAGAGTTGGACAAGGCAGACTTGGGTTTAGATCTGATGCAGCACGTAGCTCTCTAGGGGACCTTGGGCCAATCTCTAGGCTCATCCAGAGGCAGCCTGTGGGATGCTCTCCAGAGGCTGTTGTTGGGCTACCAGCAGAGTTAATTGTCATGATTGATGGGTATAGTAGTCCAATAATACCTGAGGGGGTATTACCTGCCTAACCCCAGCCTACCTCACAGGGTTGTGAGGATAAAAGGTTTGAGGGGATCCTGGTCTTGGAGGAAAGGTGAGACAAGAAGTAATAAAATTAAAATCAACAAATTAATAGACTTCTGCAGCAGCAGAGAAAAAGCACTGCTATTGAAAAAGCATTGGTTACATAACTGAGCTTTCTGAGAACCTTTTTTCATTAAATAAAGTGGTTCGTATGGGTGCAAATATGTGTTTGAAAGCCTGCTCTCTTCTGAGGGATGAGAGGGGTGATTTAAGTTTTTTCAAAGATTGGAAATCTATGTCTACCAGGTTAAGCATCAGCAATGCCCATTTTCTCACTGCATAATGTTTGCAGGTTGCAGGAATGCAGCATTTCTGAACAGTGGGTTTGGATTGCTCTCAAGGTTCAGAGGCAGGGTGGATTTCTCAGAAGCGAGGCATTGGCAGGATTCTGCACAGAAGGCCAAAAAGTCTGCAGAAAACAAATAGATCTACTTCGTAAGCAGTTCTCTGGGAGAGCCCAGCACAAGCGTATCTGCAGGGGCAGCCAAAACTCTTTTTGCTAGGGTTGCAGTGTTCCCAGAACATTCAGTGTCATCCTGAATGGCTCTTCTCAAAAAGGAAAGAGCCATGCTTCATCAAGAGGTGGCAAATTAAAACTATGGAAATCACTCCCACAAGAGGCAGCGGTAGCCACAGACTTTGCTGGCTTTAAAATGACCAGACAAAAGCATGGGGGATAAAATTGGCCACTAACCCTGATAGACATGTTCTGCCTCCACCGTTAGAGGCAGCATGCTTCTGAATGCCAGTTGTTAGAGAGGAGAGTGTTGCTTCACTCAGATCCTGCTTGTGGGTTTTCCATCTGGTGGGCCACTATGGGAACAGGATTCTGGGCCAGATGGACCCAGTGGCCTGGTCCCGCAGGCTCTTCTGTTCTCTAAGCCCCTTGGCACTCCTGCTTTTGACATCTGGGATAGTGGAGACCCGTTCCCTGCTGTCCATTCAGGACAAGTTGCCTGAAGGCACTTTGCACTGCAAATACTCCCTCCCTCGCCCATTGAGGTAGGTGCATCTTCCTGCATTTTATAAGGGCAATGCCAAAATGGATTTGCTGGAGCTGTAATTCTCAATGGTGGTCCCAGGAAACACGAATACCACTGCTGGCATATAAGCATTAAATAAAGTATGTGAATCCAAAGCCTGTGTCTGCTTGTGTAACTGCTCTAGGTTTATCAGTGAGGAGGCAGACCAAGAACAATGACAAGACAAAGCATAGCCATCCTCTGTGTTTACAGCCCCCTACTCTAAAAGTTTGTCTCTGTGCTTCTACGTTTTTTTTTTGTTTTAAGTGTGGTTCAACTGGCAGAATTCTGAAGGTTTGAAGGCAGGCCAGTGCTGCTTTGTATATTGCATTCCCCCCCCTTTTATTGTTTGCTACAGATATTTTAATCCTGCTGTTCCCCAAAATTTCCTAAGGTGGCTTACAGATGGAAAGCAATTGCAGAGAGTGCAATTCAAATTGTCATAATAATCATGAGAATTAAAAGGCAATGTGAGCTTGAAAATCAGTTAACGATCAGTCGCAGAAATTAGATCTGAATTATTTGCGGTGAGGATTCAGTAGCAATATATGCTTTATGGATTTACTGGTATTTTTGTATATATGTGTGGTTTATAAGGCTTCTTGACATGACAGTAACAGAACCAAAATTAGATCTAAAAAGCCTGGAGAAACTGTAGGGAGGGTCATCGCCTGGCTGAAGAAATGTCAAACTGGATTCCAGGAGAACCTTTTGTAGTGGAGACCAGTGTCAAAGGCTGCCTTGTTATCTCATTGGCAAATGCAAGACTTCAGTGATCATTTATTGGTTGTGCATTTTTTATTCCTTTGTAAGGGAGCTGTGTGGTGGGTTTCTGGCTTCCTTAGAAATTTCCATTGTATATGTATGCTAAATTTAAAAGCAAGAGTATGCATAATTGGGATCTCAGACAGCAGAGCTGGCATCCATTTGGTGATGTTGTTAGGCTGTTATCTTCCCTCATCTCCAGCCAGGTGTCAGAGATGGTGGACCAGCTGCAGCCCAGCAACACCTGGGAGGCTGCAGCTCCCCTACCCCATCTTCAAGGGTGTAACTGAGCGGTTTTGTTTTGCCAGGAGTGGCTTCTTCACTTTTCACTTGAGGGTGCAAGTGCCCTGCAGGATCAGGGCAAGATTATTCTAGTCTAGCAGCCTTTCTAAGAACCTTAGTGAACAGGAGGTGGCCCACTGGACACATGCATTGTCCACCAGTGGACTGCTCCCTGTCTTGACCCTAACCCCTTTAAGCTATGTGCTCACAAAAGATAGGCTAGAACATCTTTCTCCTGCACTTGGCAAGGTTATCACAGGCTTCAGGACTTCAGCCGTTGCTCTGCTCTGTTGTTCCAATTTAAACTTGAATGCTGTCCCCTCTCTCTCCCCTGCCAACTCACACAATCATTTCTTGCATACCCAGCTGTTCTGGAAGCGTGCTCTACTGGGGAGGAGGCTTCTCTGACCCTGTACACGCAATGTTTAAAGTTGCAGCTGTTTCATGCGTGGTGCTGAGTACAGCTGCAGGAAGCAGCTTGAGCAGCTGTTGACACCGGATCTTCTGGAGCTGATGAAGGATGAAGTAGAGGGAAAGAGAATTTTCCAAATTATTACAAATCAAATCAAACCAAATTAATTTAATTTAATATAATTTCCTAAAATCAGGTTTCCCGCTCCTGCTCCAAACATATGATCATCATTTCCTTGCATAGTCGCATCATTTCTTTATTTAGAGTCCAGTTGACATCCTTCACTTGCCGTTAAACCATTCTTCCATCTGGCCTCTTTTTTCACCTTGCAAACAGCACCTCCGTTACATCTTATAAATAATCTATTTCACGGGTATAGCCCTTCATATACAGTGGTACCTCTAGATGCGAACGGGATCTGTTCTGGAGCCCTATTTGCATGCAGAGCAGAACGCGACCCGTGTCTGTGTGGGTCATGATTTGCCACTTCTGCGCATGCGTGTGACATCATTTTGAGCGTCTGCACATGCGTGAGTGGTGAAACCCGGAAGTAATGCGTTCCATTACTTCCCGGTCACCGCAGAGCGTAATCTGAAAACGCTCAACCTGAAGCGACTTTAACCCAAGGTATGACTGTACTACATTATTGCGGACCTGGTGTGCTGAGAGAGTTAACACTTTTGCAGTGTTTATCTGGATGGTGTAAGGTCACATTCCATTCCTCCTTCTGTTTACAGACTAGCGTATGAGCTGCAGCCATAAATAGCTCAGAGTGCATATCCAAACTCCGCCATTTATATTCTACTGTGGATTTCTTCCTCAGCACACAGTTAAAAGCAATATCTTTTCTCTAATTCAGCCTCTTCACCACATGTGCCTGGCAGCAGTTCATTCCCCCCCCCCACTGCATTCCTCCAATGGCAGTCCAGGAATAATTTTAAATAAAGTCCATTCAGCCTCAGTCGGGGGGGAGGGCATAGTAAAACCTTGTTAAATTCCTTGCTGAGCATAACTTAAAAGCTTCCCGCCTTTTTTCCGAAGTAACAAACAAAATAACATAGCAGCAGCTACACACGTCTTTTTCATTATGCAGGGGAGGACAGGGGGAAAGGATACCATCTGAAAACCATAAAGCACATAAACCATAAACCACAAAGCACGTTGCCCTCCCTCTTCCTTTCCCAGTTGTAAGGATTCTCAAGCTTCAAAGAAAACATTCAGATACCTTCAAAGAGCCAAGTCCAGTCCTTTCGGCATCTGACTGATTGCAGCTCATTAGCATATGTTGGTCTAGGAGTGCCTCTTGATTAATGCCAATTGTCCGAATTAGAATTTGCTCTTCCTCTGGTATGCCCGCCTACTTTCTGTTTAGGTTTGCAGATCTCATTCTTGGCAGCAGCCATTAGGTTGCTCTTGCCCTGCTGTGTGCAATGGTGCCCCCTTTCTCAGCTCCCTGTTCCCAATCCTTCATGGGATTGTAGCTAAGGACATCAGAAGAGCCTGATAGATCAAACCAGTGGTGCTTCTAGTCCATCATCTGTCCTCATAGTGGCTACCCAAATTCTCTCCTTGTATTGTGACATGCACCACCCCACACATTAGGGGCGAGGAAGCAGTGGCTTTCCAGGGGTCCCTAGATCCCAACTCCCACCAGCCGTGCAGTCAGTGGTCAAGATAGCGGGAGCAGTGGGTCTATAGCAGGCTTCCTCAACCTCGGCCCTCCAGATGCTTTCGGCCTACAACTCCCATGATCCCAAGCTAGCAGGACCAGTGGTCAGGGATGATGGGAATTGTAGTCTCAAAACATCTGGAGGACCGAGGTTGAGGAAGCCTGGTCTACAGCAACTGGAGTGCCACAGCTACTCCATTGGGGACAATAACCACAAGATTCAGTTCAGATCCCAAGTTGATGCCTGGAGAAAGCAGCCCACTCTGGAGACTCTGATTCAGCTTGTGGGGTGTGTGGCTCTGAAGCTATATCCCACTTGTGAAAAACTAGGCTTTATTCCTCCCCTGTTTTCTATCATTTATAAATTGTTTCCTGTGAAATTCCCCCAAAGCGATTTGCAGAATAATAACATATATAAAATGTGCAACTGTTTTTTAAAATAAATGATACAGTTCTGCAAATCACTTTGGGATGTTTCACGAGAAGCAATTCATAAATGAGACAGATAGTGGGAAGAATGAAGCTTAGGTTTTTAAAAAAATGTTTTGAGAACTGCAAAGGCACGACATATATCAGACCATATGTGTGTGTGTGTGTGTGTGTGTGTGTGTGTGTGTGTGTGTGAGTGATCATATTCCACAATCAGGCCATGGCTGAAAAAGTCCCGGCATGTGTGCCTGATGGGCATCTCAACAGACAGAGATTGGCTTACACAGTTGTAGGTGGTTTTTAAAAACCATTTTGGGTTTAAAGGGTAACCACTTGAAATTGGGTCTGGAAGTAGACGGGCAACCACTGGAACTCATACAATATAGAATATTGGTGTAATATGCTCAGCTATCCTTATTCCAGCCAGGAGCCAAGTGGCTGCATTTTGCAAACTGTCTTTAAAGCACATTTCAGTAGTCTAATCTGGATTTCACTATTATAGGGAAATAAGAAACAATGCTGTGTCATGTATGGAGCTAAATAAAAAAGAATAAAATTACCATGCAGGGCTACAGGTTCTGCCCCCCCCCCCCCCGTAGACAAGCAGCGGCAAAACATTTGGTGTGGTGGGCCCTCAAACAGGCTGAAAAGTTTGCTAGTGCTTCTCCAAGCTAAGTAGATCAGCCAAGATGGAGAATGCATAGCCTCCTATGAGCCATAACATCACCCATGTCACTTGTATCCTTGGCTACACCTTTATTCACCTGGCTCTAGAACCCTTGGGAATGCTAAGGAGCACCACCTGAATGCAGATCCAGGGGCAATTGCTCTGCAACTCTTTCTCTTCCCACTTATTCGTAGAAGCATAAGCAGAGGTAGTTAACTAATTAATTTGCAAATGAAATCATTATTTTGACTAAGTATTGGTTTGCCTTGGTGCAGAACAAAGAGTTTGTTCTTCAATTTTATTTTTTTGAAAACATTTTTATCCTGTTTATGAATCCTGATTTGCAGTGGCAGAGGCCCTGCTTTGCACCCAGAAGGTCCCATGTTCAATCCTTGCCATCTCTGGTTGGGGCCAGGAGACAACCTTCCATGAAACCCCAGAGAGCAACTCCCAGGCAGCAGAAGGTCAGCGCTGAGCCAGGTGCACCAATGAGCTGACTTGGTATAAAGCAGTGTTTCTATGTCAGATGGTACCACGAGGTGCACGCTTCCCTTTCACATGCTGAAAGATCAAATGAGCCTATTAGGAGAAAGATGCATAGCATCCTCTGGAGTCGCAATATCAGGTTCCCCACCTATTCCTCAAAAGCATGTGTGGAATATCCCCCCCCCCCCCCCCGTTAGCGATTGTTTCTTTCTTGGAAAAGTCTTTGACAAGTGAAATCTGATTTAACGCTGCAATAAATAAACAACATTTGGCCTATTGTTCAGATTGGCCTTGATGTCCGTATCCATAACAACCCCAGCTGATGGCTTCTCTACTGATGCATGCTTTTGACGAGAATAGTCTCTTGAAACATACTGGAAGCCTCTGTGGGTGGGTGCACAGCTCATCTTCCAGTTTTATTATCTGGGCTGTCATCCAAGAAGCACTGTTCTGTGATGATGACACCGCTTGATCTTTAGTGCTTTCCAAGCCCCTTTCTACTTTTCTGAGCAAGAAAATATTTTAGAATTCTGAGCAGGTGATGCAAATAAATGAATTTTGGGTGTATTGAGCTACTAGGCCATACTTCCATTTTGGTGCTTTTGGCACAACTGGGGAGTGTTTGCTCCAAGTTCTGACAAATGCCATTCGTTTTTTTAAGGGGTAATTCAAGGCAGCTTGCAACAGAAACTAAAAGCATGGTGAACATCAAAACGAGGGCTGTTTGTGACAGGCTGTTCTGGCCCTGGGTCAGGGATGAAGGGAGCTGGGATCCAGCAACTTCTGGTGGTCAGCCCAGGCTTCTGATGTTTGTGTGAATGCTTCTGTCTAAGTAGCAATAGCACAGGATCCAGCTTCCTGAGAATTTTAGCTTCCACCTTTTAAAACAACAAAAAGGGATTCTTGAAACCGTTTGGACTATGTAAGCGGAGTGGATTTCCTTCAAGATTCCTAAGATTTGCACAATTCATTCTGGTTTTGCTAGGTGTGGGGGAGGGGATGCAAATGCCCATGGCCTTCAGTCTTGCTCAGCCCCCCCTCTGGTTTATGAGATGGTAAGTTAAAGGTAAAGGTACCCCTGCCCGTATGGGCCAGTCATGTCCAACTCTAGGGTTGTGCGCCCATTCCACTTAAGAGGCCGGGGACCAGCGCTGTCCGGAGACACTTACGGGTCACGTGGCCAGCATGACGAAGCTGCTCTGGCGAGCCAGCACCAGTGCAGCACACGGAAACGCCGTTTACCTTCCCGCTATAAAGCGGTACCTATTTATCTACTTGCACTTAAGAGTGCTTTCGAACTGCTAGGTGGGCAGGAGCTGGGACCGAACGACGGGAGCTCACCCCGCCGCGGGGATTCGAACCGCCGACCATGCGATCGGCAAGTCCTAGGTGCTGAGGTTTTACCCACAGCGCCACCCGCGTCCCAGTATGAGATGGTAGCAAGCATAATTTAGGCAGGGTCACCAATTTAACTTCCCTCGGTGTGCAATTTGACTGCCAAATTTTAAAATGCTGCACACCTCCATAGATCTGGCCCTGTAGGCATGTGCCGACTTCCTCTAAATGACCTCAACTTGTGGCGCACAACGGTATAGCCTGGGACAGGGGCTTCCTGCTTATTTCGCTGGATGGAGCCCTCAACCTTTGCCCTTAGCTGGGATTCTAGACTGCATACATTTAAAGAACATTTAAAGCATCTCTCTCCACCTCCCAAAAAAGAATCCAGAGCTGCATTTCCCTCCACCCTTAAACTGCAGTTCCCCAGATTCTTTTTTTTTGGGGGGGGGAATGTGCTTTAAATACATGCTGTGGATGCAGCCCTATTGTGGCTTGTAAGTGGCACCGTATTTGAGAGGTATTCTTCAGGGATGGGGAAGATGTGGCTTTAGATGTTGCTGGGCTCCTTCTCCCATCAGCACTGAGCTTTGGGCCTGCAGCCTGGGACTGATGGAATCTGGAGTCAAACAACTTTTGGAGGACCAAAGGAAAGAGCAGAAGAAGAGGCCACTGGCCCATCTAAGTCTAGCATCCCGTTCTCAGAGTGGCCTACCAGATGTTTGTGAGAAACCTGGAAGCAGGATTCAAGCGCAATACTTGCAGCCTCTCCTCCTGTGGTTCCCAGCAACTGGCACTGAGAAGCATTGCTACCTTTGACTGTGGAGGCAAAGCATGGCTGGCTGCTACATTGATTGGTACCCACCCCTGGTATGCTGCAGCCGCTGCTGATTTCCCACTCCCAGCTTGTCATGTCCCCAAAGAAACAGGAAGCGCTTTATTCCACCGAGCAAGGCAAAGCTGAATTTCCACTTTTCTCCCTCCCTCCCTCTCCCCTTGGGAACAGCCTTCCTCCCACAAAAAGGAAGCAACCGCTTGCTGCCAAGGAGAAAGAAACACCACAGTATTGTATTCCCCAGCTAAAGAACTGCCTGGTTGTACCAGGAAGCTGCAGGTTAATGCAGCAAGCACATTAAGCACATTAAGCCTTGGTGCCAAGGCAGATCCTAACAGCAGAGGATACCCGACCTCAAGTAAATGTTCTGGTGTCTGAGAGGGGGATGCATTGAGAACCTAAGAAGAGTGCTGCTAGATCAAGCCAGTGACCCACCTAGTCCAGCATTGTGTTCTCACATGGGTCAGCCAGAAGCCTGTGGGAGACCTGCAAACAGGATCTGAGCACCAGAGCAACATTCTCCTTCCATGGCTCCAGCAACTGCTGTTTGGAAGCATTTGCCGTGTGGCTAATAGCCATTGAGAGCTTTATCTTCCATGCCCTTGCCCAAGCTTGTCTTCAAGCAATCCAAGTTGGTGGCCACCACAACTTCCTGTGGGAGTCTATACACTGTGTCTTCCTCCCTTCTGCTGGCTAGTGTTTGCCTTCCAAATTGGCCAAGAGACACAACTTTGCTGCTAGTGCTTTGATTTTTTCCTTTTTTAAAAAACCAGCTGCTCACCACCATGTCCTGGGGCTGTTTGCAGCCATCGAAAATTTACGAATGTGGCATTAAAAACAGTTTGCAACAAATGACAGGTTTTAACAGGGAGACCCTAGTTGTGGCAGCAGCTAAGGCAACGTGGGTAATCACTGCTTGTGCATAGGCTGCTCTGATTTACCTCAAAAGAAGAAGAAGCACCAGCACCTCCCTGTCGACCAACTGTTGACCAGAAGCCAGTTGCTGTTTCTGGCATGATGAAAACAGAAGGGTGAAGTTAGCACCACACTCCAACCCTTGTCTCCTCACCAGCCTGCACATGTGTTGAGATGGTGATTCAGCTCCCACACTCAACAGAGCCTGCCCCCACTCCAGCCCCTCTCTCAGTGGTTCTGCCAGGGCAGGACTCAGGGCCGTGTCCAGGACTCCACTCTGCAGGAAGGATCTGAATGTGGCAGGACTGGCTTATCACATTCTGAACTAATGAAAGCAATGCACAAGACTTCTTACAAAAGCTGGGTGCCTGCCCCTCTCTCTGCCAAGTGGTGGCAATAGCCCCTGGGGTCTCAGGAACACACAAAGGGCCTGTGTCCCTTTGGAGAACAGAAGACACGGCAGAGACTGTCGTGCTTTAAGACATAGGGTTTATTCACCTATTTACACCTTCAATCTGCATGGAAGGAGTCCAGATCCTACAGCATGACCCAAAGCATTGCAGGGAACCTTTCGTCTCTCTCTCTAAGATGGATTACTGCCCTTCCTTCTCCTTTTATCTCCCAGAAACCCCTTGCTTGAAAAACACACCCCACCTCCTTGGCAACCCTTCAAACCCCTTTCTCTCTTCACACCTCAGGGCAGGGGAAAGTTCTCTTGCATTGCCTCAATGGCCTTCTGTTGTTCTCTTAACGCTTGCTTGGCTAGACTGGTTTGCATAAGCCAGCCCAGGAACTCTCTTTCTGGCACAGCTCTGCAGTTCGTGGAAGACCA